TCCTAGATAATTAATATTATACGTCGAAGGAGCTATCTAGTTATACTTTCCGGTATTATATTATAAGTACTTATATTAAGATAAGGAATAGGGAGTCGAAATACCTTATATATAGTATATCCTCTAGATAGTAGAAGTATAGTAATACTAGTTAAGACTATATAAAGAATAATCTCTCTATACGTATAGAAGTATAACGCTAAGGCTCGATATATAAATATCTTTCTAGTATCTCCTAGGCTATAGAGAAAGAACTATATAGTCGAAGAAGATAATTAGATACTAGTAATAATCTTATTATAGAATAGATATTATTCGTTATTTAGGCGACTATATATAGAGTTATATATACTCTACTCCGTATTTCTATTATAGTCGAGTTTATACTAAATTTTAGAGAACTTATCTTAAAGTAGTTTATACTAGAAAATCGTATATTTAGGAAGATTAATATTAGTTAGATCTATATCTTAATAAGTCTTAAGATCTTATTTAATATAGTATCTTACGAGATTAAGATAGGAACTATCCTCCGGTAGATTAAGATAAGGTATATAAAGCTAAATAAATCTAGATAGATTATTACTAAACTACTCCGTAAATATATTCTATATATAGCTAGCTATAATATAATTAAGAAGTATATTTATAACTATACTAATAAATATCTTACGGAGGATATAGCTAGTCTAAAAGTAAATAGTATCTTAGAAATACTTTAGCTAATTATTATCCTATCGTAGAAGGCTATATATATAGTAGACTTCCTTATAAGAGTTATAGACTCTATCCTTAAAAGAAAGAAGTTAATTAAATCTAGAGATACTAGGAATAGCTATAAGAAGATAGCGAAGGAAGTATATATTATCTATAGTAGAAGTAAGTAGATATATATAACTAATTTATAATAATAAAGCTATCTATAGTTACTAGTAGCGATTCTACTAAGTAAAATACTAAGGAAAGTCTTAGTAGATATACTTCTCGGAATTAGGATACTTCTCGTACTAGTAAAAGTATTTAGTTAAGATAGACTAATTATTATCTAGTAGGTCTTAGAGAGTCTTATTACTTAATATCTTATTAAAGGTTAGATATTATAAGCTAGGAAGGTAGATAACTAATAACTATATAGAGGGCTTAATATAGTTAATAGGAAATTCTAATAGTCTCTAGATCGCCTTAGAGAAACCGAGATACTACCCGTTAACTAAGTTCTTAGTCTTATCGATAGTAAACTCTATAGTAGTATAGTTAGGGCCCTTATAGATATACTTATAAAGGTAGCGGATTACGTCGAGAGTTATATAGATCTTAATATTAATATATATATTATACTTCTATAAGAGATATAGGTTATAAGATATAACCTACTTATTTCTAATAGTAAGCTCCTTATCTCGCCGGATTAGATATATAGTTATAAACTTTATACTATCTCTATACTAATAGAGTAGATAGATATTATTAGAAATCTTAGTTATCTCCTAAATTAGCTTAGGAAAATACTTCGAATAGTATTTCTATCCTTTAATATCCTATTATATAAAGGAGAATAAGTAAGTCTAAGTATAGTAATAGGGATTAAGAAAGAGATATACTTTTATATATTAAGTAGATAGATTAAGCTTACTATATTACCTATATAATATTATTATCGTAATAATCTAATATAGCTCTAGGTCTTCTTTAGGATTAGGGATTTTAGTAGAGATAATCTTATTAATCTACTAAGAATTAAAGAAATTACGGTTATTATTAATCTATACTAGAATATAAGTATAGGGGAGACTATACTTTTAATATTTAATTATAAATATAGTTATATAATACCCGCTAAAAATACCTCCTTTAATATTACTTACTAATTCCTTAAGCTTTAATCTAAAGATATATACTATTAGGTTAGGTCGATCGAAGGAGTCCTAGATTAGATATCTATATATATCCTAAGATATATTATCTATAATCTTATTCTAGTTTAGATTAGTAGTAAATATTATAAAGAGAGAAGGCTTTCTATACTATTATATAAGGATAAGTAAGTTACGAAAGGAGTTAATTCGGTCTTATAGGCTTCTCTTAAAGGAGAATAGTAGTATTATAGGATATCCTAGCTCTAAGAGAGATATCTAAAGTCTAGTAGTAGTAGTATATATATAAATAATATTCGAATACTAGTCTATACATAACTTTTTCTAATTTTCTAGATAGCGGATCTAATTAAGATAAGTCTTCTTAATAGTAGTAAATAGGTTAATTAAGAATTATTAAAAGAGACTTCTAGTATAGTATATAATATTAAATAAGTATTAGCGCGTATATAGGAAGAAATATATCTATATCTACTACGTAATAAAGTCGTACTTTCGCGTAAGTCCTAGTTATATAAGGTTTAATAGGCGAAGTTAACGATAGTAGCTAATTCTATCTTATAGCTAGAAGAGAATATACTAGAGTAGTATATAAAGAGGGTAAGAATAATAAATAAAGGAGAGATACTAAGTAATACTATTAATTCCTTATATAGACTAAATAGACTAGTTAAGCCCGAGTAACTAGAGGGTAGAGGATTATAGTCTTTCTTTTAGATATAGTTAGATATTATAGATAGAGGGGTCTAAATCTTTATCCTAGATCTTAGGGTACAATCCTATAAGTTTATAGACCTATTTAATAGAAAGATCGAACTAGCGGCTACTATACTAATTAGGTATAATCCGTAGAGAAGGGGTAAGATATAATTTAGGAAGATTAAGATCTTAAAGTATAGACTTTATAGAGCGGAAAATCGAGATAAAAGGATTAGTCTTAGCGATCTAGTAGCTAAGATATACTAAAGTATAATAGCTAAATAACTAAAGATTCGGATTTAAATTTAATCGAATATTAATCGTAGTATTAGCGCTATTAAGTATATAAAATATAGTATAGGATAGTTAAGAACTAAGTAATAGGCCTAAGCGATAGACTATACTATCTGTGAACTAGTATAATTAAGCTACTATCTAGGCTAAGAGACGATTATCCTAAGTTATAGATATAGATATAAAAGTAAGTACTATATTAAATTATTAAGTATTCTTACGGAAAAACTTCGAATTATTATCGTTAGTAGAGAAAAGATACTAAAGCTCTATATTATTAGGTTTAGGAATCGGCTCTACCGAAGATATTCCGCCTCTTCTATTGTATATCTCTAGTCCCTAGTTAGATATACCGGATATCTCTTCTTTAAAGAAAAGTATATAATATATACTATACTCGATATCTATTAGGCTAAGCGAGAAGTAATCCTAAGAAGATAGATAGGAACGGAATATATATAGAATCTTAATACCCTATCTAGCTTAACGATTATTAGTATAGTAGGAACTATATTTTCGGTAGTATTAAAGGTATACTAGAAGAGTAATACTATATACTATATAGTAGTATAAGGGAGGTAGCTATATAGTAAGAGATCTAGGCTAAGATACCGGCTAGAGAGGAGATAGTATAATTAGGGTATAGTAAGACCGAGAAGTAGATACTTAGTATATCGAGAACGGAATAAGGGCTAGTTAAGTTTATCTACTAATATATAGGGTAGAAGATACTAGAGAGGTAGATTATAGATAGGACTAAATTATATAATAGCGACGATATTAATAGTACTATTATTATAACTACTTATAGGTAGAAAGATTATATAATATATCTTATATATATAAAATATAGGCGCTAGGGTTAGAAGAGGCGTAAAGTATATAGTAGTCCGATATAGAATATATTTTATATTTCGAGATTAACTATCTATTAAGAAGGTATAGGTATAGTAGAAATATATATCTCTAATCTATTTATTAGAGCCTCCTCGAATAGTAAGAGTATAGGAGATATAGCGTATACTCTATAATTGATAGTTATTATTAGGAAGCCCTTTATAGGATACTAGTATAGTATATCGGATATAAAAGAGAGAGAGAGAGAAAGATATATTATATCTTATAATAACGATAAGTAGGATAGATTAAAATCTTTAGAAAGAGTAAAAGAAGGAATATATAAACCTAATTATATATTATAAATATAATAGACTAAAGTTAGGCGAGGAAGTACAAAAGTAGTGAAGCCCTAGATAATATTAATAAAAATTCGAGTTAGGGCTTTGAAGAAAAATATATCTATTATACGAATTAAAACCTAGTTATCTAAAAATACTATATAGTAAACTATATAGGCTATAGTAGAAAACTATTAAAAAATAGCGTAAAAAGTATAATTAATAGTATAAACCTAAATATAGTTAGGTAGGTAAGGAAAAGGAAGAAAAGGAGATAACGAAGAGGAAAAAAAGGAGGAAAGTAAAGAAAAATCCATAGGATATATAGGTAAAGAGTAGAGAAGGAAAGCTAAGAATATAAATATAAAATATATTAATTAAGCAATATTAACGAATTAAGTAATATTAACGAAGCGATATATTTTAGAGAGGTAAGAGGGGATAGGGTGAAACGGTAGAATCTAGCGGACCCGCGGGCGGGAGGGGCGGAGAGATAGGCGGAACGGAAGAGAGGAATTTTGATAGGGTAAAAGGGCAGAAATTAGCGTACCCGCGGGCGGCAGGAGTGCTAAAGAGTACTGATTAGCTGAAAAACGGAATAACGCATAACGATTAGCCGAACCGTACAGGACTTTGCAACTTATAGGTTTGATATCAACGGACGCTGTATTTGGTCCCTTCGGAGCATAGCTTCTGCGGTCAGCCCAGCCAAGGTACGGCACCATCCGATAAGTGAGTGAGACTGAAGTACACCTCACCGCCTCCGATATCTTATCGCGCAGTCCTCTCCGCTCTGCCTCCCCCCAAAAAGAATATCAATTGCCCAAGCTGTGCAAGCGTCCCTCTTTTCCCTTTTGTCTTTTCTCTTTTCGCAAATCCTCCTAAACCCCACAAGACATTCTCACCGACCACCTGGACCTTTGAAAAAAAAAAGAAGAAAAAAAAAACGGGCTGAATGGCTCTATCAAAAGCCGAGTCCGACATCATCTTCAACAGAGCAAATGTCGCTCTAGCCCGCAGTCAGCGCCTCGTCGCATCATGGCTCCCTGCGTCAACGACGGACGACTCGACCCAAGGCAAATCCGAAGAGGAGCTTCAACGCGAAGAAGATGAGATCTTCACTGTGGTTCCCGAGACGTAAGTCAAGCGTTCATGTCAAAATTTCGCAAAAAAAATTATATCCTACCAGTGCGCGCAAATTTGTCACAAGGGGGTGGGGGAAAGGTTACAGGCCGAGATTGGAATTCACACCTAGCGAGATCATGTTCGAACACCTGCTTATGACTCTTTCTGTTTTTCTTGATTCAAAATAGACTCGGCGTGGGTGCACCGCTGCCCGAAAAAGCCGCAGACGGAAGCTGGAATCGCACAGAATTAAGCTCCAACGATAAATTACGAAAACAACTTCTTGGGAGGAACTACGATAAATTCATGAAAGCTGCAGCGGCGGCGAAAAAGCAAGCGCCCAATACACCTGCGACAGCCGGGCCGGGAATGAATGGATCTTCTACACAATCAAACGGCAACATACACACACCACCACAGACACAAGAAGATGACTACGACGACGACGAGGGAGGTCGGGTCTCGATGGTGGGAAAGAAGAATCGCAAGATGATGAAGAATGGTACCAATAAGAAGAGGAAAGCGGCAGCAGCTGGCGCTGCGTCTGCGGGAGTCGATATGTCCCCCGCTGCGGATGAGGCTGGTTTGAAATCCGCGGCGCATCCGAGAGAAGATGCAGATGGATTACCGCATGCGAGCGCGGATGCAAATGCGCATGTTGATGCAGATGGTGGACCGGTCGAGACCAGTCCGCCTGTGAAACAGGCTCAGTCCAAGGGAAGGAAAAAGGCGACGAGTTATTTGGATGAGCTGCTGGCTGAGAGGTCTAAGAAGAGAAAGAAGCGGTGAATGATGGTTGCACTGCATGAAAACTCAGTGGATCTTATTCTTTGGGTTCCTGACTTATTCGAGTCGTTGCGGGCCGCGTTTGAGGCCCTTGCTGGTCAACAATTCTCATCACAACCCTCATGGACTGCCCACGACGAACGCGTCCAGATCAATGTAACCTCTACGTGTGGTATCCAACATTTGGAGGGACCACTGGGGGTTCGATTGACGATCTTTCATTGTCGGAGGCTTCTGCGCTGATCGCTGATTGGAAGGATGCATGAGTGTGTCCTTTAATCGAGACAGCAAAATTTGCATGCCTCAAAACTCAACACTGACAGAGCCTTGCTCAGTGACATCGGGCTCGGCATCAAAACGGCCGATTTACTCGGATGAGAGTACTGCATGAAGATATAGAATACAGTGTTCATTTCTAAATGCGAACATAGCTTGATTTTCTCTCGCTCCATCCGACACCAGGGTATATGTAGAGAATAAATGCTGACAGTAGAAAGCGCGACTCCAATGCCACGTTGTCCACAGGATTCACGTGAAAAGCTCAAAGCCGTAGGGATATTATAAATAAAGAAACAAAATGGGACAGAATCTGGGAGAGGAAACAGTTAGGAAGACATAGGAAACCGATTAATAGATAAGAAGGAAAATCGAGTAGAAAAGATTAGATCTACATGCAGTGACAAGGAAGCCCAGGTGGATGAAGACATGCTTAATAAATGACGCTGTTGGGCTGACATCTGAGGCTGGAAAGAGAGAGAAGGGGGGGGGGGAGAGAGAGAGAGAAGAAAGAGAGGGCCATGACTGACGTTGATATACACACAGACGGAGATCAAAGAGTAAAGTCGACTTGCCAGGACGAGAACAAAGGTATCAAAAAACCGAGAAAAGAAAATTGAAAGGGATCGCGTACGACTATAGTTTCCAAGCGGCAACTTGCCAAGAACGACAGAAGCGATGGCATGAGCCATTCAATCGACTCATATCAAGGCAGTCATCGACTTCGTCAACGGTGCGTGGTTGAATCACGTATGAGCATTACTCCAAGCGTTTTCGTTTCCGATCTTCTTGCTGGTCTTCGTCTGGTCGTTCAGCAGTATCGGCAGGATTCAGGAGTGAATGCACATTACTTGCCATACTGGAGCGACGAGTCGCTGGTAAAGAAGATTCCTGACGATGAAATCGAGATCCCCCGAGGGACCAGCCGTTCTCAGCATGGAGCATTGACGGAGATGGTTCAGCTCCAATAGGAGGGGTTGCATGACGGGAATGGTCTTGGAATCGACGAGGCGCGCCCATTTCATACTGGGCGAGCACATCTCGGACTTGCTGCTCGCTGCTGGTGGGGACGCGGTGGGGTGAAGAGGGCCACGGACCGCTGGCCCCGCCGTTTGCGCTGGCATTGCCCGGAGGAAACGGTGATGGGCCATTTGGAGGCCAGTCGGCCTGACGGATGTCTGCAAAAGTATGGCGGCGGCCCAGATTTGGAGCCCCAGGAGAGGTGGAGATGGAGAGAGGATGGGGTGTCGGTTGCTGAGTTTGATGCGCTGGTGGCGGTGGTGGCCCGGCACTAGGTGGCTGTAGGCGATTGTAATTCGGGATAGGAGCATTTGCTCCTCCAATTGAACCGTAACGTCGTGGTGACACAGCAAGGTGAGAAGGCACCGGCGGTCGAATCATAGATTGTCGGCGGCTGTCGTCTTGAGGCAATTGACGAGGAGACAATGGGGGTCCAGACTCCATTGGCATGTTGCCATAGAAAGGTTGACGGGGCGGCATGAGCGAGTCATGGGAAATTTCCATAGTACGCACAGATTCCAACTGCTTTTCGACCTCTCTTTGCATGCTGAGGACTGGGAGTTATCGTTAGTTCTGTATGGTTCATGTCAGAATGTACACTGGAACAGTTCTCATACTGTCATGATATAGAGGGCTGTCTTGATTGGGGACTACCCCGTGCAAGAAGCGGGAAATGGAATGCGTCCACTGTAAATTACGGTCAGCAAGGGCGAGGCTTGTAGGATTCAAACAAAAGGCAGTCACGTACGTGATAGCACTTGACCAGCCCATCCGCCATGCTCTGACATTTGGAAGTCAGAAGGATGTTGCCCTCTTCCGCACGAGTCAGACGAGCGTGCATGTCGTGTAGACTGTACTCCAAGTTCATGAGCCTGGCTTCCGTGGTGTCTGGAACAGGCTCTGCCGGTGTACCGGGCTGCGAAGGCGGAGGTTTATGACTTGGGAAGGAATCGCGATGTATCAAAGCATGACGAGATGCACGGCGTTTGATTTCGCGCAAGCCCACTAAGTCACCTCGTTTGAAATTGCCGTTGCCATGCCTGAATTCCCAGAGGGCAGTATCCGATGTTCCAGTATGGAAAACGTCGCTTACTGCGAGATTTCATATCAACCTTCTCATCCTTTCCGCGGGGTGCGCTGAAGACCCTCAAACTTACCTTTGTGAAATCCGTACATGTTCAGCTGGCGCACGAATGACGATATATTGGTGTGTTTGAAGTATTGACTGAGGCAAGGTCAGTGGCTGAACGGCGCCAAAATCCAAAAGAATTGGGCAGGCTCGGAACTGACGCGAGAACTTTGGAGAATTCAGACGTAGGCGACATGACGAAACTGTCGTTGGTCCCGGACCATGCGATCAAATGGCGGATGCTAGTATCTTCAAGCATGCTACAATTTCCTCAGAATGTTAGTGCTCTCCTAGTTGCACCTCGAGCCGTCCTATCACTTGTCTCCCTCGTACTTGATGCATTCCCTGAGACAAGAACAATTGGTTACGGGCAAACTGACTTGTAGAGTTTATGAATGAATGCTGTTTGTACCACTTTGGGTTGCTGTGCTGCTGCCGCTGCTCCCACGGCGGAGTTCTGATGATTGCCCGGCATCGCGACTTCTGCGCCATTGGCAGTGATTGCACCCGTGCGGTCACCTTCAGGACTACTATGAATTTGGTTGTTTCCACTGACGCCGCCGGACGAGGCAGGTGTGATCTCCATTGCGACGGGAGAGTTGCGAGCCGATTGCGAAAGCACTGGAAGATCTCGCGTCTCTCCGGGCGCATCTGCTGGTCCGGCGAAGGTTGGTCTGGAGGATGGAGGCTCGGCGAGACCGCTCATGATGAGATACGAGGCAAGACCGCGGAGTCAATCGGCGTGTGCAGCAAGAGGTGAGCGACCTGCACTTTTTGGGTTGGGGGGGGGGGGGGGGGGGGGGGGGGGTTGAAATATCGTCTCAGTCGCGACTGATACGCGAATAGGGTCCTTTGTTTATATGCTCGACGATGTTTCAGGAGGGCGGAACTCGAATGTGAAACGAGCAGCCGAAGCAGGAGGAGGGGGGTATGTGGACGAGCGACTCCGGGGGGAAGAGAACGCGACCGGTCCGACCGTTCGAGAGCGCCGCTCGTGGTGGCAGAACGTGCGATGGAAGAATGGGCAGCCCGTCGAAGCTTGGAAAGCGAGGCGCAGATCAAGACCACAGTCGCAACTCTCGGTATTTCATCGCGCCTACAAAATTGAGGGGTTGGAGGGAGCTCTGCGGAGGCAAGACGTCGGAAGAGAGCTTCTGGAGCAAGTTGAGAGGAGCTGCGGGGAAGGGAAGAGGGAGTCAGACGGATAAAGACACAGATCAGAGTGCGAGAGAGAAAGAGAGCGAGTAGATCAGCAAGAAAGAGCAGCACGCGCGACGGTCGGGGGATCGGCGGCGTGAAGAAACGGTCCTTCGGCGATCGCGCAGTCGATAAGACGCAGAGTCGTGGAAAAAGGAAAAAAAGAAAAGTGGCGAAGAACACTCACAGGACGGAAATTGGTAATGACGAGTGGGTGAGAGAAGGTGGTAAGCTTAGAGAGCACGAAACATCAGAAAGGAGTTTGGACGAGACAGAGAGTCCTCTCAGTTCTAGAAGAGGAGAAGAAGAAGAGGAGGTGGTGGAGGAGAAAGAAAGAACGAGAAGGGGCAGTTGTGCAGACCTGACTTGGTGATAGTACCTTTGGGAGGGAGGAGACCACCATACCGACCAATGTACCCACCTCGGAAGTGGGCCAGATAACCGGCATTTTGAATTCTTCTGGAAGGTGGAAGGATGTGGAACTGGGTTACCTGTGCTTTTGATGAACTAGAAAATACAGAGTTGCCAATGTGTCAGCCCTTGACCAGAGTCGTGTATATGTTAAATAGCATCACATCCAAGTTGATTATAGTTTATACAAGTCGAATGGGTCGAGGCCTGGTTGGGATATCTCCGATGCCGAGACCGGCTAGTAATTCTACTTCCTAACCTTTTGCTCTAACTTAGCTTGATACAAAGCGACACCTCTTCTGTATCATACCTGAGTATTGGGCTTTTTTTAGTTCCTGTGATATCGATTACATTCTATAATTTGGATTGCGAGCACTAAGCTGAGTGCTGTGAAGAGTCACCAACAAAGATGGACATCGATCTTGACGATCAAGCGATCATCAGACGGTTCAAAACTCTGCCTAAGCAACGACGGGCTGTCATGTACGTATTCGCTTCCAATACCTGAATCTTTGTCTAATAGTTGGCGCTCAGACTCCATGGTATTCTAGACACTCTCAGCAGTGATGAATGGCGAGATGTGAAATGTCGTGGGGAGACCACTCTCTTGCTATGCGATATCGTGGGCAAGCTGCCCACCGAAATTGCAGCATTAATTATCGTTTGTCTACCACTCGTGGACATTGTACGCCTTCGAAGGGTAAGTCTCGGGTCTTCGAGCTGAGAAAATCGAATTTCCGATTCAGCAAATCGATATTCGTTCCTCCCTCAATGACTAACACCAAGTGTCAGGTCTCTCATCGATGGCGGGTTTTGCTATCATCCCCTCACGTCTGCCGACGAGCTGTCCGAGCAACTCTGGAGAAAGATCCCTGGGACAGCAATATATGCACAAAAGAGCTCGAGCTATGTGATCATCTAGGCAAGATCTTCCATACCGGACTTGCCCTTGGCGATGACTTATCGGAGACCTCCCAAGACATGATGAGTCCTAGTCCAAATGCGTGCCCCTACACGGACTGCGCCTTCAGGAAGATCGCTCTTCAAAGATACTGCCAGGAAAAGGGTCGTCCGCTCAAGAGGATCAACATTCGCGCCCCTAATCTAGCCAAATACGGATTTCACAGTGAACATGAAGACTGGATGGTCTACTCTGATGGGCGTCTCGCGTGGGTGGATGTCCTCGACACCAGCCGCATACTCACCGTGCATCTGGACACCGGTGTCCGCCGAACTTTCATGACCGAGAACCGCGACGAGATCCTCCGTATCTGTATGGTCCGACCGTTGTTAGCTGCCATTACGATCAGGGGCTATTGCGTTGTGTGGAACGTGGACACTGAAGAAGAGTCCTCGTTCCGACTTCCCTCTTTGGACCAGTGCGTGCGGATAGTCATCAGCGGGACAAAAGTCGCCGTCGCACTCAAAGATAGTGCGATGGTTCACTGGTGCTCGCGGAGAAAAGTGTCTACTTCTTTCCAGTCACCATCTAGACTCGCTGCCCTGTCGGTTCATCCCTCGCTGGACCAAATAACTCTGGTTCGCCTGCTCAACGAGAACATAGAGATCGAAGGCGAATTGTTCCCAGAGGTATTTGGTCGCAAGATCAACGTAACCACATATACAATGAACGACACTCAGAAATGGCGCGTCCTCTCATCCAAGAACATACCCGTTCCAAGCTCCGTTTTTCTTGCAGAAGATTCATATCTCCACCACGTCCACAAGGATAAAAGAATGCTCACGCCCGGCTGTTCAAGCTCAAGGCTGACAATTGCGCCGCTAGTGCACTCGACCGACACACCCAAAGTCTGCTTTATCGTCGTTGAGCCCAGCGGTCTCGTTGCATTTCATACACTCAAGGATAAACAGTTCAGCCCCTTAGGCCTGGTCTCGTACATTGAGAAGGGCATCATATACGCAGAGAACAGGCTGGGCAAAAGGGATCTACACGCTCCTGTTGTATCCGCGAAGCCGAGTATCCAGTACGGTCCTCAGGATTCATACGTCTGGTACGACTGGAAAATTGATCGTAGAGTCTCCCGCTCGTGGGGGAAGATGGTCATCCTTGGTGACCGTCGCTATGTGATCATTCTCAACTGTGATTGCTGTCACATCTGGTGCTTTGAGGATTCGGTTCTGAGAGATGAGATTGACGATGGACAGGCTTGATGACCTTTTACTTTTTGGGGAGATGCGCCGGCAGTTGCTTTGAATTGCTGAATATTTTGAACCTTACTTTTATGCTTTAGAATACAATGACTTTGAGGTCAATTTCAGGTCGCTTGTCTCTCTGTTGGATAGCTTGGTCAAATCAATTTCTCGGTGGTACCTTTGCCAATTGTTCGTTGAGACCCTACACCTATACATAAGGTACTCAATCATTGATCACTACCCCAGGCGCGAAACATGAGAAGCCTCATCCTTTCTGTTTAGTTCGTATCTTGTGGCCTCTGTTGTTTTCATTGGCACATTCCGCCACTAATCTACTGATAGATACCTTCCTATTCAAAAATGAAGGCTGAAGCAACGAAGAGATTCGGAGGTACACCTAGAAAAAAAAAACAAAAAGTGGAAGAAGAAGGGTGGAAATGATCAATATTGAAACAGAGATATAAGATGACAGAAAGTACAGGCAAGTCAGGTCGCCGCATCAAAAGCACCAGGATTTCCACTCAATAGGTTTGGTGGGGGGCCCCAGTTAAAAAGTAGATAAAAGGTATGTGTTCTCTAGAACTAACAAAACAAAAGACATCAAAAAGGGTTATGGTTGCCAGCCCACATCATCATTCCTGTGGCTTGGGAAGGTCTTTCCCTCCCCTTCTTCTCCACGATGCATGGAAATGTATCCTTGAGCAATTATATCGAGACAACGTCTTTCAACGAAAAACAAAGCTTCAAGATGATGGTCGCTTAGATTCCGAGGGTGAACTCGACACCGACGTCGATCTCACGGGCCATCTTGACAACCTTGGAGAACTGGACGGACTTCTCAGCGGCATTCTGGAGGTCCTCCATGGAGAAGATCTTGAGGCCAGACTCGTTGATCTAGAAAAGAAGAAAACACAGTTAGTGAGAACAGCTCAAAGATTTAATCATACTGAAAAAGGAAACGATGAACATACCAGCTTGTGAGCCTGCTCCATGTTGGTACCCTGAAGACGAGCGACAATTGGGGTGCGCAGACCCATCTCTTGCACAACGTTGATCAGACCCTGAGCGATGGCATCACAGCGGACAATACCACCGAAGATGTTGACGAAGATGGCAGAGACTTTAGGGTCGCTGGTGATCAACTCGAAGGCGCTCTTGATGGCAGCGGGGGTAGCACCACCACCGACGTCAAGGAAGTTGGCGGGGCTACCACCGTTCAGCTTAATGATATCCATGGTGGCCATGGCGAGACCAGCACCGTTGACCAGGCAGCCAATGTCACCGTCCAGCTTGATGAAGTTGAGGCCGTGCTCAGCAGCCTTGACCTCATCAGCATCCTCCTGGGTCACGTCGCGCCACGAGAAGACCTCCTTCTGGCGGAACTCGGCGTTGTCATCGAATCCGAGCTTGGCGTCCATGGCGAGAACCTGGTGGTCGGAGGTCTCAGACAGAGGGTTGATCTCGATCTGGGTGGCGTCCTTCTCCATGAAGACCTTGTACAGGTTCTGGATGGTGGTCTTGGCATCCTCGATGCACTGCTCGGAGAAACCGAGGTCAGTGGCGATGGTGCGAGCGATCTCGTCGGTGACACCCTCGTGGATGTTGATGGGGGTGGTGAGAATGGCGTCGGGATTCTCCTTGGCGACAGTCTCGATATCCATACCACCCTGAGAAGAGGCGACGATGACGGGGCTCTGGGTGCCACGGTCCATGAGGATGGCAAGATAGAACTCGCGACGGGCGAACTTGCGCTCACAGATGTAGACGGAGTTACAGATACGGCCAGCAGCGCCAGTCTGCTTGGTGACGAGCTTGTGACCGATCATCTCGTTGGCGAAGATCTTGGCCTCGGCGGGACTATCGAAAGGTGTCGAGTTAGTCTTTGTCTCTTTGACTCTCTGCCGTATTCTCCATTGCGAACGAAATGTATCACGACCGTCGAGCACTGTTACGCCTTGCGCAATAGACATGAAAATATAGATCGGCGAGGACAGAGAAAAAAATCTGGAGTACTCACGAGTAGATCACACGGACACCACCCTTAAGACCGTTGTCGAAGGTACCCTTACCACGACCACCGGCCAAAACCTGGGCCTTGATGACCAAGTCGTCGCTTCCTATACATATTGGGTTAGATGTTTGTCATGCGACTAAAATCGGCGGCCGACGCCAGGAGTTAAGGATGAAGTACCGATAGATTTGGCGACCTTCTCGGCCTCCTCGGCGGTCGTAGCGACCTCACCGCGGGGGACACCAACACCATTCTATAGCAGTATCGTTGGTCAGCACTTTGAGATTCGTCTTATTATTCATAAAGGCGATTTGATGGCTGTCCGCGACGGAGAGGTTCAAGATGTGTTGAGCAAACACGCGGAACATACCTGCGCCAAGAGACGAGCAGACAGGTACTCGTGGATGGAGAGGTTACGCTTCTGCTGCTGAGCAAGACGGGCAGAGATGGGAGATTCCTGTAGACGACACCCCGCAGAGAAGGGTCAGATGTCAGTTTTTGCTGTCCGGCGACGACTCGAAAACCGGGTACGGGCCGATAACACGGCAAGAGGAAGAAGATCTCACCGTCGCAGCCCGGAGAGCCGCGGCGATTGGGCGACCGCGAGCGAGCTTGAACATTGTGATCGACGAGGGTGTTTGAGAAGAAGAGAGGGGAGAGGGTTCGGAAAAAGGTGGAGAGAGGGAGAATGGTCCGGGAGAAGGTGATGCGAAATTGTTGTTTTGGGATAAAGAGAACCCTTTCAGGGAGGCTAGTCGGAACTCGGGAGGAACAGCTTTCTTTTTCTTTTTCGGGATGAGCCTTGCGACAAATGGATGCAGGCCTCAGGCAGCAATCCCGACGTCCAAATGACTAAAATCGGGTGTGAGAGCCAATCACAGGATCGGAACGTGATGTGTCAGCGATGCCTCGGAACAGTAGGACGCGAATATCACGGAACTACAAGATAATGCATTATAAAGAGTCACAGGAGGATGAGACTCCGAGGAACAAATTAGTGGTATGTCTCAATAACTATACATAGATTCACAAATGGTCTTGAATAGCAACAGCCACTCCAGATTCACGACGACGGGAGGGTTTGCCAGCATTGAACAGATCCAGTGAGTAGGCCACCAAGGTAAAACAGAGCGCCGTGCAGCCATATCGCAGACATTGGCAGTTCATTGTTTCAACGCGGCCTTGATCTTCCAAAGCTTGAACATTCTGGTCATAATACTGCCCATAAGTCCATTCCAGGCCCATCCGCCAACAATGAGCCAGATCAGCCAACTGGCATGGCCCTCCCAGATTGTGGTCTTGCGACCCTTGGCCCAGGGCCACAGCCAGCGCCAGGGAGCCGAGCCATACAGGACTTGGTTGACGACACTTCGGGCGTACTTGTCATTGGGCATGGCATTGTGCTGGCTGTGGACTACACGTCGTTGATATTCTTCTTCCACGGGGAGGTACAACGAATCAGGTTTCAAGAGACGCTGGGTGCGAGCAATGCGAGACTGCACACCGCCTGTGATGACAGTGATTACCTTGACACTGAGATAGCGGTCAGCTTCTTGGATATCAGACGGCTATAAGAGGTACCTAAAGATTTCTTCTTTCTCTCAAAGATTGACACATACCCATAGGGAGCGAGCTCAACGCGTAGGGTATCGCTAAAAGAGTGAAGAGCAGCCTTGGAAGCATTATAGACCGAGCCAAATACGTAGGGCATAATCTGTCGCATGTCAGCTCATGTTCATTCGAGGGATCTCCTACTGGTGGCATCCATGCCATGATTAATAGTTGCACGTACTCCGGCAATAGATCCGATCTGCACAATGGTGCCTTGAGCCTTCATCAAGAGTGGCAGGAATGTCTGGCACATGCTGATCACCGAGAAAAAGTTGGTCTCAAAGGTGAGTCGTGCCTCGTCCAGGTCGACCTCCATGGCAGGGACGGTGTAATCTAAGTGCGGCAATCAGAGAGCTGTTACATCAAATGCAATATTGCTCGGATCATTTGGCCATCTTACTTCGCCCGCTGTACTTGAATTGATTAGACATTGTTTTGCTGGACAAAGTAAGTGTGAAGGTCAATCGTCATCAACTCACGCATTGTTCACAAGATAATCCAAGCCCTTGTCACCCAGTCTCTTCTGCACATCTGCAAAACATGATTTGGCACTCTCCTGATCATCGACGACAAGACTGAGCGTCTCGATGCCCAGCTCTGCCAAATCCGAGATGGTCTCGGCCTGTCGCGCCGTCGCAAAAACGCGCAGTCCCTTTTGATGGAACTCGCGTGCGAGTGAGTTACCAATACCGCCGGGAGAGCATCTAGATCAACCTGGTCAGTGATTGCGATTGACTATCGAGAGGTGATGGAGGCCTCCTCCGGATGCCTGTGCGACGGAAACCAAGCTACAGTACCCCGTGATCAGCACGGACTTGCGCGTGTCTGTGACTCCTGGCATGGTAATATGTGCAATCAGTCCGTGACGAAGCCAAGAGATGGTCCCGATAAAGATGTTAAGAATACAAATGGAATACGAGCAACGCGCGATCACGGCCGAAGCAACGAAGAGGTCTTGGGGACTGATCCATCGCGCAGAGCGACCTTCGCTTCTCCCCTCATAGCTGTCATTGATGGACCTCGGCACGTCGATCGAATTAGGCTGAACCACGGAGCCCTAAACCCTATGCCTGGTTCTGGAAATCTATTTTCATTCTCGTATGTTGAAGAGTTGTAAATTCATCGCCTGCGCCGAATCCAAACCTTGTAGATTTGAGCTTCACGGAAATGGGTGCTTTCTTTCAGACTGTCTTTGGCTCTCCGCTGATTGACGTATCTTCAGCAGGTGGGTGGAAACCAGGCTGAACGAATGCCAAGTTTCATGTGGCGTCTCCAACGGTACTGCGACCAGCTCTGAGCTTGACAAAGTCTCGCCTTGCCAAGTTGGCAGTGGGAGAGACCGAAGCTTTGAACATGCTTTCTGATTAGACAGACGTCATGATGTGCACTGTGTGCAGAAGTGGTCACCTTTTGCCATTTTTCATTATCATGCACCTTTTTGTGACCTCGAGCATCAAGAATCTTGAGTATCAGGGACATGATCGAGTTCTGTTCGGCCCTGATATCCAATCGTGATTCCCCAGCTCACCAACCCTCGAACGGCGTCGGCCCGAGTGCCGGGGGTGGCTTACAGAACGATCCTCGGCGGTGGTGATACATATGCAGTGGCAGGGATTCTTGTCCGAATACGACGAAGATCTTCGTCGATATGTGAAACGGCACTGCTGTATACGATCGAATGCATACAATTGGCCAGTAGAGAAACACCTAAATAGATGTTGAATACAAGTAGTAGTAGTAGTAGTAGTAGTAGTAGTACAATGGTGGTGGTAGTGTTTTGCACGGACTACCTTCGTTGCGACCGTGTCTTACCGTATATGTTGGTTGATAAGCAGCTAACAAATCTCGTCAATGACCAGCACATTCGCCAAATCTGACTCGTGGAAGGTCAAAAGCCTGGAGATTAGGGAGTCGAGAGTCCAGTGTCCAGACTAATATACGTGCCAAGACCAGTTTGATTGAGACTGTTCCATCCATGATCGCATCCGTCCTGGGTCTCCCCGCTGTTTACCTCATAGCTCTTGTCAGGATGTCCTCTCCTCTTCTCTTTTTTTATCTTCCTCTGGTGTGTCTCGACTCTCTGGTACTCAAGTACTGTACTGTAGGACTGTTCAGTGTTCACTACTGTACCCATTGACCCAACAGTACCCATGCGTCACACGGACCCTGTTGTTCTCCCCATGTCATTTGCCGTGTTGACCGTTCCAGCAGGCTCCATCCCCAGGGAAATCGACCCGACCCACGACTCTTGTCCACATGTGCTGCAGTCAGTGCACGGAGTGCAGTCACTGCAGTCAGTGTAGTCAGTGCCGCACGCCGCAACCTGCCAGATTGGACAATGACTGGATCAACCGCCATGCCGATTCCCGAGAGTTTCTCCACCTGGTGTGGCCCGGTTTAGGCGGAGGGCGTCCATCTCCCAATGACGGTGTCGGTGGCTCTGTGCAGCCCTGCAGCTCCTCGCGGCGGACGTCATTTAGACTTCTGAGAGGCGGCCACCAGCCCAATGGCTCGTGGATGGTGGGACGTCGGTCTCGTTGGTTTGCTCCATTGCCCTTTTCCAATCGTGTTCGATCGGGTTTCGCGCAAAGAAGAAAAAAAAATAATATATACTACCACGACTCTGCCCCATTGGCTTGATATCCTTCTTTCCCTATGGAAAAGGGTGGTGTCGGAAAGACATACGCACGAGTGATCCGTGAACCCTTGATGTGAGACACGAGAGTTCTTGAGATTGCCGGTCTGACACAATCTCTGCTCTTGAATCTTACTTGACTTTACTGCTCAGAAAGCGGACACGAAGATTCATATGAGCGACACTCTCTCTAAGAAACCTACCTGCTAGTTACCTCCAGCCTACTAACCTCCACTACTTGAATCCTCGCGGAACTCACCGCCACCGCTCTATCCCGCCCGCTTCTTTGGACGATCATGTCTTCCGGGACCCTCGAAGTGCCTCGACACTTGAGAAGTCCCGGCGAGGATGGTTATCTTACACCGACTATTGAAGATGCACTCCGAGCTCAACAAGATGCGAGACTCAATGGCGCGTCGCAAGAAAGTCGTGGCGTAGCCCGGATGCATTCATCCGCCTTGGACGAAGCCCTGCAAAAAGTGACCTCGCGAGGAACAGATCAGACTCACAAGTTTGACGAGTATAAAAGGGGAAGTGGTGACACCGATGGCTCCGGTGGCTTATTTGATCCCGGAGAGCAGGATGGCAGAGGACTCTCGCGGAGGACTACCGACGCCTCGGCGAAGAAACTCAGCTGGAAAAAACGGATTCGGCATATCACTTGGGCCTATTTTACCTTGACGATGGCGACGGGCGGATTGGCGAATGTTCTATCGACAGGTGAGAAAATTCATAGACGTCTGCGAAGACAGCCCGAGCTGCTTGCTCCAGCCCCGTCTTTGTCGGCGACATGAAAATCAAATGAATCCTTGTCGTTCCTGAACACATTGAGTGCTAATGCGACGACAGTTCCCTATCGCTTCAGTGGCTTGGATATGATCGGGACAGTCATCTTCCTCATCAATATCGTGCTATTCATAATCATTTCCGCCATGCTGTCGCTGCGGTTCTACTTTTACCCCTACAAATTCAAATCTTCCTTCCTTCACCCCACGGAGTCACTGTTTGTTCCTGCCGCTCTGGTCTCGTTCGGGACCATTCTCATCAACATCTCTCAGTATGGCCCGTCCCATGCCGGTCCTTGGCTGTCCGAGGCGGTCGGGATATTGTTCTGGATTGATGCCGCGCTGGCCGTGCTGTTTTCCGCGGGTATCTATACTCTCATGTAAGTCACGACGCAGCATCTCAGAATCATCTACTACGCTACCGCTGTCTCAAATGACCCAAACAAGTCATCGCCATCCATGTGCATACAGACTACTAATTCGGTGGTATCACTCGGGTGTTCGTCATAGTTGGTCAACCCAAACATTCACTATCGCTCAAATGACCCCCGTCTGGATCTTCCCGGCATATCCCATGCTCATCATCGGCCCCCACGCGGGCATCCTCAGTTCCAAGCTGGCACCTGACCGCGCTCTGCGCATCATCATCGGCGGAACGACCATCCAAGGTGTCGGATTCCTCATGTCCATGATGGTGTATTCTGCCTTCATCTACCGTCTGATGACGCAGAAACTACCCCGTGAAAATGTTCGACCCGGCATGTTCGTCTCCGTGGGACCGAGCGGCTTCACCGTGGCGGGCATCGTGAACATGGCGGCGTCGGCCAAGCGTTGCTTTCCACCTGATTTCATGGGTAATGGTTCTCTCGCGGCCGATGTGATTAAGGTGGTGGTGGATTTTGCTGCTCTGTGGCTTTGGGGGTAAGTCACGCGGTGAATTGCTCTTATGACCTTTTGTTTTTTCCTTCTTCTTCCTTTGCCTCACCAGTCTGGACTTTCGCCTTCCTACAACTAACGACGTCTCCCCCTGTCGCGCAGACTAGCAATCTTCTTCTTCATCGTCGCCAGCGCCGCCCACTGGTCTGCTATCGGGCCGGGCCGTCTCGACTTCTCCATGACCTGGTTCTCCTTCGTCTTCCCCAACACCGCCCTCATCACGGCCACGTTTGCCATCGGCAAAGCATTCTCTTCCAAGGCGATCAACATCATAGGTATCGTGATGGTGTTCCCTTTGTTTCTCATGTATATCTTTGTGTGCGTGATGATGGTCCGCGCAGTGTTCACCCATCAGATCCTGTGGCCGCAAAAAGGCGAAGATCGAGACGAGGGCGGGTTTGAAATTCATCGCGTGAGACCGGACGCTGAGATGATGGAGGAGAAGAGGAACCGGATTAATAATGGAGTGCCTGTATGACATGCATTTCAGTGAAAAGGGCAGGGATGAAGTTCCTTTTCTTTTTTTCGACTAATTCGTTTCTCTGCGGATTGTACTCTGTCCATGAACAGATAGGTATAGTTGCATCTCAGCCTGATCTTAATGACTATATGAATTTACCGTGCTGTCATGCATGAGTGCCGTGAGAGGGATCCCGGAATGCTTAAACTCTGACCCTGGTCTCCCTGAGGATGTGGCTTGTTGTCGATCGACCCCACAGCATCAGACATTTACTCGTCAGTGGGGGATACGTGAGGTATTCTACTGTACTTCCACCGCCATCTACACGTTGAGGTCGACTTCTCTACAAACCCCCACTCGCCCCCGCTGCTCGCCAAGGCAATACCTTCCAAGCGCGACGAGCGCCAACCAGCCAGAAGCCAAGTGGCAAGAACAGAATGCAACTGAAGAGGGAACAAGAATGGTATCATATAATGTCAAAAAAGCCGCCAACAGAGAAACACCAACGCCCCCCGAGAACGAAATCGGACCCAAGCAAAAAAACGCCGCCCCTCCTGTTCCAGAGTTCCATCCTCTGCCTGCCATTCAGTGCTCAAGATGTTGGAATGGAGACAACATCACTGACTCAGAAAAACAAAAACGGTAGGTAGGTAGGGGGAGGGCCCCGACGCCAAATCCAACACCCAACGCAAAAGCAAGCTCATGTCTCCCCTCTCTCCTACCCTCTACCCCAGCTCAATATCACCTTTCTTAGCATGATGGGCAAAAGGTGGTATCGACAGCGATAGTGTCCGCGAGAAGGACGCTCGCCACTTCTCCATCTCCAGCAGCCGCACCTCCTTCACGAGCACCCGGTTTTTCGCCAGGAGCTTGTCATCCTCCGAGAGCAAATCATAGATTCCCTTCTTGACCGTGTCAGCGGTCTTTCGAATCCGCAGCGTGTGGGCCTGCAGGCCATTCCATTCCATCTCATCCATGACAAGTAGCCATGGTTCAACCGCACCCCGTCGGTCATTGCGAGTCTCCTGCTCGGCAAAGCGGGACGCAGCCACTAACGACTGGAAAGTGAACCCCGGGTGCAGCATGTGCAGGTTCCGCGTGGAAACGACTTCCTGCAACATCTGCAGTTCCCAGAGTCGACGATCTCGACGCCACGACTGGGCTTGGACTCGGAATGTGCTGAGTCGGAGGGCGTGCGCGGCGCCCCACTTTTCGAGAAGCTCGATGAGGATGCGGAGACGGTCTATTTGATCGGTTGCCGTCTCGAGGAATTCGACGTCGACGGAAGAGACAATTACTTCGTCGTCGGTGACGAGATCGTAGAATGGGAATGTCACCTTTGGTCGAATGTGGACGTCTTGACCGGGGCAGGGGCCGGGTGGGTCGATGACTAGTTTGGCGAAGGTCGGGATGGGATTTGACCCTGTTGGTGATTCCTCTGGTTGGGGCTGGTCACCATGTTGCTGCTCATCGGGTCCGTGTAAAGACTGCTGCTGCTGGGAACAGCTGACCGTCGAAAGGGCGGAGGCAAGACTCGAAGGGCCCGAAGGCGAGAGAGAAGACGACTGAGCCGTAGACTCGGGCTCGAGTTCAGGTTCGGGCTCAGGCCCAGGACCAAGCTTCTCAACAACCAGTCTATATCCGGAACTCCTGGACGACGCAAGATCGGTCTTGACCTTGCCCACAAGCTGGCTTGGTATAAGCACCGGTTCCCAAATTGGCTGTGGCATCTCAAAAGGTGGAAACTCCATATGCTCTGCCTCTGGAGTGGGGTCAGGAGCGTAGATGTTGATCTGGCAGAATTCAGGAAGGAGTTGAATACTGCCATCGGAGTTGAACTGCCGATGAGGCTTCTCGGCGTGGACATCTTTGATGCTCATCAGCTTGGGACTGGTAGACTCGCTTAGTCCGCGTGGGCCGGAAGGGGAGGTGACTGGGGCTAGGCCCATCAAGGATGCACTTGATCCCATCATTAGATCGGAGCCTGTTTGGGGGTGAGGATTCAGTCTCGGCAGCAACACGAAGCGGAGATGATCTGCAAGCAACCTGGAGGTCAGAGAAGCTTACCTGAGAGGTGATGAGGTGGCTTGAGACGACGTAATAGGACGGGAAATCAAAGGTGAGCTGGATATCTTCACGAGGAGGACCTAGAAGAAGCCGGGGGAGGAAGTGCAAGCAAGTAGGTGGATGTTTGGACCACAAAAGAGACAGTGATGTTTACGTTCTGCCTGCGTGTGTGTCTCGCGTCTCGCGTCTAGGAGTCTCACCTCACCTGGGAGTGACGACGACGACTAGGCGGAGGAGCCTCGACACCCATACTTAGTACTTGGCAAAATGATGTGGTTTTTTCTGCCACAACAATAACGCTGGGGCCTGACAGCGCGCCTACACGAACGAGGACAGGCATCAAGAGACTATTTGACGGTATGGATACGCCGCTACGCGCCTATATCTCCCAGTACTCCCATCAAGGAGCATAGTTTGAGCCAAGACGCAACTGAGTACCATAGCGGCTGCACAAGTCTACCGAACAGATGGCGATTCTCTCTTTGTCAGGCCTCGCCGGCAGGACACTCATATATACAATGTTTTGAGCTGAGAGTCACAGGGGTGACTGATGAATAGCACAAGCTTAGTATCCATGATAATGATCTGAGCTCTAGGGCAGCCATCTCTTGCTTAGGAAGTACAGGCTGTCACGGTAGACTCGAGGCTGATCTTAACCACGTAGCTTGCAGTATTGGAGTAGCATACAGAAACAAAGACTCCAGCCTCCACAGAGCCTATTATAAAACTTGTGCTTTAATTGCAATATTATAATGAGCTGAGTTCTTACAAATCACAGTTAATGTGAGCTTGATGATCGTCTTCGAAAGAGTCCTAATATTCGGAGGAGTTCCAACCTTGATAGTGTCTTCACTTTGCTTCGACGTGCTTCCAGTCAACACGTCAATAAAAATATAGAGACCGGCGCACATGTTACTCCTATGAAGAAGAACCGCACCATAGTCAAGTCTCTGGTTCATGTTGTTCGTCATGGTCTGTTTTTAACTGAACTACTATTCAAGGGCTTTGTATATCACGTGAAACAACTCGCAGTCGTTTTACTAGAGAGCACAGTATAATTGCGCGTACGTAGCCTGTGAAATGGCTTTTTCTTTCCTTAAAAGCAGTCTCCTTGTCAGATTTTGTGAATTCACTTACTTCGTAAAGCCCAGTGTCTCATGAGTGTGGTTGGGCTCGCATATATATCGAAACTTGTTTACATGGACGCAGAGGCAACTAAAGAAGCGGGATACTACCGCTAAGCGGCCTGGTAGCATCTAGGTACCTAACCTATCATCTAAACTACAACGTCTTTCGGTACCCTGAAGCAACTTGATTGCTCGAAGCTGACTATCTGATGTGAATGTCGCGAGTACTCTCAACCTATGTCGAAGCGCTGGTCAGCCCGCCACTGGTAGGGGTTATACTTAAAGGATGATCGACTGAGTCGTCTTACACTAACACTGGTGTTATATATCCATGTACTGATCCCTGACAAATATTTAGTTAGCACTTCCATAAAAGGATTAAGCTCTAGCGCTGGAATCACAACACTAGCGATGGAATCGGTAATGGTAGGCTTAAGTCGTAGGTACCTTATGCTTTGATTGACAAAAGTAAGTTCATGGGAAGTGCCCTCGCCTACGGGTATATCCAAGTCACGTTACCGTGCATTGACCGTATTCGTTGCGAGGCCAGAATCTATCTTTGACCTGCCCTGACTTCAGAGAGATATTCTAGGGTGAAAAAGAAAGAATTAAAATAGACAAAGACCACTGCTCGCTTTTTTATGAGAGTAAGGATATCTGCATTCTGCAGTATACTTTTTAGGTTACTTATACCTGCTTCATCATCAGAGGGCTGCAGATACAGCTCGAGACCCTGAACAAAATCCCGTATAACTGCAATTTCAGATCTGGCACCTAAACAGTGGCAGAAAAGGTTTCCAGTTCGAGCAAGTAGAGTCCGATCGCGGGCTCCCAGACTAAGAGCGTCGCCAAGCTGTATAGCCTTGGGCTCATGCAGGTGGGGCAGCAGGTAATTAGGCTACGGGTATATTGACACATGTGCAAAGGATGAGTTGATTGAAGATCTAATGGAATCCGGAGATTAGATAAGCACGAGCTATAAACTATATGACCAAGTGTTGTACACTATACAGCAACTATGACCTAGGCACCTTACTACTCTTTACTATCTCATTCTCTCAATCTCTTGTGCTTTTTGTGTGATTCAGTGGCGTATTTCTGGCGGCACTGCAGGCCGGGAGTCCCCGCTCTCACACACTCATTACGACGGGAGACGGGTGGTGGAGTCACTTCTTGAGCAGGAGAAGGATCTGCTATTAGGCGAAAGGGAGGTTGGGTACACATCTAATGGAGCTGTGTCTGTGATAGCCATAGTACATATCTTTACCAACTAATCTTAGTAGGGCCAGACAACCTCTCAGATGTCAAGTCAAGTAGAACTCCAATAAGGGTTCCAGACCTTACCGGAAGGGGGAAAGTCCAGTAAGAGGAAAAAACCCATACTTACCATGGGTTGTGAATACCCCCACTAGAGATAAGCGCCACCCCGCGGCCCACGCGATAGTCACCCAAAGAGAGGCACAGGAAAAAAAAACGCGCGGAAAAAAAAAAGAGCTGGTGACCATTGCGAAAAAATTTCTGTCCTTTGACATCCTCCACCCAACATCGTGGTCTTAGATCCCTCGGCAATCTTGATCATCTCACTCTTCTCACGCCTATCTATTTGCGCTCATAATTCTTGCCGAGCTTATAATCTATTCTTTCCCTCCCCCTCTTCCGTATACTTGTCTATCCACACTTCGTACTACCGCCCAAAATGGTCCAGAAGTACTATGTCACCTATAACCAGGTGCACAAGCTGTGCCAGCAGTCGGCCGATGCCATCCTGAAGCAGTTCCGCCCTCATCTCATGATCGCTATTGGTGGTGGTGGTTATGTCCCTGCCCGTATCCTGCGGTAGGTTTGAGAATCCTCCTGCAGCAGCCTCGGCACTGTTCCGCTCGTGCGCCGCGCAACATTACCCTGATGCGACGGCACAGGGGTATTGCGCAGGAACCCAAGATGAGAGGGAGGGGAGGGGGGAGGCGGCTAAATATACTCCAACTTCGGTAGACTAACACGTTCTGTTTCTGAACCTACAGTTCCTTCCTGAAGAGCCCTGGCGAGCCCAACATCCCCATCCAGGCGATCGGTCTGTCTCTCTACGAGGACCTCGGTCGTGGTGATGCCGAGGAGGCCATTGGTACCAAGGTGACCCGAACTCAGTGGCTCGACCTGAGCTCTTTGGAGATGGCCAACCTTATTGGCAAGAACATTCTGATCGTCGACGAGGTGGATGACACCCGGACGACTCTGGAGTATGCCGTGCGCGAACTGGAGAAGGACGTGCTCGAGGCCCAGAAGCAGCTGGGTCGTGAGGGCGAGAAGACCAACTTCTCTGTCTATGTTCTGCACGTGAGTTCAATCGATTGTTCCCCGGAACAGGCAAAAGTGCCGAGCAGTCGCACATCTGAATATGGAATGCTGACCGATGACCTTGCCATCTTCTCAGAACAAGAACAAGCCTAAGAAGGGTTCTCTTCCCACCGATATGATGGAGGATGGCCGCTACCACGCCTCTGTCACCACCGACGATGTTTGGATCTGCTATCCCTGGGAGGCCAAGTATGTCGCATCTGTCCTTCTTCCCGTCGCGACTCTTCTCTCGTGAAACCACCCTCAAATGAACCAAAGCTGACTCTTTCGCTTTCTCTAGGGACATTGATGAGCATGACGCTCTGGCCAAGGAGCACCCTCTGGTCTAAAAAAAAAGCAAAACTTGATTGCATTGGCGAGTTGCATTTCCGTTCCGTTGCGAGGCGCTCTGATACGATGGGTGGCTATTTCAAAAGCCTCGATTTATAAGTAAATCAGGATGGCCCGTCCCTCTTTTCCACCGGCGCGGTACCTAGACCCCGGGCATGTTTATTATTTACGATATCCTTATGAAGAAAGAAAAGATTATTTCTATCGATCTTTGTTACTTTCCCGTGAGAGCGCGACGCGTCCCCAGTATCATATGGGGTCGGAGTTTACAGATGCGCCGAGCCCTAGCCACGCGCGAGAACGGTGCAAGCAACGAAGACGAGAAGATCGTGATCGTATAGGAAGGGTATCACTCGGGCGGTTCATATTAGAAGAGAACAACGAGGCAAAGAGAACCAGAAACCTCGCAGAGCGCCATTACTCTTCGCTCGCCCAGGCAAAACCGCACAGGTCTTCGAGCCAGATTTTGCTGTTATTGCACCAGTACTTGCGACACGCAAGTGTCGAAACTAGACCAGTCGCCCCGCCCCCAGCAACAATTCGATCAGATCTAGCCTTGAACAAGTCGCTCCACTCAGTACCTGGTTCCTGATTCATGGAATCCTGATTCCATGATGGTGATGCATTGCGTTTCCTACGCTCTAGTCCACCTCAACATTGCCCTTGCGCAATTCCACCTTGGCCAGCTCAATCTCCTTTTGCAGCTCGGCGTGAGCTTCGGGAACGTCATTGAATGTGAAGATCGCAAGGCCGAGGCGACCGAGCAGGTAGCAGCCGAAGACAATGACTGCGTAAAAGGGAAGCTGTACGTCGCAGACAACCGTGCAAATATCAGTGACTGCCCGAAAATCGCACCATTGCATCGCAGCGTAACAGGAGATACGTACCACGGGGATGATCTCCGTCTGGATGGTCTCGTTCAGGGGGACCAGGCCAAGGTAAAGTGAGAGGTAGAACTAAAGCTTCGAAGTTAGCTCGGCCCCATTGCTCACGTCAATTGTTCGTATGGGGGTCTTCATGAGTCGGGTCCGTCTGCGATTTGAACGTACGGAGGAAACCAGGAGAAGGACGGAGACCGTCTGCTGTGCGCGAGTCATGATGAGGATAGGGAGAGACGGGGAAAATAAGGGAGTAGGTGAGCAGGTGGTCGGTAAGAATGGATGTATAGGGGTGTATCTGGCGCCACGCTCTAATCGCGATATGATTTGGACCACAAAAAAGAATGAAAGAGTGACGGGGTCGGTAGCTGGCGCGGTTTATCTGGATGTAGTGATGTACACTCAAGGATGGAGGCCAGCTTGAGGGTGAAGCTTGGCTTGGCATTGGAAAGGCGGCATGGGACGAGGACCCGCGCGGTCAGGTGTCGATAGAGGGATGGCCTGAAGGCTCAACTCAGGAAATTTGGAGACACAGTCTCAGATTTGGGTCTACAGCTTACATGAACACTTCGAGCTTGACTTTCTCAATGACGAAATATCCACAATTAGGCAACCCCTCACCTACTTGAATTGATTGCTCTATTCCCTTGAGTCCTAAACAGCTTCAACCATCCGACTATACCCAAAGAGGGCGGCTGCCTGAGGTGGGTTCAGGCAGCATCAGCGCGGATTGGTTCACTCTCCGTGTCCTCAGATACTAGTTCGAGATCTTTCTGAATTCTTAAAAGCTAAGGTATTGAGAGTTCAAGGATATTCTGAACTGCGGCTCCATTGAGTAACCCCCTCCTGTGACTCAGTACATAGGCCTGCTCTCATCTCGCTTCTTAGCGTTTGTTCTCCAGGCTCCTATCGTCGCCAACAGGGTGGATGCACCCCGACTAGGAAAGAAACCTCTCCACTACTGGTTCCGCTAGAAGACAAGAAACCATCCATTGGCAGTTCGCAGTGCAAGGGCCTCGCAAAACACATCATGGAGGCTCAAAGTACTATAAGACCAGCTCCTGGAGCTGGGGTTGAGGAGATCAATCCGGCTCCCATCAAGCGTTCCAGCTTTGTTTTGCCGACTGTGTCTAAAGTATTGTCTGACCTGCCTCAGTCTTCCTCATCATTGTCTGACCGAGGCTCTGAACCGTGCAGCTTGCAAGATCAACAGAAGATGTTTCGAGCTCTACGGTCGATCATTGAAAACGCCGAGGCCGTGTCAGAACCGGCAAATAGCTTCGATCTGAAAGAACTTCATGCTTCTTTGGAACAGGCCGATGAGGATGCTCGTCGGGGCCGAAGAGATCCAGAGACTTTGCAAAGTGTACTGGAGATACTTCACAAGCTTTGGACGTCGGACTCTGAATACCTTGCTCTAGTAGCAGAGATTCTGGCTAATGGAAGCCGCGACGGTGAGCTCCTTGAATGATTCTAGTTTTGGACCGCGGCCCTATTTTTTTTTTAAGGCTACAGACTGCTGACAGCGGGAGTATAGCTTCATGGCGGGTACCAATCGGGCGATCTGGAATCCTGAAGTTCTTCTTGGATCTTGTATCGTCCACTTTGAAGGTGGATATCAAGCTGCTGCTGCATTCATTGCGGTTGATTGGGAATTCATGCGCGGATACGAGTATGTAAACATTCCCTGTGCTTGATGCTTCCGAGACCGAGAATGGCTTTTCTGAAGATGGAGCAGATGAGAATCGGCAAATTGTTGTCGACGGGAGGTACACTTCTGCTATCATCGGACATTTCCTCAACCCTGAACTGGTTCACGTGGCGATTCCTGTCATATACAACATTTGCATGGACTTCGGTAGGACCTTCCTTCTCTGACCAATATGCGTCTAGATCAATGATGGACTGACGATGAGTAGAGCCTGCGCACGCTCAAATAGCTGAAAATCGAGCGGCTTACATTATTCTGAAGCTTTTGTACGACGGAGGCCTCCGAGACAACAGCGCTCTTCTCAGTTTCTCATTTGACTTGGTGGAGCTGGCGTCAGAGCAAGGTATGAGGCAAAAGGCCCAAGATGCTGTCTTAAACCACCTTATCTGACATTCAGTAGCGCAAGGTATTGCAAACTCACCTGATGGAACAATCTGGCTCCTTGCACACCTCGCGCTGGAGGAAAATGAATTCGAACACTTTTCATCGTTGGCCAACAGCCTGTCGGCTTATTTGGCCACCGAGCAGTTTCAAGGAGTCTGCATCTCGCACGGAATGGTTGAAGAGGTCCTCGGTGTTCTTCGTCATTCCTTCGAAATCAGCCTCGATGAATCATCGGCTGACGAAGTCTCAGCCATGGCACAAACCCGGCTCAAGATCAATCAAGCACTTGCAGAAGTCTCAGCGGCATCGTCTTTTGCTGAGAAATATCCTCTCAGCTCAAGCATAGCGCAGACTTTGAAGTCCTGGGTCACAGTCGACGAGGAGCAGCTTCAAATCTGTGCGTGCGTCATAATGGGTAATATTGCTCGATCCGACGAGGTCTGCCAGGTAATGGTGCGAGATCTGAAAATCCACGAACAGCTGATTGCCGTGCTCCAAAACGGCTCTCGCGGCGCCGTTCTCCATGCCGCGCTGGGCTTTCTGAAGAATCTTGCAATTGCGGGCGACAATCGGGTGAGTCTGGCAGAGGCCGGGATTATTCCGGCCGTCTCCCGTCTGTGGGCGTTCGATTCTGTTCCCCAAGTTCAGTTTTCCGCTGCGACTATCGCACGCCAGGTGACCATTGCCTCGATGGACAACATCTCACTCTTGCTTGCTCCTTTATCGGAGGACCCGGACTCTCCCGCCAGCAAGCGAACATATCTCTCCCTCCTACTATCATTGTTCGAAAAGACAGACTCCGCACCTATCAAGACAGAAATCGGACGAACCGTTGCGTCTATCTGTCGGACCATCTCTCCCAAGGCCCGAGATGGCGACCAGACCGCGAAGCTATTGCAGGAGAAATTGTTCTCCTTACACGAGGGCGTGGCTCGGCCAATCGGGGCAATGATTACCCAGACTCAATGGCCCGTGGTGAGAGGTGAAGGCTGGTTCGCGCTTGCTCTCATGGCCAACAATGCATTGGGCTGTAGGGCCGTAGTCGATTGTTTGCACAATGAGGAGGTCGCGGCCCTTTTGAAGTCAACTCTGACAGGAACTGCAACAATTTCATCGACTCCCTCGGAATCCACAGAGACATCGAACTCTGTGGCCGTGGATGAAGCTCAGGCGTTGAAAGATCGCGATAATGCATTCGTGCTTGTGCAAGAACTTCTTAAGAATGAGGTCAGTCCCATAGTTAGAACGATTGCACCGAGGTGACGTTACAGATGACTGACAGCCATTGCATTCTTTTAGGCCGGTGCACTTCCAGCAAGCTATCGGGAGCTGATGGAAGATCTTGCGAAAAGCAGCCAAATCCGGAAATGAAGTAGCCCTACGATAGAGTCTAGATAGATGTCGACTTCTGTGTCGAGCCGCTGAAGATTACGCATCTAACCAAGGACTCGGGCGTTACCGCTTGGGCTCCTCGGCTATAAAGATTCACAAGGAGCCAACCATACTAGATCAGCGTTTTGCCGATGTAGACAAGTGTTTAGAGGGCCGGCTCTTCGAATGATGAGGTAGTACCTCGGTACACAAAAGCCTCCATATAAAATATGGCAAAATGTCAAAAATGCAATGAGCGATGCTAATCAACAAGTAAATGGGTATATACAAACGTGTGGTTTCCGTTCCACACATGACATGATCCGTCTTCGATGGACCTCGCTCTCCAGTCTCTATCACCTAGTCGGTCTGCACACGTTTTCCTGCGCATAAGCATGGTATCGCTCCAAGAGATCCGTAGAATCCAGCCCAGCAACGGCCATCTCAGCCGAATAATGTGACGCCAGACCCTTCCCATCGATGGTAATATTTGGATGAGACCCATCAGACGCAGTCCATATCGTTGACAGTCCCTCACTGGCAGTCTGTTGACCGTATAACTCTCGCAAGGCGGCCGCATCCTTACCCCAGAAACACCCCAAGGTACTGCTGACCGCCTCTGGAGGATTCTTCCACAGAGGAAACTTATAGCGACTCAAGGTATTCGACTCGAGATGGTCGAGAAACGAGTAATGGTGCTGCGCGCTCACGGTCCACTCTTGCAAGCTGGGCCCTGTCTCGCGGCGCATCGCCGACGCGATAGGGTCGCGATCCAGTCCTTCTTCGGCTACTGGAAGCCATCGATGGCCTTGGAAGGGAGGCCTGAATTCTTTCTCAATGACGAACGCGGCAGGTCCGTTCCACAAAGGCAGGTTGGATGCGTGCCAGTCACTGTGGGACTGGCCATTGGTTTGAGGATCTTGGTCGGCTTCGTCGAGCTCTGGAAGATAAGGCAGCGCGACTCCGTGGTGGCTGTGAAGAGAGGATAGAGCACCCTCGCTCATGACATTGGCGGATATCATTAATGAGTCTGGATCTTCCAGTCTTGTTTTGACAATTGTCGGGATAGTGTGATCCTCTAGGAACACGACGTCTCCGTCGATGCGGACGTATAACACGTTCGCTTGGGTGAATTTCCAATCCATGTCATCTTCTCCCACTGAGATGGCGTACTCGGGGGTCTTTTGAACCAGTGCGTCAAGCCACTGTAGACTGAACGCATCATCCGTCTGCGGGATAAACACGACTTGATCCAGCAGACCGCGGTTTTGAACCAGGTTGTTCTGAGAGATCAATTAGTATTGAGCCTCTGAAGGGCTTGATGAGGGATTAATTATTGTTCGAGCTCACCTGTAGGTAACAATCCAAGATCGCAGTACGCTCGTGATAATGGAACGGAACCAAGGCTACTATTCTAACGCCATGCGGCTTCGGGAAGTATTCCGAGCCTTGCGAAAACGCAAAGAAGGGAGACACTTCGATGTTGAAGACATAGGAAAGCGGATTGAATGGTAAGAGTGCAGGATTGCAATACGCAATGATCGATAGAACCAGGCTCCCATATAAGAGCACCGCCCACAGGAGACCCTTTATCAAGTAATGCTTCCTGAAGAGTCGAGACTCGAATTGTTCACCTATCGTCTCGACATCATCCGCGCCCCGTAACGAACCCATGGTGACAAAGAGACGATGTCCAATATGGTGCAGTAGTTGACGAGGTGAAAGATGCGAAAAAAGAAAATCAAATACATCATGGCGAGATCAGCCCTGCAGACATCTTCTTCAGTTTGAACGCCAAGCTTGACCAACTTGGTTGTTCCCGGTAATCTCGGGCCCCGTTTTCGGGACGGCGGATCTCTCCACCAGACAGGACCGAAGCCATATTTTTTTCCCAGTCATTCGGAAGTCCAGACGCATTGTTATTTGTTCGTAACTTGGTACTGCTTGCACAGAACCACAAGGCTTGCCGGAATAAGAAAGGCTGTCGTGGACGTAGACGGAAAAGTTAGCGATCGGCATAGGCTGGAATGTGGCTTGCCGCTGGTGATGGATTTGGCTTCTTTAGTAGATGCGCCCAGAGAAGTTTGGCGAACTGGTCAAGTTGGGCACACCTCTTCTTGGGAAATTCAGCAGTAATAAACGCAGTCATCATGTTGACACAATCTGAAACTATAAATACTGTGTGTCTTGTCATGAATGTTTTCTGTTTTCCTCTGACGCGTCCATTGATTTAAGCGCACCTGTGAGTAGAGTTCTAAGTAGACCTCTCGGATGCTTATCGGGTCTATCGGGATAAGTACTGTACTACTTTAGTACTTCCAGTGCTCCTACTGAATACTAACTGTGATTGCACGTCATCATGATATGAACTCCGTCTCATTTGTATTCTAAGCTCCCTATTATCGATGGTTCAGTCCAGTCATTCTTATACAATCAGCCTTGTTCATAGTCATATAGATTTAAATACCCGATCGTACACCATATCCAAACCAATCAAACCCTCCTCGGCTCAGCCAGTCCCGATGACGTAGTAACACGTGCTTGCGGGTTATCGGCCTGTTATCGCGCGCGTGCATCGGCTTTCCTCTTCAATGCATCACGACCGATCATGAGGGCCGTCCTATTAGGCCGGCTCTGTTTACGGCGCAGCTTTACACATATTCCAAAACACACACTGGTCCAGTCATGGAAAGCCTCATCAAGACGCATACCTCACAGGGGCCCGGTACTGGGAGCCCTGATGATGGCCTCCCTTACACCCGGCGCCTTTCTCAAGCTCGCGGAAGAGTCGGAGGGAGATGAGGTCACGGGTGAGATGCAAATGCTCGAAGTGTCGCGGGAAGAGATTCGAAAACAGGTGTCCAAAGATTCAAGAGGTCTGTCGAGACTGTTCCAGTCGATACGGGTCTTCTGGTACTACTATGTCTATGATCCGATTGCAACTGGATTCCGGTTTCTTCATCTGGCTATCATCTTTGTGCCAGTTGTGGTTACGGTTCCAATAATTTGGGTTGGGAGCAGGATTGAGGGTGGAACGAATGCTCAGACAGGCACGCTATGGTGGTATCGGTTCTTGGTTAAAGCGATGGAGCGTGCTGGCCCCGCGTTCATCAAAGTAAGTGGCACCTTAGGGCTAAAGGGAGGCCCATCCGGCATGGAATTGAATATGAGTTCAATACTGACTGAATTTTTGTTCACAGCTTGGACAATGGGCTGCATCACGAACCGACATCTTCCCACCGGAGATGTGCAACATCATGTCTTCACTACACTCCAATGCCCCTGCTCACTCACTCGCGGACACAAAACGTATCATTCGAAAGGCATTCAATGGCAGACGCTTCGAGGATATCTTTGAGGAGTTCCAGGAAGAGCCCCTGGGTGTTGGTGCGATTGCCCAAGTCTACAAAGCAAAACTCAAGCCGGATCTCGCGACCAGCGACGAAGAACTCGAACAGGTACCGAGCACTTTGAGCGAGAAGATGAGAAAGAACGTCGATGTGCTAGTTAAGAGCTCACCTCAACGTGTCCCCTCATCCTACGTCGCTATCAAAGTCCTGCATCCTCGAGTGGAAAAAATGATCCACCGCGACTTGCGTATCATGGGTTTCTTTGCGTCCTTGATCAACGCCATCCCTACGATGCATTGGCTGTCATTCCCTGATGAAGTCCACCAGTTTGGGGAGATGATGAAGCTGCAACTGGACATGCGAATTGAAGCGACTAACCTGGTCATGTTCCGCGAGAAGTTTAAAACGCGCACAACAGCATGGTTCCCATATCCTTACCTGGACTACACCACCCGCGAGGTGCTCGTGGAAGAGTTCGCCCAAGGTATCCCCTTGGCAACCTTCCTAGACATTGGCGGAGGAGTCTATCAGCACGAGATTGCCAACGAAGGCCTGGATGCATTCCTGCATATGCTTCTCATTGACAACTTCGTCCATGCTGACCTCCACCCGGGTAATATCATGGTTCGCTTCTACAAGCCCAGCGAGCTTGATCTGTCTCTTCGGAAGACGTCTCGCGCCACCGAGGCTCCAACCCGAGCCGAGGTTGACGTCACTGATGCAGTTCTCGATCGCTTGCGACCGCATCTCAGCGACAAATCCGAATGGGAGTCCGCCCTCGCTCAACTCAACGATGAGGGATATCGCCCCCAGCTGATCTTCATCGACACAGGACTCGTCACACAGCTCAATGACCTGAATCGCCGGAATTTCCTCGACCTGTTCCGAGCCATCGCAGAGTTTGACGGTTACCGAGCCGGCCAACTTATGGTGGAGAGATGCCGCACACCGCACGAAGTCCTCGACCCAGAGATCTTTGCCCTCAAGATGCAGCACCTTGTTCTGAGTATCAAGTCGCGCACATTCGCTCTGGGTAACATCAAGATTGGCGACGTGCTTAGTGAAGTTCTCACCATGGTCCGGGGTCATCACGTTCGGTTTGAAGGGGACTTTGTCAACGTCGTCATCTCATGTCTCCTCCTCGAGGGTATTGGGCGTAGCCTGAACCCAGATCTTGATCTGTTCAAGAGGTGAGTCAAAAGTGTTGCCAATATATCATAATGGCTAGTTTCCAGGTCACTAATTCAGATCTTTTGATCATAGCGCACTGCCAATTCTTCGACAACTGGGCACCGGGTCGACCTTTTTGCAGACCGTGCGATCAGGCGACACCTCGATGTTGCGTGTTTGGGTCAGCTTGGAGGCACGCGGGTTGCTGCAGGCCAGCATTGAAAGTGTCGAGCGATGTGTCAAGTACGATCTGCTCTCTCCAAACATATGATCGGGAACGCAAGCACTTTTGCCTCCAACATCCTCAATCTAGCGCATGTCTGTCAGGTATGGCAGAAACTACGATAAACCCAAATAATGCTTATCAAGACGGAATAATCCCCCCTTACACATAGACTTTCCCACGTGATATATTTGCCAGTAGCTGCGTTTTTCCATTGTCATCATAGGTATACATACATTAAGTTGTGAACAAATCTGAAGCGGAGCCAGGAGTAGATGCAAATTACGCAAGAATCGAAAGAAGGGAGAGAGAGAAAGGACAGGACCATGATACAAGGGCACAACCAATACAACGCCTGGGCCATGTCTATAGAAGAGAAATACACAAGGATATACAAGGATTGAGTGGAGAAACATCGGCCCTCTCAGCCGTTCTGGTAGAGATGCTTTAATGGCCGGGAGTGGCACCGGGCTCTCGCGCGGCACCGCCGCTGGCCCTCCACCAAACATCACCTCCCCACCGCATGAGCCGCTCAACGGCTGCGGTAGGGGTGTCGAGAGCGGGACGGATGTCAAGATAAAAGACGGGCTCGCCGTTGGGCTCGGGATCGCCAGAGTAATAATCGATCACGTAGCGGATTTCCTTAGGGCCGGAGGGAGTTTGCCGTTGAACGAACCAGTCGTGACGGTCAAAGGGAGGGGGCGTCCTGAAAAAAAATCGCAAGGTCAGTGTACGCTATTTTGAAATAAAAGAGACCAACTCTTGAGCTGTTCTCGTGTCGTTTACCAGACTTACTCGAACTTGGAGGGATACACCCATCCCAAAGTCTGGAAGATGCGGGCCTTGGGAGTCAACTCCTTGGGACGGCCCTGGAAACGAATCAAACGAGGCTCGCTCGTCTGATCTATTTGACCAGTCATCTCTTCCTTCATGAGCTGATAGCCAAGGTTCTCCTCGCCCCGTCGGCAGCGCTCCCATCCAGCACCAAGACCCTTGGCGAAGGTGCGCTCCCAGCCAACGATCTCGTTCCAGGCGCCCTCGTTCAAGAAGTTATGCACGGCGACCATAGACTCAACAGCATCCTGGGGAGTATCCGTGTATCCCTTGCGCAGCATCGCGTTGTACATCTGCTGCGCGGAGGGATACTCCCAGTTGCCCTCTGAGTCTCCTCGGGGAATCGACGAGGTCTCTCGGTTAACGGAGAGGTCCACGGTCTGCTGAGGGGCACGTTCCTGCGAGATAGAAGAGAACATGTAGTTGAGAGGGTTTAACTTGGACAGAGTGGATTGCTGTGGAGCGGCGGCAGCAGCAGCAGTCTCCGACGAGGCTGGTGGGTTTGAGGCCTTTGCGCCGGCGCTTGCGGCGAAAGGTGAATCTTTCGCCTTGGACATGGGGCAGTTACTGGGCGGCTCGGCTTTTTGGGTGACGACGGCAGGAGGGACAGCTGTTGAACCAGACTCGTGCATGGGACATCCAGGCTTTTATTTTGGGGAGTCTACAAGTCAGTTTCGGAATGAATCATCAAATGTTTTTGTCTGGGAATGATCATACTGGAATTGCAGCGCCAGGCGTAGTAGGGTGTGGCGCAACAGGCGCCTTTGTCTGAGAATCTGCCCAGAACCAACCCATTTTGTCGATATAATAATTATGTATTGGGCGTGAGACGGAAGTGAAAAATGATAGCGGGCTTGAATAAAACAGATGTTCGTTGCGCAGACGCGGCAGATTATCGGGACATCGGAAAGAAAATCCAAGAGATGACATAACTATCACGTGAGACCAATCGGCTTCCTGATGCCGAAGTATACCTAACTTTTATTGCTCGGGCTTGTAGCACAGCAGTGACAGCACTGCTGTCCAAGACGATTGTATCTCTTAATGAAATATTATTTGGTGATCGGTCTCTATGCATGTATGAGTCTTGATTAAATACATATCGGCTTCTTCAAAGGATCATCTTAGCTCTGACATCGTATTACAGGCTCGCATTTTATTAGCGAATGGAGAACTCTCCACTCGCTGCTTCATCTAGCCGCAGTTCTTCTCCCGAAAAAATAACACCTATTCTGCGGAAGCTTCGCTCCCGGAGAGGCGAGAGCTGCTCAACTTTAATATCAGAAGCCAATAACAAATACATATACTTCCACATCAGGCGATCGAGCCCCACAATGCTTCCCAGGGGTACAAGAGCCAGTTTCATCCTGGAATGGAGAAGCCGTAGAATAACACAAGTCAAGATGTACGCGGATCTTCCTGATCCCATTCCTCTGGGCTGTACCAGACCGCAGCTCGTTTCTGACAAAGCGACCACGTCGAATCCTGCGGCAAGCCTTTGACCGAGGAAACGTGATGCAAGATCATCGAGTCCAGCCTTCGAGATGATATGAATGTATTTCACGACCAGACACCCCGATGGACTGATGCTGTCAAACACTCGAGGAGATGGGCTGTCGCCCTGACGAACAAGACCAAGCGAGAAGCAACTCTCGTCGGCTAACCAAGCCATTTGGCTTGGACAACGGTTTGGGCTGCGGAAGAAAGACTGAATCTCTGCTGGTAATGTGTTGTGAAGCTCGACAATGAAGCGTTCCATCACTTTTGCAGGATCCATGGTATAATCGACCGGAATGGTCACGCCGATCGCTCCCATGATTCCATAGACTCTATCGTGGGGCCTTTTGCAGGTACGATGAGTTGAAGTCAATAGTAGCTCGCTGGCATTCATGGAGTTTAATTTGTGGAGGTTGATTCGGGTGACTGCATCGATCGCTTCGAGCCACAACTTGACATCCGCTTCGGTGATAGGTAACGACTCCGGAGGTTCCAGTATACTTGTATTGATTTCTTCACTCATCCAAGCACCCCCTTCCCAATTCGGCCCGCACGCTATTCGCAGACTGTCGTTGACGTACTGCAATGTTTTAACGAGGTGATTGATTGTAAGGGCATTGTTGCTCCCTCTGTGTCGGATTGGCTCTCCCTTCTTGTCGTAGAAAACAGCATCCAAACGCAGGGCAGCTTCCTGAAGCGTCCAAAGCGAGGTTGTCCAGGGAACGGCTTCCGTCAGCGATGCCACAAGTTTCGCTCTGCGGCGAAACTCTTCCAAATCCGCTGTCCCGTGCTTGATCTCGTACAGGCTTGGAAAGGGTACGGTGACCGGATCCATCATTGTAGGTCCTTCAGGAACCCAAGAGCAGATTTCGGCCAGAACTTCATCGCCGCCTGAACATAACCATACAGCTGCACGAGTGGCGGATCGGAAGATCTCGCTTTGCCTGCCAATCTCCTGTCCATGTAGAGGGTCCGAATCCAGCTGTGGTATACAGAAGACATCCACCCACGCATATTCTTCGCCTGCAATTTTTCGAATGGCAAAGTCAAGATCCTGTCGACTGAATAAAGTGTTTGCTGGAATTTGCCAGTAGCCACCGGGAACCGTAGTGTCAAGATCACGATCTCGATGCTTCCATCGACCCCATGTGTAAGACACCACCACGTAGTTGGGGCAAGGGGATGGCGTTTCAACGCTGATGCCATCGGGTCTGATCAGACGATAGGGATATATGGTTTTTTTGTGGGCTTCCCTTGCAATCAGAGAGGTATTTGCGACTTCTCGTTCGTAGGCCTCACGGTACTCCAGGCCGAAACTGGATTGCAGTATAGTGGACTGTAGGTGTGAACTGAACTGGAATGTTGGTACACAGAGGAAGCTCTCCACCAGATCCTCGTCAACATCCCAGCTCTGGGAATTAACCTGACGTTTTGTTTCATCTGTTTAATCTGAATTCTCTCTTCCACGCAGAAGACTTTGCAATTCGAGTTGAGGATGATGAACTCACTACGTACGCAGGCATCTGCGGCAATCATCAAGACTTTAGATTTGTGAAAGAAGGTAGGTTCTTGGGTTATCTCACTGGCCGTTTCAAGCATGGCATTAACGATGATCACCACAAGGTGACCATGAGAGCCACTTCGTGTCAGCTTAGACGTCAACCCCACCATTTAGGCCGCCACCATCACGTGTGACCATTAGCGGAACCTGTATACACTGGCTGAGCGCCTCGCGCTTCACGGAATTTCCTTCCTTTGGCGATTTCTTTCCTGGCCCTACGTATGCTGTAGTAAACCGCCATGACCAAAAAAGCACTTCTTGTTGGAATTGATTATATTCCCGTGTACCGAGACCGGAATCTCAGGGCTTCAGACTACGAAGGGTGTTCAAACGATGTTGAAGCAATTCGCAGTCACTTGTGCGAATACCTCGGCTTTCTACCTGAGAATGTCGAAAAGCTGATTTCTACCGCGCCGTCCCAGTCACCACCGTCCACTGGAAAGACCTCGCAACTGCCAACATATTCTAATCTAGTCAAAGCTTTTGACCACCTTGGTCAGGTCAGCCAGAAGGGCGATCTCGTTTACATACATCTATCAGTTCCCCTGTGCACTGTTCCAGCACGGATCTCCAATTTTCACTCACTACTCGGAGTTGATTACGCCCTGGAGCTGCCTGATGAAGCCAATGCAAGATCATACCTGCACACATCGGAATTGGCTCTGCTTCTCCGCGGACTCGCTGCCAGAGGACTAGATGTGAACTGCACTCTCGATGCCCGTGAAGGAGATAACGTCAGTTCCATAACGCATTTCAAAAATTCCATACATACCCAGAGCCAACTGGCGAGTGTTGCGAACCCTGATCATCATCTGTTCTTCGAACAAGAAAATACCTGGCTGTACTACCCCCATTCGCCTAATGACTACACGATGCTGTCGGTGTCTCCGGGCAGGAAATGGCCACCTCCTGTTATGACAAGTTCTCATGCAGGGAAGACATTTGGGTTTCTGACTCATCATTTACTAATGGTCTTGAGAAGAAATTGTTCGCTCATGACGTGGGATGATATTTTGTGGGAGATTTGTCGCGAAACAGAACACAAAGCATCTGGCAACGTCCACTCCTCGGGGGCTACTGAAAAGCTGTTTCTTCTCCAAGAAGGAGAGACCGGTGACTCAAGCCCGCCGTTTCGGTTCTCGAGTACTATGCTGTCGGATGGCACATCCACGAAATTGACAATTGAAGCTGGGGCTGTACATGGAATCTTCCCAGGGGCCACTGGGTTCTTTCGCCCCTTGGAACGGGAGCTCGAAAAAAGGAGGCCACAATTACCAAAGTCCGACGTGACTTTCAGTGTCACGACAGTCAATGAACTATTCAGCCTGGCAGATTTGAATGGCTCTTTCTCAGGGTCAGAAAGTCCAGGTGGGGAACTTCGCCCTTTCACCCCCCTTCTCGCATTGCTTAGGCTCACATGGCTGACACATTGGCGCATAGGGGACACGACTCCTGCAGATGTACATGTAAAACTCAGCGGGATTGCGTTGATCGAGAGAAAGACTCTCCAGCGTGAAAGCTTACTGGGGATCAAAGAGCACGTCGAGCTTTACGCCTCAACGCTCAAGCTCCGTGGCAATGCATCAGCTTTTGATGGCCACATTAGCGTTGATCTTGTAGGTGGATATGATACAAGTCTCGACGATAACTGTTTGTACAAGAGCAGACCAAGTCCAAAGATTGCTGCAGATGGATTTCTTCATATGCTCTCAGGTGACTGTGCCACATTGCTTTTGAGCAGTGATGTCGAGGAGCCTCTATACGTACAGGTGCTCCATTTTGACAGTGCTTTTGGAATCACCGCGATATCCACAAGACAGGGTCATCGGAAACTAACGAATATGAACCCCATCCGGACTCAGAACTATGGAATATTTCGGCATCTCAGTCTTGAAGTCAGCGTTTCTTTGCCGAAGGTGACACTTGAAGACGAGACGAGGACTTGGGCGAGTGAAGTGGTTAAGGTGGTGGTAACGAATCGTCCAACATCATTTCAATCATTGTGTTTGAGCTCAATCCTTGATCTGAAAGTCTTAAAAGCCCAGCCAGACCTAATTGCATCCGCTTCAGTGTGTGGTGCTGACATCGGCTTAGTGGTTGATAACATCACACGAAAGCTCAAGCCCAATCCTCACGCTCTATGGGATTATGGAGATTATGAGGCTGGAGACAAGTGGTGCTGCTTTGACATGAAATTTGTTCTTCATAAGTCGACGCAATCACTGGGAGACGTTTGAAAGGTTGAATTTTCGACCTGAAAGCTTTCAGGCTTCGCATGAGGTCTTCTCCGAAAGCGGTGTCCCTGATATTAGTTCCTCTGGTCTCAAGTTCTCTGATAATGTCGTTCCTGATATTTTCCTTTCCGAAGCTGCTGCTGGCTTTGTTGGCGTGCTCTTTGACGAGGCTCCTACCAGGTGCATCGCATGGTCACGTGCACAAGCATAGGAATCATGTGTAGTCCGCGTAAACTTTGCCATGATGCCATTCCCATCTCCTGTCTTCAGTATGATTCCGGGTTCGCCTGGCATCTCCTCAGCCCGAACAAAGTTGTCTGCGAGTAGCTCTTCAGCCGTCGCCCACCAAGCCCCATGTGAGTATCGAGCAATGTACATCACACAAGTGACATAAAGGGCATAGAAAGTCCACACACACTGAAGGCTGACAGGCATCCAAATCAGTGAGCATACCAGCCCACAGGGAAAATTGAGCCCCAAAGCGGCAATGGTAGCTATTTCAATGATTTCTTTCCATCGACATCGCCGAGGATGGCCATAATGTCGAAAAAATTGCATGACCAGGTTTTCTGGCCCACTGATAACTTGAAGTCCTTGTTTATTCTTGACGAGAACTCTCGATATGGGTATTGTCACGCTGATGTTCTCAGGATTCTCGAGGCCGTCACCCTGTTTTGATGGTGGAGCCGACGCGCATGAATTCGCCATGGGCCTCGGGATCATAATGTCTTCTCTCGATAGAGTGAACATTGCGCAAAGTAGCTTCAGCATCAATGGGATCAGCCACATGATCATGAATGCCGATCTCCAGATTAGCACAACGGCAAGTGCTACCCCGATCGCTGTGAGCTCCGTCGTCACAATCGCCAACACGATTTTCCATGACACCGGGCCAACGTCACTTTCCACGACCAGGTCTTTGAGACCCTGCCTGGAGATATGTTGGTGTTCTATCACTGAAAGTTGTAGGTAGCTGACAGTGACCACCTGGCGTCGAGTTATCGTTCGGGTGTAGCTCGCTTCTGCATTTTTGATCTCTGCCTCTTGCATGTTGACGGAGGGTTTGAGCGCATGTGAAGAGATCTGATCCATCACCCGTACCCAGAGACCGTTACGTACGCTCGCCTCGCGCTTCATCAAGCCGTCTTGATACAACTGATATGTCATGTATGTGTCGGGGAAAAACGCGGTACCCAGCATATGACCACAGAGCTCCCCCTGAAACAAGCCGTGCTTGACGAATGTGTCCATTGTCTCAAGAGCCGTCTTGTGAAGAGGACCCCCCAGAGGCATGAAAAGGGCAACTTTCCAGGCATTCTGCATTGAGAAGTTCTGGAAAGCTCGTCGGGGCCATAGTAGGCGATCAATGGGATCTGCGGTTGCTACCTCGGTCCCGATGTATCCGATCAAAGTGCCCAGCGCACTGAGAACGTTAGAAAGAGGGATGTGGTCTGTGACTGAGGAACCGTTGCTCATGATGGGCGTTGGCGTTGTAACCGAAAGCACGCCGCGCTGTTTAGTTGAGCCGCTCGAATACTCAATGACGCTCCAAAGTGTCAGATCCAGAAATTCGGGAGGGGTTAGCGTGTGCTAGTCCTAGTGGATTTTAACCAAAGAACTTTGTTTGCGTTTCGATGGCATGTTAAACATAGTGTCTGTCTGCCTCGTCTTCTGAAAGTCGAATTGACCCAGCCACTTTTTGCCCCGCTAGATTGCTGACGTGGCGGGGCATGTGTAGAGGTTAGGCGCACAGGGCTTTTCTTTTCTCAGCCGCAAGGCTGACACTCGCATACATGTTAGCATCTTGAGCTCAAATTCACACAACCTGAGATGTTTTTCCCTGTGATACAAGTTCTATTCTTAACGCAAAAGTCATTCTAGGCAAGTGTGCATGATAAATATGGCGCATTCAACGAACTCGACTTCGCAGTTTCACGGTCCTTGAGCAAATGCTGGTAGTGACTATAAACATGTCAATCTGCATCATGGGATGTCTGTGGTTCCTCAGGAGGCAGCCCGTGGCTTATGGATGCGTTGTCAATGAGCTTGTGATACTCTGGTAAAGCCCACTTGACCATCCATTCGGACTTGAGAATCTGCTGCATATTTGGACGATCCTCAGGTCTGAAAGAGAGCATTGGTCGCACCATTTTGAGAATCGCGTCTCTTTCTTCAGCATCCAAGGGGGATAATCCATTCTTTGTTCTGGGCTCTTGCACGCTGTCCTCAAATCGAAGATTCAAGGGTCGATATTCTTGACTAAGTGGCGTGCCATCCTCCTGGAAATGGTCGCGGCGAGCTTCCCACTTATTCCACCACTCTGGAGGCAGGATTCCGAGAGCTTCAACATGTTCACGTGTCATATCATCATCGGTCATGAACCACCCTTCGAATAACGAGCGCTGAGCAATGATCTCCCATATCACGCAGGCGAGTGACCAGATGTCAGAAGAGAAGGAAAGTGGTTTCTCTGGTTCGAATCGGGCCTCGGGTGGGCGAACAATCAGAGGTGCGTTCGAGTGATACTTAGGTTCTGTCGCGGGTCTGAAAGATTCACCGAAATCCGAAAGTAAGAGTCTGGCTTCAGAGCGCATGATATCTTCACTGCGCTTTCCGAGCCATATATATTGAACTCCGTGTGTAGGGACACCTGGAGGAAGTGGGTTACCGTCTAGACGAATAACTGGCTCAAGCTCTGGAGGTCGATACTTGTTGTATAGTTGTTCGATAGTGAGTTCTTGGTGCTCGGGTAGGACTTTCAAAAGAATATTTCTCAGATGTAAGTCTCCATGAACAACTCCCTGTGCGTGGACGTAATCAAGAGTAAGGGCCAGTTGGGCAGCCAACGACCGGGCTACATCAGGTTTGAACAGCCGCTTCCGTGAAGCCTCCTTCGTATCTGACAGACTTGCCATGGCCAGGGCGGTCACGTAGCATGGGTGACTTCCATTTGGGCCGTGAATGGTGAAGTTGTCAAGTATTGTCGGGATCATCGCTTTGATCATTGCATTTGCGGGATTCTGGGATAAGACGGCTCGATGGAGCTGTAGCATGATCAAGATCTCCATCTCCCTTAGGCTCGATTTTGCTACGCAAATCTTTAACGCAACGAAAGTATCAAGTTCTTCGTCGCGGGCGAGCCAGATAGTGGAATAGGAGCCATATCCAAGTTTGTGGATCACTCGGTATCGACTATGGAAATAATCGCCAATTTTCACAGGGTGATAGCCTCCTGGTTGATAATGTTCGAGCGTTTCAACATCCTCAATGAATAGGTAAAGGGGAAGCCGCGCTTCCCTATCTGGGCTTTTGCTTTCAGTGACTTCACCTTTGACAGATTTGCTGTCTGCAAGCTTGCTCTCCGTGGTCTTGCTCTCCGTGATCTTGCTCTCCGTGGTCTTGCTCTCCGCAGTTTTGCTCTCCACAGGTTGACTCTCCATACCCTTGTTCTCCGGGGTCTTGCTATTCTCAGTGTCCGTAGTGCTCATTGCTCTTGTAGTGGCGAAGTGACAGGAGCGTGTGGGATGAGTCATCGGGATTGTAGCTCAAGTTTTTTCCAGGGGGCGCGGTTGACATGGGCTCTCAACCCAAGTTTGATGATTGAATGACTGAGGATAACGGCCTGTAAATCGGGGAGAATGATCAAACTTCGAGAGACGTAATAGTAACTTGCGTGTCACGCACAGTAAGACGTCGTGATCAAACGCAAAGGGAATGAACGAGATGTGGGCGGTAGGGTGGTGGGAGGGAAGAAACCAAACTCGATCTCAGAGGCAGCAATGCAAATTTATTTGTGGACAAGGCAGACAGGGGTGAGTGGTAGGAGCACAGGGAAGGTGCCCTCATCGGACCTTGTGATACTGTGATCACACGATAACGAACTCCACCATCTTGATTCAGGCCTAGTATATCCCATCTCTTGTGGGAACTTTCGAAACATCTTCACAATCTAGGTAGCCCTTTGCAGTTCAAGCTTTGAGATTACGATGTGATTGATTACTTAGTAGCGTTTTTTAGTATTGATATGCTCGCTAGTACAGAATAGCGTTCATCACTGGCGCTATTTTGCTTCCCTGGAGGTGTCTGACTGGCATGCAATGAAGATGAAGAGTTTCCCCCTGCTACCTCGTACGTTTTCTCTTCTTCTTTCTTGCTCTGTTTGATTCTCTTGGTATGACCATCTTGCTCCTCTTCGTTGCCTGGAGAGGTGCCCGTCTACCTCCAAAATTAGCAAACTTTTGGAACTCTTATCTTATGCGACAAGTGAGAGTTTGATCTGCCTCGCCTGTCCCCTCTGCGTCCCCTCTGCGTCTTCTCTGCTTCTCTTTACTTTCAAACCATCTACTTCACCTTCGTCATCATCAACATCTCCATCATCTGGATCTGCATCACTCGTAACGGGATCTTCTGCGTCAGAATCGTCTGCGATTTCACCCTCTACGTCTGCATCGTCTGCGTCTGCATCGTCTGCCTCGACCACGCGCTCTGCGTCACTCGCAACCCAAAGAACGAAGACTATTACAGTCATAAACGAAAGATGTCAACTGATGACACTATCAAGTACTATGTTTACCCCGAATTGATACCCAGGACGGAAAAGCTACGCGAGCTCGTCGCTTTAGCTCATGAGACTGCAGTTCAGCTTGACTTGAGAGTAAAGGCGGTTCTGATCAGGTACGTATGGAATTCCGATATTTACAGCTAAGCAGTCAGACTTTCTGGCTCTCCCACTGAGTGCTTGCTGTAATTAAGGCAATCTGCAGATCCGGCCTTCACCACACGATGAGTGTCGCAGGAGGATATGTGAGAGATCCTAGGGGTGTGCACGTCACCATCTCCTTCAAAACAGAGGAGCAGCTTCTCCGTGGCACTCACGTCACCTACCATTGCTACGTACGTAGCATGAGTGACCACACTTGGATGTGTGCGTATCACGGGGGAGAAAAGCCGGACACCGTCTTGAAGAATAGAGGCGAGGTCGTCTGGCCTCCTGCGGATGAGCTGCGGCTCATCCCCGACTTTGGGCACGGGTACCTCCCATAGATCCTCACGAATCAAACTGGAGCCTTCATGTCAGTTGTTCAGCTTCGTTGCGTCAGGATGGTAGATCATAGGGGAAGCTGCAAGAGCTAGTAGTACTACTCCCAGGATACATGGGATCTTGTGTGACAGTATGAGATAAATCATAGCGTAGAACAGAAAAATTTTCCCAGTTGTTGTTCGTCTGTGGATATGCTATTTCTCTTCCCGGCGAGACCAGCAGAAGTGAAAGTCAGCAGGGAATGAGGTGAGAGTAACGTGAGAATGAGATGATAATAAGAGTCAAGCGAGATAAAGGCGAGGCTATGCAGAGAACGAAACGAATAGAATTATTGACTCTGGAGGAACGTGGGTCTTACTCTTGGATAGCTATCTTCATAGACCTGACGCTAAGTTCTGTATGCAAATGACCTATGAGAAATACTATTGTCATCAATTCAATCCTAGACGTCTTGTAATTTAGGACAAATTTGTATTACCGCAAGATTCGCGTTATACCGGTTGACCGTCAAAGTCGCGAAGTCCCTAATTTTCCTTAGTCATAGGTATCACAGCGACTTGCTATATACATATCCTGGGCGACTTGAGTGTTGTGTTTGGATAAAATTCTTGAGTCTAGTCATGATTGGTCCTTGACATTGACGCTACCGATGACGATCGCGCTATAAAGTACAACCCTACAGATTAAATGATTAATCAAGCATTAGCTGTTGTCTGGCATTTAAAATTGAGAGGCAACTTACATTTCCTCATAGATATCAGAACAGCTGTCACTGCACCTAATAGGAACCTTATTCTGGCCAGATTGATAGTCCCTAGCCGTCTGATAGGTCAAGTGGGTCAAGTCCCGAAGTGTATCTAAGAATGAGCGTCAAATCGCCAATGGCACACATGTAATCAGTCGTGGTTACGTGAAAGAGAGGGATTAGGGCTTTCTTGACTTGAATCGCCATAGAGTTCATGCAGCGAGCATACGGTCTGAAACTGAACTCAAGGACGAGCAGGATGTAACCGGGGACAAATTTTGGAGAGAACATAATTCCCGTGCATGATCAAAAGCCCCATTCTTAGCTAACATGTATGCGATTAGGACCCTGAGATCTCTCTGCAGATATAATTTAGAGAACGGAGACAGAGAAGGCAGAACGCACGTAGATGGATAGAGGAAGATGAAGAGAGGAAGATGAAGAGAGGAAGATGAAGAGAGGAAGATGATGAGAGGAAGACGATGAGACGAAGATGATGAGAGGAAGATGATGAGAGGAAGATGATGAGAGGAAGACGAAGAGAGAGGGCTTAATATGGGCTATAAAAAAGTCTCGGGGGTTCTATTAATTGACCCGATGGTGAATATTCCAGAATCACAGTATTGCAAGATATCAGCCGAGTAAGATCTACCATATTAATCATTGATTATCGTGAAGGCCTGTGTCTGACCATTTTTTTTGCCGAAAAAGCAGTAAACTGAACTGAAATAAAAACAAAGAAAGGACCGAAAGCCGTGGGTCATGTGCGCTATCGTATATACAATTGAAGCTACCGAAAGCGAGATGCTGGTGGCAGTTCGAGGTCATTCCAAGGAGGCCAGACATCCTTGTTTTTTCTTCGCTTGGAGGAATCCGGCTTCTCCTGGAAATGTTGTGCGTATTGAAATGTCATGTCCTCCTCGTTCACATAACCATGACTGGTTATGTGCGTGCCCCGTTCAATCTGTGCCTCGTTCTTTGAGGCGATTGTCACGTGGAGGCCAAGAGGATCTCTCGTGTGGACACCACCGATCCTGGTGGTGCCATGGAAAGTGGATCTGCAGGTTGTATAAATATTAGCTGTTACCCGGTGATATGGCTCGAGAGACAAGATATCTTCATGGACGTTAGTGAAATCTTATACGCACCTTATCAAGATCTCCTTCTGGCCGGGACTATAATCCTTGGCTGTTTGAAGGGCGATGTTGACGAGATCCTTGAGTTCGTCCTCGTCGCTGGGCATCATTTCCCGGTAAGAAACGGAACTTCATGTCATTCGTGATGGACATGAGTTCTGGGCGGGGAGATGAAGGTGTGAAGTTATCAGACCCGCAGCAGGGTCTTTATAAGGACATCATTTCCCTTGCGACTATTCCAGAAGCATGAGTGAAGCATCTAGAATGGCGCACCCTGAGCCTAGGTATAAAACATATAGTGGGAGATTCCACTATCAGGCGCAGCTTGACATGCTTGGAAGAAAGAATCATCATCCGCAGAGACAAAGTAGTCATTGAGTATCCTTTTGCAGGTGCAATTTGCCTTCCCTTATGTAGGCCCAGAAGTCATGTGATAAAGTAGGGATTCTTTCCCCTACTGTCTCTTGCAGTGTATTTCGTTTTTTCCTCCCTCTTCTGTACATCTGGCTCGCCTCTTCGCAGATCATCAACTCGATGCCATTCCTCTCTGTATGCTTCCGTTGCGCAAGCCTGGCAGATCGTCAACATGTGTCGACAGCCAAATGGATGCGATGACTTGTGTCACACCAGACTGGCCGCGCATAGTCCACTGCCAACCAGTGGTAACAACGGATACATCCATACGCGAAGCGATCCACAGCAGAAAGTGGTGATGCTACCATCTTCGAATGGCGGCACTCAAATCCGACGTCTGTGGGACATACCTCAATTCGGACCTAGGGCATGTCAAGCTCACTGACACTGTCAAAAACAATGCAGAAGATATTCAAGAACGACTCTCCTCCGAGATCAATGAACTCCACTGAGCTTGGAAACATCGGTAACGCCACGACCTGTCCCACTACCCAGACTTAGGACTGTGAAGAGGAGACGGCCGACGCTAGCCCCGAATGAGTAACACAAAAACTCGCAAAAATGGGGGCTTGTCACTATTTTCCGTGGAAGTGTAGCAAGAGGACTCGCCGACAGACCTCTTGACTGAAGTTCCAACTCATGAGAATTTTCATCTCACGTCCGGCGCAAGAGCAAGTCAATACCACACGAATGTGTGCGGATGTCGGAGAACTAAGAATTCCTACAGAGAGTTCCATACATGATTGCGTGAGAAATAAGGTGATGGAAAGAGCGGGAGACTTAATTGCCGAGAATCATACCAACCCTACTTGTAGGACGCAAGGCCGAGCTAGAATCGGCCTCGGCTTTGGTCCCGGTGCTGAAGACCGGGTTCAGCATCCCCGGCTCGGTCGACTCAAGAGATTCGGCCGACGGTTAGCCCGCGTTGAAGATGCTGAGTTAGGGCTTCGGGAAATTGAGAGCCGGTCGATCTCCGCCCGCAAAGCCAAATACGCACGAGTCAAAGCTCCACTCGGTAACTAAGCAGTAAGGGTCGTACCGCCGATTAACAAGTCTGGAACAAGTCACAGCTAGGTCGCGCTCGTGGAGGACGAGAAGTGAAGCGAATAATCTTTCGTTATGCCGTCGCGAGCTGCATCAAGGCCGGCGAACATTCCAAGTTCACAGGCCAGCGTGACTGCATCGTCGCAATCGCCGCTGGCCAAAGACACAATCTGCGGGTTTGGGAATGGCACTATTAACGATGATCTCTCGTTAACCTAGGCGTCTACCCTCCGGATGACACGGAGAATCCGATATTTACCCAACGGCGGAACGGGCGCTGGAGCTGGGCCGTCTCATTCTTGAGTCGGCGTAGTGGAAGGAGAAGACTGACGCGAACGGAAACATAGCATGGGTTGGACATTGATCAGAGTATGAGGTTCTTGCCTGATCTGTCATCGGCACAGGGTGTTTCACCGGCCTCACTTCAGTTACCTCCGCCAGCGACTCGTTCTTTCTCTCTTTCCTGGGGCATGGACTCGGACAAACAATCCTTTGGAAAGTTCATGAAAGTATATAGCTTGTGTTTGGCGTTAAACCTGACACAATATATGATGATATCCAATTGACCGCAGCATGATCAGGCGCAGCATGAATCCAGACATCACATGCAGTATGATATCGTCAAATAGTCCGTGAGTAAATTGCCGCGCTACATCCGCGGCCCCCAAAATACAATCTCATTACAAGCACTGATGAAATCAAAAACCTCCTGACGCATATGCCAAGCATCATTGTATGCCGCGCTCAGTGTCTACTTGCCTTTCCACGTATCCAGGAAAAGCCCCAGCCCGGTCCCCAATTCTTCCCCAGTTACCCAGGGACGTCCCACGGTGAAACTCCCATAGCGATGCTGTACAATGTTGTCGAGCACGCCCATGCTAGAGATCGACGCAGAAGGTGTCTCGTTGCGTGCTGGGGCTACAGAGGGATCGGGTCCTGGAGTCGAGGTCGACATTGCCCAGTATGCTGGAACGAGGTTGACATGGTCCTTGTCTTCGCGAATATCGCAGTAACACGAGCGAATCTTTTGCGCGATGGGAATGAAATCGTTCTGATGGACTTGGCTATTACCCTGATCGCTCAGAGCAGGGATGGCGAGGTCGATGCTTAGATATTGGCCGGAGACTGAATGGTACACAGAGACCGCTTGGCTTGGAATATTGTATGGAGGTACACAGTTTTGTCGTTGATTGATCAGGCAGTAGCTGATATACCGAACTGTACGCGGGCTTTCTGTGCGTTCTGCAAGGTCACCGACGGCTAGTGCAATTGCGGCGGCTATTCTCAGAGGAGGACTGAGGTTTATCCACTCCTGTCTAAGGTGAGGTTAAGCGCAGTTAGACTACTCGTAAGCCTCGGCCGCGAGCTGTAGGAGATTATGAAAAAGCAACAATATACCCATCCCGTCGATCATAGCGTGATGCGCACGCAGCACCAGATCAAAACAACGCCTTTGATCATCCGAAACCGGAGATCTGATCAGAAGCAGCGTCGGCAAAGAAGGAACAGGGTGATCTTCATTGCACCAATCCAGCCCAGACATTCACCCTGGGACAACGCGATGCTGGAATCGAAGTCGGATCCAGGCTACTCTCAGCGCGTCCTCGACTTGTTTCTCGGTTGTGTCGAGGCCAATTTCAGGCTGTATTGGGACACAGAAAGAAACAAACCCAGTGATTGCGAAGAAGGTTCGCCCTGTGCTCTTGTGTGCTTTGGCCAGCGAGGTGTAGAACTCTTCCACTTCGTCTATGTCTCGTTCCTAGCGCGCGGGCTTGGTCGCCCTCCAGGCGAAGCGGTTGTCAGGCTCCATATACTCCGTACGTTTCCGGGAAATAAGAAATAACTCTCCGAAATTAATTCAAACCCTATGGAAAATGGAGGATTGAAAAATAATTTTACTATCCCTATGTGACAGAGTAATGGGCCACAACTTACAAGTAGTGGGTCATTGGATATCGCTTGTGCGGCTCGGCCAAGACTTACCTTAAAAGTCGGGCTGAACGTGCGGGTTTCCAGTGGAGCACTGGGATTTGAGTGTCATGGGTGTTTGATAATATTCGTATTTTGCCGATAGAGCGAAAATGACAGGAAGCTTTGGTGAAGCGATGACACGGTTTATGAGTCCGTGATAAATTGAGCGACCTGCTCGTGACTGATGAGAGGAAATTTGAACCGGAATTGCTTCTAAATTCTTGGGCAGTACATTAGGTACTGACTAAACTGTATCGACGTCCGCACCGCCAGTGTGAAGGTAATCTTGCTGGAGCTAATTTTCTTCAAGTGCCAATAGCCTATAAATGGCAAATCTGCTCGAGGTCAAGGTGTTGGGCTTAAGGGGGCCTTCACTCCAATAGGTGAATAGGACCAGACCAAGCCGGACACAGTTCACCGATTCTCATTAAAACTGACTGGGCTCGTAAAATCCCAACTGAATATATTCACAATATGCACGGCAATTGTTCGGGGTGAAAATCTATATATTTTACATCGTGTATCATGGATCATGTGACACAAGCGCCTCAACATCCCCAGTCGCCTCATTCCAGATGGTTCTCCACTCCTCATCATGAAGGCTGGGGATGTAGAAATAGTCGCACATGATCCGAGACACTTGGTCCCAAGTACACCATTCGCAGATATTGACAATGCGGGCCAGCCGCTGTACAAATACTTGTCTTTCGGGAAACCCCGTCAACCCTTGAGCAGCTATAAGCATAGCCCAAGCATACAGACTGTAATTCTCCTTCGGCATGTGTTCAAGGAATGTCAAGTCGCAGGCTTGTACTGCGTTGACACAGTGACGCGTAACGGCCCGACCGAGGCCGCTGGAAGGCGGAGAGACGATCATGAATTTGTTGAGGAAGGTGAGAGCGGCCACGCGCGTGAGAGACTCGATGGGATGCAACTCGATTGGGGTTGGGGAGGATTCGCGGATGGCGGAGGTGTCGGGATAAAGGTAGTCGAGTAGCTGGTACTCAACCGTGTGATTCAACATAGAGAAGAATTGGTGGTCCGACCCTGTGAAAGCTTCAGGCGTTGTCTGTACCGCGCAGTGGTACCATATGAGATCTCGGATCATCAAGAGTGCGCGAAGGAGTGGAAGACTGAGCATCATGTTGGAAAGGAAGCCGGAGCCCGTCTGACAAGCTGTTGATAATGGTGGAGGCTGAATGCGGTCGTGAAGGTCTGGAGACATGAGCGGCAGATCCCACGCCAAGGGGAAGATCGGTTTGGCCAGAATGCCAGATGCGGTTTTGATGTCGGTGCTGTCGACGCCCGTCAGATCCCGTACATGAGAAATGAGAAAATTGCTTTTGTCACGGTCACGGTACATACACAATAATAGCGATCCACACCAAGGTTGACCGCATGATATCACCTCTGATGCCTCCACGTAGATCCACCATACGTTTTAAGCCCTTGAGATGAATTCGCGCCTCATCGTAGAACCCACTAATAAGCTGCAAGTAAAATGAGCAATGCGTTCCTCTCAAGGACCGGGGCTTCAACCCCGGCTTGACTGAAATCTCACGTACCGTGCCACTGAGGAGATGAATAATCGTGTCAAATGCCTCGTCAGTCAACGCTCGCTTCGGGTCGCCGAGTCTTAGATTCATTTCGCGAATGCATTTCACTCTCATCAAACAATAATCGGGATCATTGGCAATGTAATTCGAGCGAGCGACATCCATGCCACCCAGACGAGCGGATGAAAGTACAGCCCGGTGGGCTGCACTCATGCACATCATACCATAGAAGTTGCCCGGGTCGGAAGAGGAGAATCGCTCAAGAGATCTCTTTCTCATTCGCACATTAGGGTAGGTCATGGGTATGAAGACATTGATATCTTCCGACCAAGGATTAGCAAGATGCGGGTGAACTGAACGAGGGACTGGTGACTTGCTAGATTATATTCCTAGACTTACAATGATGGGTCAGATAGGCGATCGAGTAGGGCAATTTGCTGGGTCCGGCTTCGGTGCAAAACGGCGCAAAGGACCACGACAATGGCAGTGACACAGGGTCGGGGCTTGATTGCGCTGAATCTTCATGACTTGCAGCTGATGTCGAAGGTTGGTCACACCGTTCCGTAGGAGATCCGCGCCTACCCTTGACGTTCGGAGGAGACGTTGCCGACTGTGTCGTTGACGGCGACGCGGACCTGAGAACGAGCGTCGACGCCGTCGATTGATCATCTTTACCGATCCGCGACTTCGTCGTCGCACCACCTCGACTACTACTACTAGCGTCACGCCTCGCGGTTCTCTTGAGGCCCGCCAGTCTTTCGCGACGGCGCACATCTCGCATCACATGAGAGCGGATGACTTTGCGGGCGTTAGCATCTTTGATTCGTTTGGAAGTCAAGTCATCGTCATGGTCTATAAAAGTGAACATGGGCTTGTCCGATGGCGCGTCAGATGAGGATTGGTTGTCTGCAGTTTCAGGAGGAATTAGCTTCAGTAGCTTGATCGACTACTCGTGCATGACTCGTCTCTTCATGCTTTTGGTCACAAGGATCCTTGTCATGATTCGGGGCCCATGGGGCGGCGCCACTGGAAGATCAGGCGTCGTCTTCGAGATTACTTCTGACTGGTACTAGGTCCAATGCTCAACGGATGGAGTTGATTCTCCTCTTGAGGACGGGTAGATCATGAGCGGGACCCGCCAGCCAGCCACCAGCCAGCGATCCGATCAAGCCACTTGTTGACTGTCTAGCGGGCTCCTGCAGTGCTCCGACGATCCGACAGGGCCCAGCTACCATCAGGCGAGGCGTGTGGGACTCCAATTTAGAGTAATGAGCTTAAAATCCTTGACGCTCTCGGAAGATATTCCTCTCTGTCCAGACGTTGATTGCACGGGGGGAGGAGGGGGGGGGGGTTCGTGGTGGGTCTAGCTCGGCAACTGTGCAAGGAGAGAGGTCGTTTGGAGCACAAACCTGAATGGGAAGTCCGAGAACCCGCCGCGTCGCTCTCAGACTGTAGCTGGTCCATTGTTGTGGCCCGAGGGGGGGGCCAAAGCCAGGGAGGGTTGGTCACTCAGAAGCGAGATTCTGGCCACGATCAATTTAGGCAATTCGATGGATCCGAGATATAGATTGTAATGCCACCAATGACGGGAAGATGCACTCTGGGGGCAAGGAGGGGATCAGGAAGAGAATAGTAAGAAGCACACGTTATTCCAGGAAAAGGGCATGTTAAGAAAAATCTCAGGCAGATCGGGTCAGAGTGTGCTTTCGCTCCTGTCTCTGGTCGGACGAATGGACTGGCGAGGCTAGTGCGCCAACTGGCGAGACATATATCATGTAATACTGTGAAGTGTGTACTTATGCAGAGCAAGAGCAATCGTCATGCGGTGGGCAAGGTGGATGAACAAGTGAGTCGGCGGCGGCGGTGGTGGTCGTGGTGGTGGTAGTAGTCGCCAAGCCAAGTCTGTCTTGTCTCGACTCCCTCTGCTGATCATCGGGCGGATTGCGGGGACTCGGGGCCAACCTTACTGCCGTCATCAAGCGGCTTATCTGGCGACGGCGGTTATCGCTAGACTGACTACCTGAATCCACGTACTTTTTGAAGATGAACACGAGACATGTTCTTTCTCCTGGATGGAACTACATAGTCTTGAGAAAGAAAGACGCTGATGTCATAGTGGACATATGAATTGACATGGGTGTACTAGGGTAAGGTTGTGCCATGATCCATCACTCCCGCATTGCAGAGCCCGCATTGCAGAGCTTGGCAAATCTGAAATCACTCCTTGTAGATGATGCGGCTCAAGTGACCAACTAAGTATCGAGGAACCGTAAGTCAAATGTCTCAAGTCTGGGTGGTGTCTTCCCATGCGCCGGAATGCTGCGAAAACCTAAGTACACAGGCTGACTGCTGGAAAGTCAGCAGGATGGAATATAATGCCGTACGGATGCCAGCCAATAACAATAATACAAAGCAGAGATTAAAGATGTCTAGTAACCAGCCCAGCATCTAAGGCACTTGTCAAACATTTCCAAGCACACTTCATCCTCGGACATCATTGACCATTCGTGACACGAGTGCGTATCCTAGTAGAACCGCGACTCCGATCCAGAATCGGTTGCGCCGAGCCCAGCCTTGTCCGGCTTCTCGAGCCACCTGTCCGCCTTCCATAACCGCTCCAAGTCCAGCGGCACTGCCCGTCGGTCGACGACGAAGAGCGCTGGTCTCGGGAGAGCATTTGGCGGCCGCATCCGGGTCGGGTAGAATCTGACCAGTGGCGGTGTCAATCCGGTGCTCCTTCATCCACGTCCAGTTCTCCTGATCCAACTCAGGCCATTCTGTACGGAACTTGAGACCACCATCGCCTGCCTTGACATTGTTGATTCCTTTTGTGGTACGAGCAACACCGGGAGTCGCGTTGATGTGAGACCCGCCACCGGTCGAGTTCCACCAACGCGATCGTGCAGCTAGCACTCGACGCTCGCCCTCGGATGCACTGACGCTACCTGTGGTCATCTCTTCGCTAGTCATGAAAGAGAGGAGGCCAATCAGGATGGTGGAAACCTCCCATGCAGGGTTGAAAGATTTGGGATGGAAATCGCTAATTGAAAGACAGAGCCGTGTGGATGGCTGGAAGCGCCCGCTGGGAGTGTGCATGCGAATGGCAGGAGGCGCAAAGGGGTATTCAGGAGGGAAGATCAGCGTTCCCCAGTATTGACCGTTCTCATAAGGGGTGCCCGGAGGGCCGGTGAGGATGTAGTGCCATCTAGGCAGTCGTCAGCACGGGCGAGGCTCAGGGTGTCCCAAAAGAAAGGGGAAAAAAAGGCAACAAAGAGGCAGATGAGAGAACTCACTCGAGAATATTTGACTCAGATGGATGAGCGATAATGAAGGGGGGTGGGTTCTTTTGGATATTTTGGTATTCGCGAGTGAGCTGCGTAGATGATGGATTAGATGAGTCTCCGCAATCGTCCCTCTCCGTAAGACAGAGAGAGACAAGCTAAATCACTCACCCGCTTATATGCTGCCTTTGTCGCCATCTCGAAAAGCCGATATCTGACAAGCGAAAATAATGAAAGTCTTGAGACGAGGGTGTGTAGACTGGCGTCACAAAATAAATGAGTTCGCCTTAGTGGAAGCAGAGTTGTGTAGATGTGCTCGGATCAATCGTCATGGTCAAAAGAGGTGGGCGCGCAATTCCGCGGCGGCTGTCCCGATAGTCACGTGCATGTACGGTATCTTCCAACGGCGCGAACATGGACCTGAAAGAGACGGCTTGTGAGGAGAATACTGGCCATTGAATCGAGTCATCATGTCGTCGACTCTCTCTGCGGCCGACGAAGACGTATGTGGTCATCGACTAAAGCTTTGGATCCGCTATTGACCATCTATAACTGACTCTGTGGAGCAGATCTTCGAACGTCTGCAGCAGCGCAAGGACCCGAAGGTGCTGGAAGAGCAGCAGCAAGCGATCAATGAGCGGACGCAAGCCATACTTCAAAAGGCCCAGGCTCGCCTTGGAGAGCTGGTAAGATTTGTGGAATCTCCGTGGCCTGTTGCTCAATAGCTCCATCGTAAAATGAGCTGTGTCGCGTGCTAGCTTCGGAGCTTTCGGCTAACTGTGGTGCTCACATTAGCTGGACCAAAACTCGACCCTGCCATGCGCTGTATCATCCGTTCAGGTGCTGAATGCGCCTCACACCCGCCGAGGCTTCCTTGAGAAGATCGTGAGCCCTCTGCTCAGCGAGAACAAGGACAAGCCCTATACTCTTTCCGAGGCACTGCGGGAGATTTCGCAGACTGCTGACAAGCTGAGCCGATTTGGTTCGTGAATATTTGAGAGACGCCGGGATGCATGTCTGAGAATAGCGATGCTCTTGGCTTTCCAGTGTCAACCCTTTCTAACTTGTCGGCAGACCTGTTCCAACAACCGATTGCCATTCACCTCGACGAGTCTCGCACCGACCTCAGTGGACTACGAACCATCGATGTGCTTCTGGCTACGAAAGAAAAGTCGCGGGTACTGTTGAAGACGGGCACTGATCTCGGAAATGCCGAAGGCTCAGCCTACGGTAACTTGCTGTGGCGGAATGTGTTTGGCGGCGCCGAGACGTTGAACTTGAATGCTTCGTTGGGTACACGCACTCGATCCGCCTATCAAGCTGCGTTTGAGACCCCAATCCTGTGCGACCCAGACTTCCGCCTTGAGGTTGGAGCTATCGCGAGTGCCACGCAAAAATCCTGGTCTAGCCACGAGGAGGTTCTGAAGGGTGGATGGAGCAAGCTTCGGTGGCTGTCAAGGAGTGGCCATCGTCACGAATTAGGCTACAATGGATTCTGGAGACAAGTCACCGGCCTGGCAGAGAACGCCTCTCCCGTCGTGCGAGCCGATGCTGGCGACAGTGTCAAAAGCAGCATCTTCCACAGTTGGGTCAACGACCAGCGCGACCACCCCATGTTGCCTTCTCGTGGATACTACGCCAAGGTGTTCAATGAGGTTGCCGGCTGGGGTCCCTTGAAGGGCGATGTTTCCTTCTGGAAATCCGAAGTGGAGACGCAAGGTGCCCTGCCTATTCCTATCCCCGGTGTTCAGGGTGATAGCGGAGTTAGCCTGACCACGAGCTTCCGTGCCGGTCTCCTTGTTCCCTTGGGCCTGGGATCTGATTCACGTCCTCAACTTTCGCGCATCAACGATCGTTTCTTCCTCGGTGGTCCCACCGATGTCCGTGGCTTCCGACTATGTGGCTTGGGTCCCCGCGAGGGCGTGGATGCTTTGGGCGGGGATGTCTATGCCGCCGCCAGCACCAACTTACTCTTCCCTCTTCCTCGCGTCGGTGCTGATAAGCCCCTGCGCATGCAGCTCTTCGTGAACGGTGGCCGTCTTTTGCCTCTACGCACATCACAAAAGGCTTCTCCTACTACCAGCGGTGAGGTGCAGGATGCCGTTATGACGACCGTGTCCGATCTTCAGACTGGACTGCCCAGCATTGCTGCCGGCGTGGGTATCGTCTACGCTCACCCTGTCGCTCGCTTCGAGCTGAACTTTTCTCTTCCGTTGGTGTTGCGCAAGGGTGAGGAGGGCCGCAAGGGCTTGCAATTGGGAATTGGCATCAACTTTTTGTAAATGTGTGTATTCAGTATTGTGATTAGAGCTTAGCGGTGTCAATTATTTCCAAAATTCCTCATTTTGAATGTATTTATGGACCGACCGATCATCGAGATTATGGCTCATCATGGCACAATTCCATAAGTGGCCAGATTTTCCTAGCTCCTCGCAGAGAGTCAACTCGTCTATCTAGAAGTATCCTGTCTCAGCACCGATGCCTGTGCAAGGGCTCATGTGTATCATTGTAAATCACCTGACTAGAAGTATTCCGCAGCAGAAGGCGGAAGGGTCACCATTTGACAAGCTCGTCAACTGGCGAGTCTGCGGCCAAGCCGCCAACTGTCCGATTGCTCCAACTTGCCGCTGTTGCATTCTGCTAGTAACACTAGTCTACTACTACTACTACAGTACGACCCTTAACTACGGCTTGCTGTACCCTCTCACGGCACCGTCGGTGTCCACTCCACCACACCTCACTTAAGCTCACTCATTCTCCGTCCTGTTGTGCGCCTCGGCCCTCAACCTCCCACTCTACACCTTCAACCACTCCACTCCGCCGCATCTTCCATCACTCCCTTCCGTCTACTTCTCGACGCCAACAGAACCCACATCAGGACCCCAGCTAGCCAGCCAGCCACAATGGCTCAATACTACCCCAATCAACAGCAACCCTCCCAAGGGTACGCGCCGCAAGCCAACGCCCAAAATCTCCAGTTCTTCCCGTCCTCCTACTCTACAGTGTCCGGCCACACGACGCCCTCACAAGCCTCGTATGGCGCAGGGTTTGGCGGTGCGCCGGGCTCGTCCGCACAGGCGTACCCCGTGAGTGGCGGGTATGGAGGGTTCGGAGGTCCGGCGGGGGGTGTGAGTGGGAGGATGGGAGAACAGGGTGGATTGCGGACTGGATGGTTGGCTGCGTTTGGAACGGAAGGGTATGATGGCGAGCCGCCGTTGTTGGAGGAATTAGGGGTGAATTTTGAACATATTCGGACAAAGGTGAGTTCTGTAGAGTTTGATCTGGACTCGAGAAGCTAGCTGCGTGGTGCCTTATGAATTGGAATCCGGAGGTTGAGCGGATGAGGATCTGGACATGCGTTGTCTGTGTCGCAGTGCGACTGGGATTCGACGATATTGTTGGGTCTGCCCGTGGACAGCTCCAGTGAAACAATCATTTCTTCTTCAAGACCGACGGCTTCCATTGCTTGCTTGCACTCGAACACACACACACACACACACACACACACACACACACACACACACACACACACACACACACACACGCACACAATTCCGGCTCAAGTTCTAGCCCAGCTAACCCCTCGGTGCGTTCTCTGGCCTCCTAGACCTTGACCGTCCTCAACCCCTTCGCCTCAATCGACAGGCACCTCATGGATGACAGTGATCTCTACGGCGCCCTTCTGTACATCGTCCTATACGGCACATTCCTCCTCTTCTCGGGCAAAGTCTTCTACGGCTACATCTACGGCGTCGCCGTCTTCGGCACAATCGCTCTCCACCTCATCCTCAGTCTCATGTCCCCGGCCCTCGACACCGTGTCCGCCGCCAACGCCGCCGATCCCACGGCCAACTACTCCCCGCACCATAAACCGTCCATCTCCGGCGTCTCTTCCGCCTCTGGTGTCGGCGGTTCTGCCGCAGGCCATTTCTCCGCCACGCTGACATTCCCGCGCTCCGCCAGCGTCCTGGGCTACTGTTTCTTGCCCCTGGTCTTGACTGCCCTGGTGGGCATTCTGATCCCCATGGATACGCTGTTTGGATATCTTTTGACGACGGCCGCGGTGGGCTGGTGCACGTATAGCTCGTCGGGCATGTTCTGTGCTGTGGCGAGAATGAGTGGGATGCGCGGCTTGGTGGCGTATCCGTTGGCGCTGTTCTACGTGGTATTTGGAATCATGGGCATCTTTTCGTCGAGGGGGACCGGTTCGCTGGCTGCGAAGACGGGAGCTGCGTGAGGCGATGGCGTTATGCTATTGCTTTCTTTTGCTCCCTATCCGCTCTCGCTCATTTGAGACTCCATCGGCTATGGAAAATGAGAAGGGGGGGGTGCATTTTTCTTGTTTTCCTTTTTCTTTTGTCCCTGTCTGGCGGGGAATTAAAAAGACTGAGATGATGAGAGATGATCTGCGGAATGGAAAGGACATGTCTGTTGTTGTCCTATGGATAATCATGGACGTATTCGATATGAATGCAAGAGGCCCCCAGCATTGCAGAGTTTACATTATTCCGTCGTGGGCGTTCAAGACATAGATTACATGACGCAAAAGAAAGATCCTAGATAGGTATGCAATGAACTCCGATCTATCATGCTGAAAGACAGGTCTTTCTCGCTGAAGTATGTATAATCTATGGAAAAATTGGAAATTTCACGTCCGTGTCCGGGACTGTGCCAATGAACCTGAATCCAACGCATTATAAACCATAAATGCAAAGTGTCATGAGTCCGCCCCCCAAATTACTTCCACCCATCCGCCCTCAGCCCATCCGCCTATCTTATCGATACTCTATTATAAACCGGACGAAGATTCCCCCTTAGCAGGCGCCCATCTACCCAGCCACTCGCGCATTTTCTCCAAGTTACCCGCGGCAGCCTCGGCGCCAGCAATACACCAGGCAAGATCATATGATTTTGATTTCTGGTCTGCGTCGTCGCCACCGTCACCGGCACCCTCTGCGGCGACCATTTCAGCCAGGTTCCGGCGATATTGGCCCGTTTCGTCGGTGCAGAAATAGAACGGGGCGGTGTTGCGGCTGTCTGGATGGACGTTGATCGGGTCGATGAGCGGACGGGTGATGGCGGTGATCTCGGCGACGCTCATGGGTTTCGATGGTGTGGTGTCTGGTGATGCGGGCTCGCCGGCTTGTGGGGGAATATGTTGTTTTCCCGTTTTGCAGTAGGGATTCTGACACCAGGGTTTGCCGCAGCCGCTCATCAGTTGTGAGAGATAGCGGCGTTCGATGCGGCGGCGGAGAGCCTTGCCTTCTGGATCGTATGTGTCCACGTACAAGGGGCCGAAGCAAATACTGCATAGGCCGAGGGATTGATTTCCGCCGCTGCCGCCCCAGGCGAGGGTGCGGCCGCAGTTTTGATTCTGACAGATTCGGGGTGGCGGGCGCGAGACGCGCTCGAGATCGTGGTGGCGGAGGTGGGTGTTCATGTCTCGGAGGCGGACGATCTTGCTGCACAGGTGGCATTCTGTCGTTCGGCCGCCGTCGACGAGTTCGTGAGGTGTCAGGCCGGAGAGGACTACCTCTGGGTCATGGAGTTCGGGATCGGAGTCGCCTTTTTGTGGGACGAGTAGATGGCAGAATTGGCAGAGGATCAATTTCCCGGGGCAGTCGGTGGTGCGATGTTGAGCGAGACTGGGTAGACCGTCGAATTGAGCAGCGCAGTCGGGACACGACTGTGGAGTGTGGTAGATCGAGTCATGGCTATGCTTGCTGAAGGGGTCGTTGCCGTGTGAAGAGTCGTGAGGGCAGTGCCAGTGATTCTCCCACTCTGCGGAGCGCTTTTGGAAGACATTGTCGCATTGTGGGCAGAGTATGTTGTTGCGAAGGCAGAAATTTTCGTGAAGAACGAGGGTTCGCTCCGGTACCCATTGCTGACAGTTCTTGCATTTCACGTCCCCTGCCGCATAGGCGTTTTCTGCAAAGTCTTCTCCTGCCTCCCCGTTTTGCTTCGCTGATGAGCTTCGTTTCACGCGCAGTGTGTATTGAAGAGGCCGTGGGACAGACGCCTCATCACTGGACTCGGAGACACCGGCATATGCAGAGATATAGATGGCCTCGGCGCCCTCGAGGGCCACGTTAGTTGGCCGAATCTGGAAAGTCTTAACCCCTTCAGACGAAAAGTCGCCCCAGACATGCATATCTGCCCGCGGTCGTCCCTGCTGCCGGGCAGCAAGCGGACTCGCAAATAGCCACACGTTCGGCTCCTCGGTCGACAGCTCAATCTCCAGCTCTTCGTCCCGATCCCACTCTCGAAGCTCATAGTCTACATACTCCCCGGGCATGACCTGGGCAGCAATCTCCTCTTGCAAGCCGATCACACCTCCAACAGAGCTCCCACTCGATGTCCCCGGAGCTCGCGCCGCCCGCTCCAGTCGCTTCTGAAGTGTCTCTCGAGCCTGCTCCTCAGACAACGCCACAATATCCACCTCCAGATCGGTATCGACCACACAGATCCCGTCTCCTTCGGGAAAGACCTTGTCCAGCAAGAATCGGAAAGACTCGTTTCGTGTACCCGGGACAGTCAGAATCTCGCCCGTCGTCAGTGTCGTGAAATTGTCCCGCATGTGCCGCTCCAGTAACGCTTTCCAATCTTCTGGATCGTATCCGGCCTCGAGTGGTCGTAAACGGACATAGGTGCCCTTGGGTAATTGCTTCGCGTGAACAGTGACAAGTGGACGGACATTTGCGTCTTCATCCCGCGCTGAATCAATCACTACATCATCATCATGATCATCGCCATCTCCGTCTACAGTGTGTGTCTTCGCTTTTGCCCTCTGTTTTCGCTCTTCGTCGTCAATCCCGAGTACCTCGCGCAGAAGCGCACTCAACGCCACTTCATTCTCCGAGGCTGAAAACTCGCGAATCCCCGCATACACGAACCGATCGTTCCGCGGATTCACAATGCGAAACGTCAACGGATGAGGAAGTGCCTGCTGCCGGTCTTCGATCTGCTGACGTGCGCGCGACTCAGCGGCAAAGGTATATGGATTGAACGGGTCAAAAGCGGGCGTGTGGGTTCTGGAATTGCTCGTCGTGCCAGGTACTGTCTGAAGCGGCGCGGCGGCAAGAAGTTGTTCGAGGGCGGACTGGGGTAATGTGATTTTGTCACCTGGTAGGCGGGGCGAAAGGTGTGATGGTGTCACGGCGAGCTGGGCGGACCAGGTCAAAGTCGGGGGCTTGTCCATATCATTCATGAGGCTGTACAATTCTCAGACCTTTAAGTAAAGTAGCTTTCTTTGTGTTCGTAAGCAAATTTCTTAGTAGGTTGATCGTGTATATGCGAGGAGGAGAAATGGATCTCGGAGATGAATGTCCCTGAACGCGGGACAATGGGATTACGTAGGGTCTCCATCTCCATGATGGGGGCCGATCTTTTTGGCGATTCTTTTGGGTGGAAAACGGTGGAGCGCGGCGGGAAGGCCGAGGGGTGTTCTGGAAGGCTCCGCCGGCCCCACAGCGATTAGTGATCTACGCCTCTTTGCCGGCCATCTACGATCTACTTACTCATAAATTATGCGTTGCTGCCGACTATCGGCTATATGATTTACAGAAATCTACGGTCCTTGTCCCATGGTACGATGTTTTGACGTTGGAAGTGCGTTGAAAAAGAAGGTTATACGTAATTAAACTGAGCTGAGAGATTGATGCTGAATGGAGAGTAAAAGTATGGTATCACTGTAGAACGTGCGCCTCATGGAACCCAGTTTCAGACCTGACCGTCACTTGAAAAGACTACCTGCTCAGTCGTGGGAAATCTAGCGGAAACTGCGCATTCGATGGCGGGAGCTCGTATTGCACCAGTCGCACTATGATGAACAATTAGATTCATGTGCGTCGAAAGGAAGACGCGTGTCTTGTCTTCTGAAAATCTTCTTTTTTTTTTAAAAAAAAAAAAAAATGAAAAAAATGAAAAAAACCTGATCACCTACCATCGTTGCAGAACACCCCTCGTTATGCTCGATGCAGTAGTCTCCGCGGCAGCTCTGGCACGTGCGTTGTGTTTTCCGCTTGCAGGAACCGCACTGGATGATGGGTTTAGAATTTTTCAGGTCCAGCCACAGAAAGAATGTGCACCAGACGAATACGTACCGTTGGACCACATTCCCAACAATCTTTGCTCACACCTTGCTCAATTCTCTGGAAAGCGCAAAAAGTCAGCTTCTCTCCATGGTCAGAGTCTTTTGCCATGGAGCTAGGATAGGACCATACCTCTCGCTCAACATGAGGTGACCCAGCAGCCCCGTGTAGGGTAGGATGCGCTGATCGAATCGCAGTCTGATGGGGTGTGAGGGTCGTCCGCACGTGGGTCGGATGCGGTAGACAGTTTGAGCAGAACCACTTATTACAGCGATGGCACCAACGATCCGTCAGGCAATCTGCACAACGCGCAATCAAAACCGGATATTCGCCGGGAATCAACACCGGTCGCTTGGCGGCCGCGACGTGGGAAACATGCACAGGAATCGGGCTCAGCAACGGGAAGTGTTCATCCGACGACTGACCCCAGATAGCAGGACCCTCGGGTGAACTGTGGCAACCATCACATCCACGCGGGCCCAATGCGACCGAGGCAATTGCCGGACCAAGGAGACGACCTTCGGGAGCCGGGTTCGTCTCCGTCGCATTGGTGTAACGGTCAACATCATGACGAGGTCCACGACAGAGGACTGCGTCAAAGGCAATGAGCCCCTCGCACTTCTGAAGGGTTTGGGCCCAACCGTCCACCAGACCGTGCTTGAAAATCCTTCCCGAAGCCCGGTACCATTCGTCTCCGTGACTCTGGAGGTGGGCTGGTGCGTTAGCAGTCTTTGGAGGGGACACGCTACCCTGGGGCACCTCCTCGTCATTGTCGGAAGAAGTGTTGGATGAGCTTCGGCTGGAATCTGATGAAGGTGCCAAGCGAGATCCCCACCAATCACGGTACTGGCGACGCACCGCAGCTCGAGGTGGAGTGTGCATGGGTGAGAAATGATAGATGGCTTTGACCTTGGGCGTACCCTGCGGTCGTGTAGGTCGGACTGCATGTTGGATGACTTGCATCAGCTTGCGCTCGTTCAGATGCTGGCATTCACGAATCGACAGAATGTTGACGTTGAACCGGTCTGTCAATATGATATCGGCCACCAGGTCAGCAGGCACGGAAAGGCCATCGAGGATGAGCGTCCGGACATCCTGCAGAAGGGATCGCTTCTCGAGACTGCCAAAGATCTTTCGCAGGGGAGCTGAGTAGATCTCATCTTCGGTCTGGGTGTCGGCGTCCTGGGATGGCTCCGCAGTCGACAGTTGCGCGCCCCGACAACGCGTGAGGTCGAGATGTCTGAAGACATAAGGGGTGGTGGTGATCACTTTGGAGAGGTGTCGTGACGTAGAAGCAAGTGTCAGCAGTGAAGACGGACCCAAGTATGGCGCCATGTGGTCAAGAATCAGACTGTTGGAAAGCGCATTTTCCAATGGGGCTTGTTTCGGCGGAGGTTGGGTTTGTTGCGTCAGCGACTCGACCGGGTCATGTTCTTCGATGGGCAATTCTCGCACCACCGGTTCGAGTCCAATCTCTTTCGCAGTCAATCGGCGAGATCCATAAAAATCCGGCGCTTGGTTGATGAGATGCTGACGATACGCCGCCATTGCCCCGACGGCGACCTCGTCGCCGATGCGCAGCAGCGGTGCGTGAGGATGAATCTCCTGCAGAGCTGCGCGCGCCTTGGCCAACTCGGACTCGAGAAGGTGAATTGTCGATTGCAGAACTGCCGACATAGCGTGGGAGTTTGGAGAAGGATGAATTGCAGAGGCCAAGGAGATCCACAGATCGTGGGACATGGTCGATGTTCCCTCGACGCAGTCTCCACCGGCAGGCTCTTTTATACTTCGGGAGAGACGGGTCGACCGTCCGCCGGAGAAAGTAGTAGTCTGATGAATGGAATGGGTCCGTATGACTTTCTGATGTGCCACCGACCGTTCAAGAATGGCAGTTGGAGAAGGACCCACCAAAGGATCACGTTGTGGGGGGGGGGGGGAGATGGTCAATTTGAATCACTGCGGCGATGAAAGGTACGACCGACTGACAATCGCTGGCGTCGGCACGGTTAAATCAGTCCAGAATGCATGGGAGGTGGTTAGAGGATGACCGGATCGGGTCACCGTGGGAGGAGGGGGCCGAGTGCAGAGTAGACCAATCGATCTGCAGATGTTACTTGATCCAGTTGAATTGCGTTGGTGAACAAAACAATCTTGACCGGTGTTACTGTCAGTGTACAGTGGTCCACTCATAATCAAAATCGAAAAAAAATAAATAAATAAAAATAAAAATTCACAGATTCAAAAGACAATGCCATGTCCGCCGAAGGGTGTAGTAGTAGTAGTAGTAGTAGTCAATCGTGAATCATTGCCCAAGGTCCACTTGTGGATTCGAGGATACAGTAGTCGGGCTGTAACCGTATTGTAAATCATTACCATCTGTCCCAACAGGTGGAGACGGAGATTCTAATCCTCATTCAAATCCGGGGTGGAAGGGTTCACTGGTGGGAATTGGCAGGAAGATCCTCTGTTGGTGACCGGTGGATAGTGGAGACTGGAGACTGGAGACTCCACGTCCACCGCGAGAATGCATTAGATGAAGATAGTACGGAGACAAATGGAGGACATGATCATGTACGCTTGTGCAGGAGATGGGAGGAAAGATCATCACTGGAGAGTTGCCAGGGAATTGGTGATTCAATTGAGTAAGGCGATAAGAGCATGCCAAAAGGGGAACGGAGGGATAGCGTCAGACCCGATTGACTTGGAGGGGACCAGCCATTACGCAGAAGTTGTTATGGCCTGTCAAGTACCGGACTCGGGACTTGACTCCTTGACGGACCCGACCACTACTATTTGATATAGGTCGCGGGCTGGGTCGGTGAAATCACGATCCCTTGATCTCGGGCTGGACGGTGAGGGCGTCCTCGTGACGATGAGACACGAGAGCTGCGAGAAGCAGAGCGTCATGTACAGCAGAGGCTAAGAAAGGAGCAGACGACACCGAACGTGTTCATGCCAGCCATCCAATACGGAAGACTTGAAGCTCCATTGCCGCATGATTTTTCACCCACTCTGCCAGTCCCAGCCTATGGGGCCGGATCTTTCAGATTCAAGAGTGCAGAGGAGGCGGAGAGATCCCCCCATCGGACTCGAATTTTATACTGCATATAGCGTGCATTATGTAGTGGCCGACGCTGTTGATCCATCCATCCATCCGGTCATACCAAACTCAACTGGACGAAATGGCGATAGGATCCATGACAAGAAGTCTACAAAGATTGCCCACAAAAAAAAAGATCCTTGGGAGGACTTGGCAGCATGATCTAAGAGACTCGGGCTCAGGTGGAATGTCCCCTTACTGCGCCAAGTAGATCGGGCTGTCTCTCAAGGGAACCCCGACTGGATGGCAAGGTATGAGGTAGTAGTAGTGAGTGCTGATACTGACTGAACTCAGTACTACAGCTCGGTTCACCTTCTTAGTAGATCCCCGACCAGACCGACGCCTATCCTACCATCTCACCCTTGGAGAGTTCCCCTCACATACTCATCCACAATCTCCCAAGCGCACTTCCTACAAGCCATTCGATATCATTCATTAGACGGTTGACACAAGAGAGTGTCCCACAGACGCATCTCCATCAAAGGTCATTTAGCCTAAAGCACGATCATCAAAGTCCGGCACCGCTCATGTCAACCTGTGCATGACTCGGCATCAGTGGACGGAGGAGATGGCTCTCGGCTTGGGTCGATTCAACTCGTCATCCGCGTGTCCCCGTCAAAAGGGTAAAAAGCCACCAATCGGTCGAGGGACTCCGCCGATCCACCGGTCACGCGGAGATGTACAGGAGCATTCGTAACTGGCCGCGTCTAAAGGCTGAGTGAAGTGGGAACCGATGATCCACCATTCTCTGCCCTTTTTGAGTCTCGAAGGCGCTCTCGGGGATCGGAACATGATCACAACCCTACAGGACTCCTGCACCTGCTGATCTCGAGTGCCCTTCGAGCTCTGTGTCCATCTAGGGGTTTCTTGTCTTGGCGGTGGCTGCGGACTACTGCCAGCCAAACACTAGATAGGTACCTACCTACACTTACAGTACGCACTACGCAATGCCTATCCACCTTGATGCGGACGATCGCTGTCGTGGCTGCGTACCCAGAAGGATAAAGTGATGTGCAGGTCCCGCGGCGCAGTGGCACTTCCGGACTGGACGCATGGGGCCAGATCAGCGCCAAGCCAATGATGGCAGTTAGGCGGGTCGATCATGTCGTGGTTACCTTTGGATCTGTGTCCAGTTCTTCACATGGGAGGGCAACCTCTACAGCAGTAGAGCAATTGACCTCGAAATACCGAGGCCAATTGAAGTTTGAACACATTCACTTTCATCTTCTTCCTTTCAACATAGATGCTTTGGCAATACCGCTGATAGATAGTAGGAACACGAGACGCATCCCCGACATCCACAAACCTCACCTGAGGGGTTCATTACACAAATTTTCATATTGCTGAGATGCAGTGCTCTTCTATCAATAGGCACCCTACTATGCGTCAGGCTCTCGGGTTCAGAAAGATGCCAAGACTCTGGGTGTCATGTAGGCATTGCGTCCTCCTCCTGGTCCGACCAACCCATGCGTTGCCTTACGAGCCCCTGCTCAGTAGCTAGTGTAGACCGGATGAGCAATGCTATGGTTCTTTGATCCGAGCAGGAGCTGGACCCTGTAGATCATGGTGGAAATCATACATTCGAGGTGATGATAAATACATGGACAGATGGATGGATGGATTTGGCTCCTTCCATTTGGCTTCTTGGATGCAACGCAGACTTAGTACCTGATGTTTTGGTCTAGGAGGTACTATACTGACTTGATTTAGGGCTCAACATGTTCGGACTAGACAGGATTCGTCTTCTCACACCATACAAGGTATTCATTGACTCATGTGATGTATTCCTGTTTGAGATATCCTCATCTTCTTGGAATTCTCATATCTGTGTAGAAAGCTTTCAAATATCAAAGCATGTCTACCCAACGCAGCCACTCTATGATGCCCTCTTTGTGGTATGGATCGTTACTATATCCAGGGCAGTCAGGCTGTACATAGCAGTGACTCTAGTGAGTACGTATACTTCATGTAAGAACACCCCCCTTGATCGAGCTCTCCACTAGATCCGGGCAGGGATTCACCCCCAAATGACCGGCGCCAAGCCAGTGCAGTAACAATCCAGATGTAGCCAAGAATAAAGGGATGATAAGCCAAGCCCTCGAAATAAGGGAGAACCCCGTATCGAAACCGAAAATACGGTTAAACAAACCCAGCTCTTCGACTATTTACTGCCTGTACTCTTAGTGACAGGTACAGACCACAGTGCCCACTGCCCACTGCTCAATGGCCCATGCATGTACCATGTTGATCAACATGCCACGCCTGCAGAGGCCAGGAATCGCACTGTCTACGTATCGGTCATTCAGTAGTACTGTACATGGCTACATGGCTACATGCCACTGCCAGGTGCTCTCTTTGATTCATGAAACCCTTACGACCGCCACTTGGTCTTGGGACGATTCTCATGCTTCATCCACACGTATACATCTAGCTAGGCTGACTGCTTCTGCTTTTTTCCCATCGGGCATCCGGAAGGCCACCGAGGCGTCACCTGTTGAGTTTCCGGATCTCCGTGATCGTGTTGGTACTTTTGCTTCGTCTATCGAGTCCGTTTCGTGTCGATGTTCGAGCGCATGTATCTTTGCCCGCTACCATGATCCCCAGATCTTGACTGATGGAAGGTAGTGCTGGGGTGGTCGTTTAGCCAAGGGAGTCGTGCCCAGCGCCGTGCAGTATATAATGATACTGAAGCAGTGGTCGGGCCTACGGCTCCAATCTCAGAGGGCGGTTCAGGAGACACTGGTCGGGATTACCATGTACAAGTGTACTGGAGGTTGCCTACTACCAGAATACAGACCTTTTCCAGGGCCGGGTGCTGGTAAATATTATGGTAATCCACGTGGTAGGCTGTCCGAGTACCCAGGTAAACCATGTCCGCTTGCTACATGCACGCCGTGGCACCATCACGTAATTAATCTACTTCACATCAGTTCCCGTCGAAGGTAAAATGGTGCGATTATAAGACTAGTGGTACAAGTTGGGCGCGCATCCCTTCGTGGCCGAAGAACTCTCCCTTAGCATGGGTAGTCCTCGCCGTTGCTGATCGACGCTGGAAATGGGAGGTTTGTTTATTCATCCATATACCTGTTATCAGATCGCAGGTACCAGATACGAACGGAGAACATGGTCGAGCTCTGCCTCTTTACTTCCACAACTTGGACACGGCCACCTCCTTGTCATCGTGCTTGTTGAGAATCTTGGCAGTGGCCAAGTCGAAGTCCTCCTGAGTAACGTGCACGCGTCGCTCACGCAGAGCGTACATACCAGCTTCTGTGCAGACACCCTTGAGCTCGGCACCAGAACATCCGTTCATCTTCTCCGCAATCTTGGTCAGGTTGATCCCGCGGGTCAGGTTCATCGATCGAGAGTGAATGCGTAGAATATCGGCACGGGCCTCGACACTAGGTGAGTGAGAATGAATGGGTTAGCATGCCATCAACAACCTTTCTACTATCCGGGGGTGGGCACTCCTCATTGAACGTACGATGGTGGGGGGAATTCAATCTTTCGGTCGATTCGCCCAGGTCGTAGCAAAGCTGGATCGAGAATGTCCAGTCGATTCGTGGCCATGATAATCTTGATGTTCTTCGTGGGCTCGAATCCGTCCAGCTGATTGAGCAGCTCCAGCATAGTGCGCTGCACTTCGGAATCACCTCCACCTGCCGAGTCTATACGGCTAGAACCAATGCTATCGATCTCGTCCATAAAGATGATACTCGGCGCATGCTCACGGGCCATCACAAACAGTTCTCGCACCATGCGACTTCCTTCCCCGATATACTTTTGCACCAGCTCTGAGCCACTGACACGAATGAAACGACAGTCCGTGTGGTGGGCGACCGCACGGGCCAGTAGCGTCTTACCGGTACCGGGAGGGCCGTAAAGTAGAACACCCTTTGGTTGCGCGATACCCAACGACTCAAACAGCTCCGGATGCTTCAGACCCAGCTCAATCACTTCCTTGATTTCCTTGATCTGCTGGTCCAATCCACCGATCATGTCGTATGTGCTGTCGGGTACCTTCTCCACCATCATCAGTGACACAAGAGGATCAACCGAGGATGGAAGCATCTTTTCCAACTTGTATGAGTCTGAGAGGAGGGCTACTCGCTTGCCAACGGTGAGCTTGGCAATGTCGACGCCATCCGCGATATCGACCACTAATGGAAAGCGAATCGATAAGTATCAGCGCGAGATCTGATGTGAGTAGTGCCACAAGCAGACTCAGTCAAAAATGACATACCGTATTTTCCTTCGGGGTGGACCTTCACCAAAACCTTCTTCGTGCTCATCACCTTGACCACCTCACCGACGTAAGAGCCAGGTTGTTGGAGCAGACCGAGCTCCTCCCGCAGTAATCGTACTCGGGAATTGTAGTCATTGCGCTGAGCTTCCAGGCGGCGGAGCACAGCCTGACCCTGGATAATCTCGAGCTTCATGCTCTCAATCTTGTTCCGGTAGTAGTTATCCAGCGCCATGGCGAATCGCGAGAGGGATGAGACCGACGGGCGTGGAGAAAGAAGAGAAGAGGTAGCAGTATTTCTTTGTCCAGATGGTACGATTCCCACAGCAAGCTTCGAACGGCAAAGATGAATGAATGTATGAGAGAAGGCGACGAGATTGAAGCGCGATGACGATGTTTGTCCCGGAGTCCTATAGCTGGGCCAGCTTGAAGCTGCGGGCACCGGAGACCCGATCATGCCAAATGATGACTAAGGCTATCCCGGCCTTAGAAACGGGGCAACAAGGCATGAAACTGCCAAAAAATGCACCAGCCGCACAGCTTTGGAGAGCTCTCCACCCATCATGACTCAGCACGAGTTTCATTGGCCGAGCCAAGGAATGGTCAACTGAGAGCTCTCCACGCGGGCGTGTCCGACCCTGCGGTCTGCATTGCTCTTTTGTACAATCCTCAGCTGATTGAAACAGCAGGTCACCGCAGGTTCCCAGACCTTGATCTGACCATTTCTTTGCCCAAGCCCCGCAATGTGAAGCGGGAGCTATTAAATATCTTCGTTTCCTGTTTCTGGTCTTGTCTGGCTCCTCTGTCTACTCGATTACACTGCTGGACTTTCGCATCTGCTGGACGACCGTTGCAGATCTTCAAAGAATCATGGCGCCTGATAAGAAGGCACCCGACCAGCCCGATCCATCTCGGGCAACGGGCACTGCAGCCAGCGAAACCTCTGCTGCGTCTCGGCCGATTATGCGATCATCGTCTTCTTTCCGGAGAGGTTATGGTAAGTTTCTTCTTCTTCTGCTGCTGCTGCTTCTTTTTTTTTCTCCTCTCTCCCTGGATCATCTAACGTAGCAACCTAATACCGCAAATGGTACTAACTCCCAAATTAGGTACCTTGGATTCACAAACCTTTGATGCTACCGCGTCTGAGCCCCTCGAAGAAGAAAACACCCAGGATGACCAAGGGAGCAGCGCATACACCTCGTCGGCTATCCCTGATCGGCCTCGAAAGCCATCTGTTGGTCGTCGCATGTCCTCGAAGCGATTCGCGCCCCACAAGGGTCAGGGTTTCTCTGTCGACGATGATGCAAAGGAGGTTGAAGAAGATTTCGCCCAGCACAAAGCGACAGCGACGCAACAACAGTCTCCACGGCTTCGGCCCACGCGCCCCGGTAGTTCCACTCTACGCCGTCGCCATGGAGTCCGACCGAGTCCACTGATTCGAGCCGAGTCGGATAGTCAAGCGATGGATGAAACCGCTCTCCCAGAACCCGACATGGATCCCGCAGCCAAGGCGCCATCAATCCGCCATTCTGACGGTGGTAGTGTTGGTTCCGATGGAGAGGATCTTGAGGGCTCTGACGTGGACGACGAAGAAGTTTCAAGCGATGCCGAGAGCTTCACGCTGAAAGACCGCCAGCAGGCGATTAACGAGACTCACCCGTTCGGTATCAGGATCTGGAAGCCGGCGATCTACAAAAAGAGTCGGTCGGTGGAGAAGACTGCCGAGGGTGATATTCACTCCTCTCCGGGAGGTCGCGTCAGTTCGGTGCTTTTTGCCACTAACCTGCTCTGGACGGTGCTCTTTGGTTGGTGGCTGGCGCTGGCTGCTCTCTTCGCTGCACTTGCATGCTTCTTGTGCGCATTCTCCCCCAGCGCGGTAGAGTATGGGAGAGTCTTCGCCGGATTGTCCCGCTACCTGCTCTATCCTTTCGGTTCCTTTGTGCTCCTACGCTCTGATGACAACTATGCCGAGGAAGACGAAGGCGAAGGCCGCAGCATAAGCGAGTACGAGCAATGGCAAAACGGAGATCTCGAGCATGGTCGTCTCTTCTTTGGCCCGCGCCGCGAGCGATCCCTGGTGGGAAGACGCCGCAACAGTGTTGACTCTGCGGGTGAGCAGGACAGTCTGCTCGGTCGCACCCAACGTGGCCAGTCAGAAGACTCTCAATTAAACACCTCCAAGCGTCGACTGTTTGGTCGTGGTGAGTGGAGTCTTGGTCGGGTGGTGTTTTTTGTCTTCTTCTACTTCTGGATGGGACCCTTGATACTCCTAGTCTCGCTGGTCTGTTGGCTACTCGTGTTTTGGATTCCAATGGGTCGAGTGACTTTGATCCTGACGAGTCATTTGCGCCGCCATCCTCTTGCGCTGTCATTCCACTCCGATACGTCTTACTCTAGGATCAACACCGGCTCTTCGTCCACCTCGATTTTGCTCTGCACGTACCGTGCAGTTGGCACAAGATACTGGAAGTATACCATTGACGGTACCAACATCTTCTTCATCAACTTGCTTGCTCTCGTTGTATTTGTCATCTTCGACTTCTATGTGCTCGGAAAGTGGCTGGCCATTGAGTCTTGGATCACACATCCGGCCCTGGTGTTCACCTTGTCACTGATTTCAGTGATCCCTCTTGCCTATTTTATCGGACAGGCTGTAGCCTCCATCTCCGCTCAGTCATCAATGGGACTAGGCGCTGCAATCAACGCCTTCTTCTCCACTGTTGTTGAAGTCTATCTATATTGCGTTGCTCTGACTGAGGGTAAGTCCCAGCTTGTGGAAGGCAGCATCATCGGAAGTCTTTTTGCAGGTATTCTCTTCTTGCCAGGGCTTTCAATGTGCTTCGGTGCAATCAAACGTAAAACACAGCGGTTCAACGTCAAGTCCGCCGGTGTAACTTCGACCATGCTTTTGTTTGCTGTGATTGCGGCGTTTGGCCCGACATTATTCTATCAAGTTTATGGAAGTGTGAGTCTTTTTTTTATTTTTATTTTTATTTTTTTTTCGATTTGACATGTTTCTGCCTTTGTCTCCCTCTCTGTCTGGCACTTGCTCTGTTGCAAAGGATAACCCGAACTTCTGGAGCGATGGATTCTTGCTAACGTACGTCTAGCACGAGTTGAACTGTCATTCCTGTGCTCATGGACCGGACCCCAAGAGCAGGGATTGCCGTCGATGCTACTTCTCTCAGACAGCAGCAGTTGATGACGCCTTCTTCAAAAAAGCTGTCCAGCCATATGCTTGGATCTGTGCTGTGCTTTTGTTCCTTTCGTATATAATTGGTCTGTGGTTCACACTGCGAACACACGCTGCCTTGATTTGGGCGACAGAAGTCGAGGAGAAGGAGAAGGAGAAGAAGGCCGCGCATCAAATGTCTGATTCGTACACTCTGGAACCAAGACACTTGCTCACCCAGGTAGGACCTGAGGCGTCAGGTGCCGTTAACAGTCAAAAGGACTCTATTCGCGAGTCGCAGCTCTACAGGCGCATCTTGGGGCAATCGCTCCGCCAAGTTGGTCTTGAAGATAACAGCGGAGGCTACTTTGAGCAGGTGGAAAGTGGCTCTTCGGGCAAGAAACCCGAGACGCCCTACCTAGTTCCGCCTCGATCTGGTGGCGGGGATGACGAGGGCACTTGCGGGCCCAAGCCTCTCCATAGCCTCTCTGGCGAAGAGAATGAACGTCTTGTGCGTCAAGTCACAGAAGTTGCAGCAACGGCCGCTGCAGTGGCTGCCCGGGATGTAGCTCGTGGCCGCCGACACTCAGCTCAGCAGGTTCTCACAGCACGTCAAGCTGGTCGTACTGCCGCTGAGCAGACCAAAAATCAAGCTGCCAATGACGACCACGACGACATTGGGATCACTGCGGAGCCTCCTCACGGCGGTGGTGGTCATGACGCACCCAACTGGAGTAAGGCTAAGAGTTCGATTATCCTGCTCAGCGCCACTGTGGCTTATGCGATTATTGCGGAGATTTTGGTCAATACAGTGGACGTCGTTTTGGAAAGTGTCGACGTTGATGAAAAGTTCCTCGGTGTTACCTTGTTTGCTCTCGTGCCCAACACAACTGAGTTTTTGGTATGCAACATTTCTTTCGATCAAGGATTTAAATGAAGTGCAAGGGGGAGGTGGAGGTGTTCCAGTAACTGACTGTCTTACAGAACGCCATTTCATTTGCTATGAACGGCAACATCGCCTTGTCAATGGAAATTGGCTCAGCCTACGCACTTCAAGTCTGTCTGTTGCAGGTACCTGCGGTGGTCCTCTTCAGCGCATTTTATACCCGCTCAATCGACCCGTTGGAGCTGGCGAGCCACTCATTCAAGTAAGGAAACATCTTCTCTTTTTCCACGACCAGCAGCCACCGTCCATTGCAAACTTTCGTGCCAAAGCTAACATTCATATGTGCGTCCCAGCTTGATCTTCCCACAATGGGACATGATCACTGTAATTCTATGCGTGTTCTTGCTGTCCTACGTCTACGGCGAGGGTAAGAGCAACTATTTCAAGGGATCCGTCCTTCTTTTGACATATGTGGTCGTCATGGTTGGTTTCTACCTGTCCGGGTACAGCAACATGGACAACCTTGGAGTCGATCGCTTCGACACCCTTGCTATCGGCGCATCTCGTGGCGAAGCTTTCTACACTGTCGGTCGCCCGACTTCTGGTCGGGCCTTCTGAGTGGTTCGAAATTGCCACACGCGTCTGCATTCACCTCGTTAAACCGAAGTCAACTAGGCTTTGAGTGGAAATGACGTGTCTAAGCCCGACTATGCCTGAGTCGACAGTCAGGAGAACGAAAGGGGATAAAAATTTGTGTTCGGTGCTGTAATGCCATCACTCTCATGTTCTGTTCTTTACCGTCTTTGCATTCCCAGCGGATATGATGTTCTCGCGTTTCATGAATCCTATACCTTTTCTGTTTCGAATTACGTCTACATTTCGCTTCTCCCGCTTTTTGCTTGTTTTGCTGTTGATTTTAAATTCTGGGGTCTCGTCACTTTCATCATCACTATGATCATTACTCCATCTTCATATTTCATCCCACATTCTTTGCATCTGGATTCCATCCGCGGTCCTGTCCATACTGTCTGCCGACTCCGAGTGTGTTGATACACCACGAATAGATCGAATGGGAACGTGAGGGAGTCTGGAAACAGACATTGCGCCGGGTCCCATCTCATGTTCATTCATTTCCGTCCGTGGTACACCCCAAGTCTCTTGATTTTGTCCATTGACGCCATGTCTTGTTCCTCGTCTTCCGCCGTCGTCCACGTATACTTGGCCTCATAGGGTGACTTGTACATTCCGCAACCCTGTGTGTATCAACGACGTTTATACATATGTAGATTGAATATCCATGCCTGAAGATGAAGCCCTGCAGAAATACACTTGACTACAAACTCTCCGGTCACAATTGCATCCCATTCTTCAGGACATGACATCCATTCCACATCGGACAGGATACAAACTTCCAAGCTCGAAACTCTGGCGGCGCTTGGCGGGTCGAAGTCACCCTCGCCGAGCTGGAAATACGGATAGGGCTAGTGTTTTCTGGGCGGGGGTGAAGTGGTGAAATTTCCTTTTTGTCGACGTGTGTTTGTATAGGGTGGATGTTGGATGTTGGATGTTGGCAACCTCTTGCTTATGTGTCTTGGCTGTGAAGGGGAGGGGAAGTCTACTGCTTTTTCATGGCCGGATGTGGGGAGGACGTGGATTGTTCGATGGTGGTGTCTGTATAACCATTAACCATTAACCATTAACCATTTGATTGGGGGGTTATATACGGGACATGTATGAATTCAAATCATGTTAGTCCGGTGTGGTAGGGAACGGGGTATGTCTGATATTGAAGATTCTCTCGTATTGAGCCGCATATATTTCTCTTGATTAAAGTGTGAGAATATACTAGAGTAGTAGAGTAGAGATTTCTGGTAGTTATGTTTTGTTTCACTGAGTGGACCTTTCTACTCTGTGGCGGGGTTGCGCTGTAAGGACTGTGAATGAATTTCGTGAAAATCGTTTTATGCATCGCTCATTTTATGCTACTTTCGAGCATATACTCCACGTTGTCTTTTTGTGGAACAGTGTGTACTGTGTAACCCCCTGTGTTCTACTCCGGCTTCCATTCACCGACGGCGTCATCTACCATCTGCCGGTACTTTTGCTGGCCGAAGCACTGCTCCTTGAACACTTCATACTTGGCCTTCAATAGGGCTTTCTCCTTGGGATCCTTGGTTGGCATCACCTTCTTGCCGGGTTTGCTCATCCGGTCCATGATGTCCCAGAGCTCCTCCGTTCGACCTTCCGAGTCGGCACTGGCGGCCTTGGCTCCGAGCATGGCCGCGCCGTGACAGACTGCGGCGTGGATGTAGCGTGGAATCACAACGGGCATGTCACATGCGGACGCGATGAGGCGGACGAGAATGTCGTTTTGACACTGGGAACCGGACATGAAGATGGAGGTGATGTTGTGGCCGGCCTCGTTCATGGTTTCGACAATTTGCTTGGTTTGGAGAGCGATGAATTCGAGCGTACCGTAGTAGTGGATGGCGAGACCGTCAACGCTCTTGTCGCTGGTCATGCCGAAGATGGATCCGGTCATGTTGGGATCGGCGATGGGGGATCGATTACCCCAGAGATCGCCGTAGAAGAAGAAGTGGCGGCCCAGGTAGGCGACACTCGGGGCTTGTTGATCTTGCACCATTTCTTTCAGGTGCTCGTTGAGGTACTCGTAGATGTTGGCATGGTAGGACTCGGCAATGGAGAGTGCTTGGTTGAATGCCGGATGGGTCTCGATGACATGTTTGAGAAGTTCACCGGTGGCGGATTGTCCTCCTTCAGCCATCCAGTAGCCTGGCAGAATAGTGTCTTTGTAAGGGCCCCAGACACCATTGACAAAGACTGGGTTGGGGGACATGGCAAGGTGACAGGTGGACGTTCCGGCAACGGCGGCCAGTCGTGTGAAGGCCTGCGCCTTGTCATTTCGAGCTACGTCCTCGGTCAATTGAGCTGCGCCCAACGCAACTTTGGCTCCGACAGTACCGATCCAGCCGGCATAGGCATCAATGACACCACTCCCGATCGCGATACCGGCTGGAAGACCAAGGTCGGCAGCTGCTTTCTCACAGAGGGTGCCGACAAGCTCACCCGCACTGAGATAGTCGCCATTCTGTAGAAGAAGGAGTGGAAGTTAGTCTGGTTTAGAGTTCTTTGGTCAAGCGTTTTCAAGAATTTCAGGCTCACCACCCCATTGACTCCACCCATGCGCTTAAAGTTGTCCTTGGTAAGATCACTCAATCCAATCTCGTTCAAGAAATCTTCTTGCCAGCCCTTGACACTTCCGTCGACTCCCACGGGGACATATCCCTGCTTGCAGACGACACTGCAGAAGCTTCGCTTCTCGTTGCCAGTCGCGAGATGAGTCAAAGCATCGCCCAGATCGTAGAACTTGCATCGATCGAAGAGTTCCTTGGGCATGTTGTTCTTGAGCCAGAGGACCTTGGGGATTTCCATCTCGATAGACATCTTTCCACCCACGTAGCGGAGCAGATTATGATTAGTAGCGTTGATCTTGGCAGCCTCTTCGACGGGCCGATGATCGAGCCAGAGGATGACATTTCGGTCCGAGTCGAAATTGGGACCGGTCACTGAGACGGGCTCGTCGGTTTCCGCGTCAAACACGGACAGGGAGCAGGTGGCATCGAAACCGATACCACGCACGCTATCGGGGTTGAGGTTATGCTGACTGATGGCACGTTGCACGGCGATGCAAATACAGCGCCAAATGTCAGAAGTCGATTGTTCCTGGACATGGTATGTTAATCTCGGGATCTGAGAAAGAGGAAACACTGATGGAGCGGACATGGACGCGAGGAAGCGAATCGTACATAGTATCCATGCTCCGGTTGCCATAATCCAATGTTTTCCGAGGCCAGTCCGACAATATCACCTTTGGAATTGATGATACAGGCTCGAGCACTACCCGTGCCTACATCAATGCCGATGAAATGATCCTGGTGCACTTGGATATCATCACGAGGGTCACTGGATGCCTGTCGAGAGCTCTGACGAGAGGGACGACGGAAAGGCAGGGAAGCCATTGCGTCAAAGTCGGAGAGCCACAGAAACGCGGGTGGGGGGAAATTGACGGGGAGAATCGAGAGTCTTGTCTAGTAAGTCAAGTCGGTGACGTAGATGAGACGACTCGAGATTCTTTCTTGGGATCGATGGTACCTATGAACGTTGGATGGTCGTTTAGATCAATTGAACACGATCAACACGAGAATCGGCATACTACCTGTAGTCAAGCTGGTGCGGGGTAGAAGATAGCTCTACTCACCTTGAAGAAAGACGAGAGATTCGAGCAAGGCGAGATGGGAGAGTGCGGGCGTAGTGTGACCAGTCAATGAGGAGAAAGAGAAGAGAAGACAGAGGATGAACGCGAGACAGAATCGGCTTTATACCATCTGAGCTCCAGCTGCACTCCACGGGGGGACACGCCGGTCCGAGAAGCTTTCCGCTGCACGATGTGGTCAGTGGTTACTGTGGTCATGTGGTGTGGTGGTACTGTCTCTGTCTTTGTACCTGTCTCTGTCTCTGTACCTGTACCTGTACCTGACAACCTATACATGACTACCTGTACCTACTACCTAGTGCTGTCGCTGGCGGGCCCGATGCACTACCGTACTGCACGAGGTCGGTCGAGTATCGGATACGTCCGGAGGAAGCGCCACTGCCGCAGGTCAGTACCGTGCCCGACGGTCACTTGGGAGACTGACCGTACTACATGTGGCAGTACTGAGCTGCTGTTCACAGGCAGGTATCTTGTACCTCACGAATATGCTTGGGTACCTCACCCAGGAGATTTAAGCCGACTTGGAGTCGGAGACCAGAAAATGATACAGGGATTGGTGTGAGTCGTCTTTATAGGACTACTACTACTACTACTACTACTACTACTACTACTACTACTACTACTACTACTACTACTACTACTACTACATAGTCGGAGTAATTGCAGTGCCTCCTGTCCTTCTACTACGCTCAGTAGTAGTATTTACTATTTAGGAATTTACTATTCACTTTTTCAGAACCTCAGTACTTACTACACCTAGTGAGAATTTCTATCAGCGTAATGAACCCGGTGGCCAACTGTAGTAAATATGTACAAGGTCACTTCTTTTCTCATCTGACCGCTGGCCCCAAGTCTAAATGTCTTCTCCTGCTGTACTTGCATTGTCAGATAGACTTGCAAAGGTACAACGACATCCGAGTCCAGCTCACCTCCACCTCCGACGGCATATTTCAAGTTGCAGTAGAAGTCTTGCTGCGCAGAGCGCACGGTCCAGAACAGGTGCGTTCAGGATGTGGGGGATGCACGACTGTGGAGCAGGTCGACCAACAAGAACATCTCCACGCCAGGAAGATCATGGAGATTGGATGACTTGGCCCAAGGGGGCCAGATTCTGGCAAGGAGTATGTACGAACGAAGAGTAGGAGGAGGACACATGGGTGTTGTACCATGCCAGTAGAGGTGGTTGACTGGTGACTGGTGACTGGTGACTGGTGGTACTTGGAGTTGGAGCTCGGGATCGGTACTTTTCAACTGTTCCAAGAGTGTATAGTGTAGACGGTAGTAGTCCTCAAGAGCCATCCTCACCCGGAAGGCGGATGGTCGGACTACGGCACTCATGGAGAACAGGATTAGGACTGATGATTTGATTAGCTTGGGGACTGATTACCAGGCCCCCATGATCGACCTGTCGGTTTTACTCATTTGCGCGGTCATTGGGCTCATCGCAGTGAACGGACCACGATCGACACAGTAAGTGCACTCGAGAGTCTTGAGAGGTCAGAACCATTTGGGGGTAACCGAGCGATCCGCTGGGTTCGATCGACAGTCGACAGTTGACAGTCGACAGTCGACACAGTCGTTGGAAAGGTACCCCCCCTCACGGGCCACGAGAGAGCGGTCAATTCAATTCTACCAGCGATCTGGGATCCACCGAGCTATTACTGTTATGTTAGCACTGTAGCACCCACTACCAACTGAACTGACAGAACAAGGACATACATATGGATGTGAATTGGATGTAACAAGCATCACTTATCTTGTGGCAATGTCAACGAGCTTCACTTGGGAATTGGTAAGGATCAACCTTACAAATTCAGATGAGCAGTGGAAGAGCAATCACCCTCACCTACCCTCTACCTACCCCCACTGCACTGTACATATTTCCACGCTACAACGGTCCTCGGGCACACAATCAAGAGGCAATTCGACCGGTCCTTTCCCAGGATGAGTTTGAAATTTCATTGGAAGATGAATGGTACATGTTGACACTGAGTAGAACGAATATTGAAGCTACCACAACACCAATGATACCGAGGTTCCTATCTTAGCACTTGTCCCATTCGAATCTCTCGACGGAGACGGGACTCGCGCGGGCCGAGATCCCCCCCAAAAAAGGGAAGCTCTTTCAAGCTCAACTCTCCCCAACCTTGCCTATCCCGACACTCCAACGTCCACTGGTGACCTACTACCTATTACCTAGTAGCACCTACAACGAACGACAGACCACTGCCGACTTTCCACCAAACCTCGGCCTCTCGAGCTCTCCCCACTGCGACCCGCACCCATTCCAATCCTCATGCGTCTCCTCCCCTTCCTCCTGGGGACTCTCCCCTCCCTGCTCCTGCTTCCCTCAACCGCAGCATCAGCCTCCAGCACCGGCGCCGACTCCACCGCCGAAATCTACTACTGGCCCCTGGGCGCATCCCACCCATCCACGCTCGCGCGGATCGCATACGACCCGATCACCCTGCAGTCCAATGTCCTAGCGTACACGCCTCCCGCGTCGGGATCTGGCCCTGCGCACGAGGATCCCGATCTCGATCTCGTTCGTCTAGGCGTCTACTCGCAGGCCGGGTCCAGTCGCAAGCAGTGGGCGGGGAGCTTGGTCTCGAGGGCGTCGATTGCGGAGGCGCGGGGTGCGTCCTTGCCGACGCTGCGTCTGCATCTGGGTCCCGCGAACGAAGTGTATCATGTTTCGGTTGCGGCGGCCGGTGAGACGGTCGTTCGTTCAGAGGCGGGTAAGAATGTGAAGGGCGGCCATGCACTGGGTACGGGCGCGATGGAGCGCGCTCGGTCGGAGGGTGAGAGCCGTGGGGATGCTGCTGGGCGCGTGCGCGTGCAATTGATTAAGAGCGAGGCTGCGGTGCAGCCGCATTTGAATCGGCCGGTGGTCGTGGGTCCTGATGGACAGAATCCGGAGGAGGTTCCGGAGAAGACTTTGATGCAGAAGTGAGTTGGTTTCTTCTTCTTTTTTGGGGGGGGGGAGTGAATTTTGCGCTAGAACTTGGCTGACTTGTACTCTTTCTTTTTCTCTTCTCGCGCTAGGTACTGGTGGATTCCTCTGGTTGTCATGTTCTTGTCCTTGTCTGGTGGCGGCGGCGGTGGTGGTGGTGGTGGAGAGTAAACTTGGGTTGGGCTGGTTGTGCACCAAATATGATGATTTGTATATACTACTTAGTACCCTTGCGTTTCCTCTTTTTTTCTGATTCCAAAGGGTCGGTGGAATACATGAGGAATCTTGTCTTGAACGGGGTTCGTTCACATTCAGCCGTATCTCGTAGATGGAGGGAATTTGCGTATTCAACTCGGTAAAGACGGACAATGTGTCCAATGATTTGATAATCTATTCAAGGTAGAATGGGTGATAAGCGGCTGTGGGAAACATGCTCAAAGACAAGGACGGAATTGGGAAACACAAAAAAACGAAATGAAAAGAAAAGGAAGAAAGACAAAAGAAGAGAAAGACTCGACGAGTCCAAGAGTCACCGCTGTGATTCAAGTCGTACTTTCTCTCTCTCTCTCTCTCTCTCTCTCTCTCTCTCTCTCCAGTCAAGGTATCTGTCGTCGCTCAATAGTCAACGTCCCCTTGCCCGACGGCCAAATGTTCAAAATCATGAGTCCACGGTCCGTCAACGCGACAATCTCATTCTCATCGCTGAACTTCATCTGAAAGATCACGGCATCCAACTCGATCGATTCGGACCGCAACTCCGTCATCCCCGCGGCATTTGTCCACGGGTGATAGTGTATGCTGTTGGGATTGACCAGGGCGTGAGGACTCATGGGCCAGACGGTGATTGTCTTCCAACTTGCCATCGCGAGGCGGGAACAGCGGGGGGAGGGCACGATCAACGAGCCCTGGGTGGTGTCGGATTCGTGGAACCCGCCCAGTTGGGCGACGACGCGCCAGTCGTCGAAGCGTCGGCCTCGTTCGAGGTTCATCTCGTGCGTGCAGTGCCATTGTCGTGGGTTTGATTCGGAGGTCAGAAGACAGGCCACTGTCCAGTGCTCGACACGGTGCGTGGCGATTCCCACGGCGAGATATTGCCAGTGACAAGTGCCGGGGATGTTGCTGTCGTCATTGGTCGAATGAAGTCCCCAAAAGGGAATTCCAATGGCAAATGACAGGGCGAGTTCGGGCGAGTATTTGACCACGCAGGAGTTGTCGTGAACGTTGGGCTCCGAGTGGCTCATGATGGTGTTCAATTTCTGGAAATAGCTGAATAGTGGACGTCCGCGAGAGAAATGGAGGAGTTGGAGACCGCGATCATTGAAGGCCAGCTTGGTGCTTGGCCCTCGGTCGATCAACGACTGGTGACTGTGTCGGCTGGAGTCTAGATTGGTGAGACTGTAGGCGTGATATATGGACCCTTTCAGACCGAGTGTTAGGTGAAAACATGCAAAAAAGAACAACTCTCTTTCCCCTCTCGAGTCTTTCTTCAATCCGTCAAGACGGAGGCGGAGCGATGGTGGACTTACGGATGAGAGTTGGTCTGGTCTCAGAGACCTCGGTCAAAGTCTCCTCCATGTAATCCTCCAGTCGATATTTACCAGGCTGCCCATCACTGCTGCTGCTGCCGCTGCTGCTGCCGCCGCTAAGTTGGTCATCGTCACCCTCTGTATCCTCGCTCTCCTCATCCTCATCGTCCTCCATATCCTCGTCCTCGCTCTCCTCATCCTCGTCAGTACTGTCATCTGTCGTATCCTCATCCCCACTTTCATCCTCATCAAAGACGTCGGTGAGATACAAAAGAACATGATGATCCCCAGCTCGCTGTCGATGCTGCCACGAGATGGCGAATTTCTCATCCCAATACGTCGCCAGAGCAGTAGGGTCGTACTCGCTCTCGTCCGGAAACCCATACAACCGCACAGCATCGGTGTTTCCGTTCAGCGAATAGAACGCCAGATACACACATCCCTCGGGATACGCCTCGGCAGCCTGCTTCACGAATGGATGGCTCATGTCCAGATTTTGGTCCGTGAATGGCTTGAACCGGTGCAGTGCCCACACACCAGACGAGTTGAGTGACGTATGGAGGACTTCGATCGTTCCATATTTTTGCGCAGGGGACTCCAACCGACGAGTCACACGAATGTCCCCCTCGTGTGTGTCCACCAGGTAAAGCGTCTCGTCCCCATGAAAGGCTAGCAACGCCGTCGCGGGCATCCGGGGCTCCAGGCAACAAGCTCGAGGGTTGAGTTTCCTGCCTTCGAACTCGAAGAGCTTCCGATCTGTGAAATAGCGTGCCCCGTAGAGATGCTGATGCCAGGTCCAATTGAGATGACTGACCACATACGGGAAATTGTCGCGGACCTGCTGTTCCAGTTCCTCATGCGGCCAGCCTGGTAATTCGCGAAACTGGTGTTTCACCATCTCTCGACTGAGGATAGACATGGTGTAGAGATATCGCGAGCAATACGCGAGATTGAAGAACGTGCAGGGGTCGCATTTTCGGAATATGAGCTCGATGAGCTCGGTGGGAAGACGGAGTAGCATCTTTGCTTTGTTTCTACTTGTTCGGGTACGAAGTGGGGTGAGAGCGCTTCATGCAGCTATGTTAAATGAGAAATCAGAAAGTTGAGAAAGCGTCTCTGAGCGAGGATAGAATGTGGAGTGACGGAAGTAGTGGTCTAGTCAAGTCAACCCCCCGCCTCGTCTGTTGAGATGTGGTAGGAGTGGTCAAGACCGAGAGAGAATGCGAACAAAAGAGAGATCGAGGCACATATGTGAGGCGAGGCTGAGGGTGATTAGATATACTTTCGGTTTTATAGTAGTCAGTAGTCACACTGCCAGGCACCAGGTACCTCCTGCTCACTGCAGGACTGTAGGTACCTCGAGCGCGGATTCAACGCACGAGCCACCCTGTTGCCTGGTGGCCCTCACCCCCCAGTTCCCGATACGAATGCTTCAACTTTCAAGGACGCTAAACCTGAAAAGTATCAACAAGCCGGTATAAGAGAGGACCAGCAGAAGGCAGCAACCGCTCTGATCTCGGCGGGCCTGACCTACGATGTGCGTCAACGTCAAATTATGCTCTCTGCGAGCCGCACGAGAGAGCGGGGCGTTTTCTTTGCCTATGCCAAAAGTCCCGGTCTGCTACTAGACGACAGTGCGAAGGGACAAGTTGCTTAGGAATGAGGGCATCGGGACCTGAAAATAACAAGGCCGAATTCGATCGCGGTGCTTGCGAGGCAGGTTCGCTTCCAGCCCGCGGCCGCCAGGAAGAAGGCTTGTGGTGCTTGTCTCCTATATGATATTCAAAGCTACCTATATTCCCTGCTTGGAAGGAGAGACAAGCCCGCTCAAAGGTTAAATCAACTCAGAAATACTACCTATACGAGCCAAAGGACCGAGTTGCGAAAATAGAAAAAAACCAAAGTCATTCATTTCCATTGCTTTGATGCGTAAATTCAAATCGTTGCCCGGCCCTATAAATGAAGGGAAAGAAAAAAAAGCCAATCGGACGCCCTCTGAATGCAAAAACACAGGGAGGGAAACCATATCCAGGAAAAGAAAAAGAGTTGCGCGAGCATGAGAGTTCATAAGTGTTGGGTATCCGCTGTCGCTGGTCGTCAAGTCGGGAAGACTGTGAGAGGGGAAACACAGAAGAATGGGAAAAGAAAGGATGAGGCGAGAAGGGTGGTGGGGGAGAATGGAAAGGAGGATGGATGTCTTTCTTCTTCTTCTTCTTCTTCTTCTTTCTTTTTTCTTGAGTAAAGATCATGGGTGAGCTCAATTCTCGCGGTCCGAAGAATTTTCCACGAGCCATTCCAGTACACTTTCGTAGCAGAGCACGAATTGACTCAGATTCTGGACCATACTGGGCCGCTGAGTGCGAAAGTCTTCAACGGTTTTGACGATCAGGTCTAGACTGGAGTCAGTCAGAGCTTGCTTCTGCGAGCCGCTCTGACGCTGTCTCTTCATGATGTCTAACACACTGTCCACAGTGCAAAAGGTACCGGTACGGCCACAGCCTGCGCTACAGTGCACCAAGATCGGTCGCTGGCCTTCCGGTTCCGCCTCGTTTTCGCCGAACCGAGATGGGCTGGTGGCCCGGATCACTTTGTTGCATTGCTCAATGAGGTTCAGCAGGTGTGACGGTTGTGAAGTGGTACCAAAGTCAGGCCAATAGGGATATTGAAGTTGCGTGATGTCACGGATGGGTTGGAAGGGGAAAGAGGTGTGGTAGAGGCTGAAGTGTCGGACGATGATGATGGGGTTCTCGTTTGACTCGTCCAGTTTCTTGGGGAGCTCCTTGGATCCCGGGGGCGCCTTGGCGGTGAGGTCGATCGATTGACTCTTGTCATTGACCGGTATGAAGCGCTCCGAATAGGTCTTGACCTTCAAGGGACCGTAGTCGCCCGACTTCCAGTACGGGTGGCATTTCACCTGGCCTCGCTCGACCTCGGCGGTCAAGGAGACGAGCAGACGGACATCTTGCTCCCAGACTACACGCCAAAAGTCCTATGAATGATATGCGAGTCAGCGAGAGGAAAAGCGCAGGATCATCACCCAGGGTGGGAGACCATGATGAGTACGTACATTAAAGGTGTCGGGTACCGGTGCCTGGGTCGCAATGTACCGTCGGTTGCTGAGCTCGGCCTGGATGTGGTTGGCGTTGACGTAGTCGCAGCCACCGCTGGGAACGTCTTCGAGACGGACGCGGGAGTGGTCAAAGGGGTAAATGTCGTTGTAGCGATTTTTGCTGCCTTGCTCGATGCCGGCCACGCGATATTTCTTCGCATCTTCTCCGCCGGATGCCGAATTGCCCTCGTAGGTCAACGCTTGCTTCATTCGTTCCAACTCCTTCTTCTCCAGATCCAGGAATTTCTCAGACACGGCGTGACCCCGGTTTTTCGCATCAGAAGCCTCCCGTAGCCATTGAGGCAGCTTCTGTCTTTGCCGATCCGTCATCCCGTCGGGCAATTTGAGGGGAATTTGGCCGACTCCTCCCATCAGGTCCATGTTTTGTCGGATGTTGCCAAAGAACGGGTTCGCCGCCGACGAGCTATTCGGCAAGGCACAGCCTCCAACCACCGGCGCGATCGATTGCAGGTTGATGCTCATCGGCGAGCGTTGCTTCTTCCTCGGAGACGGACCCGCCATCGGGGCTGGCGGTCGGTGGACGAGGTGCGGGGCTTGTGTGGAAAAGGCCTTGAACCCTCCCCGCAGGATCAGGCCCTGCCCATCCCAGTTCTCGGCCTCGAACTTGCTGATCACGTGCATCAAGGGTAGCGCGTCCTTGACATCGGCCGCGGCGGAGTCATAGACGACGATCGTATCACAGGTGCGCCATGTCGCGAATTTGCGCTTATCCTCCTCGTTGGTGAACGTATTCTCCAGTTTCTGGGTGTCAAAGGAACGCCGCTTGAGTAACGTGGTCGGAATACAGAGATTGAGAGACCCGGTAATGTTGGATTGAGAAAAGTGCGCATACGGCCGCACATCGAGGAACAGGACCTTTTTGTTCGGGACGTTGATGAGCTCTGCACAGCGCTCCGACGTGACCCACCTTGAGGCGATGGCGGCTGCTTCCTCTGTTTGATGTCAGTCTCTCGTTCAATCTTGGTGTATCCCGCTCTGGACACATGTGAAGCGTAGACCCCCGCCGGGGGGCCTCTCCGTCTCTTATCTCTCTTTGATCGCGAGGGGCTTTCTCCCGAGACGAAGCCAGACTCACCTTGTGATGCCGCAACGGAACTCTGTCTCGGCTTAAAACTGAATTGAGGGGCCGCTCCCTGCATGGAGCCGATCGATGATCCGCCCAAGGCTAGAGACGGAGGGTCCTTGGACCATGTACGAGTGTCTGGTGCATCCCCACTCGTCGTGTAGTTCTGTAACGTCGACCCACGCCAGCCCTTTCCCTCTTCGGGCTCGGCTTTTAAGATGGTGGAAAGACCTGCGGAGGCCGACTCGGGCGAGGAGAGATGCAGCTTGGGGCTCACATGAGAAGACGAAAAGGAGGCCCAGGTCTTTTGGCCCTGCGATCCCGAATTGGAGCCCGGATGATTGTTGGGTCGGTCGACCGTGATGCCAAAGTAATTAGGGCTGGAACGCTCGGATCCCGACTGCACGCTGGTCTGCGAGGGCGACAAGCCCGAGTGACTCCCATGAAAGCCTTGACCGCTTCGACTGGGCGCATTTTGCACCCACGGGGATGGGGGGGTTCGCCCAGGACCGGTCATGATCACGTTGGATTCTTTCTCGACTTTGGAGTCGGCTTGAAGTCGGGCAGGGACCCTGTTTTTTTCTTTCTTCTTCTTCTTCTTCTTCTTCTTCTTCTTCTTCTTCTTCTTCTTCTTCTTCTTCTTCTGCGTGTCTTTCGACCCACCGGATCACAGTGCGGGATATTTTGTTCGCCGGAAACAACGAGATCACTCGACTCGACTCGTCACGAGGATTATTTCGCTCACTCTCCGCGCGATGTTCACTGATGCCACTAGGGACGGAAAGGGGTGGGAATCGAGACACCCTTCCCCCCAAAAAAGAGTCCGGGAGAATGACAGACCAGACGTGAGATCGACTGCTCTTGACAGAGGAGGATGGGTCGAACAGGCGATCTGAAGTCTAACGTCTGAAGTCTGAAACGGATGGTGCAGGGTCTGACGACCAAAGCGAGGCGCCACGACGTGCACACCTTGTCACCTACAGAGCTTCGACGCGACTGACGTATGGCGTCGCAATAGGAGAATGCGCACTGCCGTCCAGCAGTAGTGAAAGACAAAGGCTTAGCTGAAAAGGGGCAGAGGCAAAAAAAAAAAAAAAAAAAAGAAGTGGACGGGTCCAGCCCGGGCTCGACTGGTGTGGTTGCTTTTCAGTTGAGGGCCAACGACGTTTGGGTCAAACCGATGACGGAGGAATTGGGGTGCATCAGAGAAAGAGACCATCCACACGGAGATTTCACGAGGGTCATTACAAGTCCGACCTCATTCCCACATGATTAATAATAACAAGAGGTGGCACCGTGCAAGCGTGCAATCGTGAGTGATGATAAGGTGGGGGAGGGGATTGCGTCTTTGGTCGTTTGATTCGGGTGGTTCTTGTTTCCTCGTGGTAATTTCGGAAACCTTCGTACGATGTCGAGGGTTGAAGGGGGCAGAAAGTGAGGGCGCTGGGCACTGGGCACTGGGCAGAGAGGGAGTGGAAGGGTGGAAGGGTGGAAGGGTGGAAGGGTTCAAGGTTGACTACGAGACTCCACCACCAGCATTTACTCTTTACTATTTAGCTCTGTGTCTGGATGAGTATAGTGCGAGATTGTCAATGCTTGACCCGGTTCCTCTCGCGTTCTACACCAACAAAAGGGTCGGACCTTGTACGAGTGTCGGTGTCCATGTGACTATGTGTATATGGCTGTATCGACTGCTCAGAAATCGAGCCTGCGAACAGAAAGAGGGGGGAAGAAAAAAAAACGGGAGAAACAGCAAAGAATGGGTCGTGGAGGGCCGGTGACGTTAGTGTGGGGGGGGGGCCATCGCGTGAAGGGGGGAAAGGCACGGATGATGTATGGCGAGTCTGGAAACTTGGGTCGACCCTCGGCTCGGCCTAGACCCTCTCTTCCCTCTCTTCCCTCTCTTCCCTCTCTTCCCTCTCTTCCCTCTCTTCCCTCTCTTCCCTCTCTTCCCTCTCTTCCCTCTTTCTTGAGTTCCTTTCTTCTCCGGTCACACTCGGAGCCATTGAAATCCCCGATCCAAATCACCCTTGTGGCCCCTCCGAGACGGAGGAGAAGACTGACTAGCTAGTAGGTACGAAGGTAGTTCGGGTCAATAATGATCTGCTAGTCACAATAGGTATCCTTGCCGCCAGCCAAGCTTACCTGCAGGCCGATCAATCAAACCTAATGGGCCATGTTTAAATTGAATCGTCAGTACTGAGTATCGATGATCCGCAAGGTAAATGTCGACTTTAGTATGGAAGCCTATCTATCCTTGTTGACAATGTGATTGATGCGCAGACTACTAAGTACAATACATACTACATATTTACCTTGCGCACCACATCCCACGTAGATGGATATGTCTCAATTTATGGACTGAACACTCAACAGTGTGCCTGAACATTTTCCGGGGACCGCTCGGGAAAAAAATGAGATTCTTCATTGCAGTCCTCTCCAAGCAGTTACTAAGTAGTTTGGAACGTAAGTACTGTATCACGGTATCACTCTGTAGTTTCATGTTATGAGTTCGTCTGCACTCTGTACTGCATCTCATACTGAAGGTATACTTGTCTACACTCTAAAAACCTCACCTCCGGTATAAGTGCATCGGGGATTCGCAGATGCTGCCCAAATATTACTCAATTATCCCTCCGCCGCAAACACTAAACTCCAAAAGATCTCCCTCAACAAGAAATCCCTGGTCGACCGCAACCGCCAGGATCCCGACACGGCGGTCGTGTGAGAGGGAAGAAAAACGCCCCCTGGTCATCGTCCTGCCCGTGGAACCATCTAGACGAGCATCGCAACCCGCAAGAATGTCATCGTCAGGCGACTGAGACGGAAGGGGGTTGAGCGTCCCGACGGGTTGGTTGTCGTATAGACTTCTGTTCTAAGGTACCAGGAGGGATAGAGTAGACGACTAGAGACTAACTTACGATGGCACATGTGGGACGATGTACTGCGAGACTGCTCGTAGTACTGGAGCCGGTGGAAGGGCTGAAATAATGATGTCTTCTTACCATGGAGTCGCAACCCAACCTCGTCAGAGCATCTCAAGGAGGCGGAACGCCAAGGAGAGCGAGAGGAGTCGCAGAAGCTCTCCACTCCAAAGCTCAACGACATCGTCACGCAGCTCGCCTCTCCTCCACATGATCTCATCGGGGGAACATTGAACTCGCACAACCCTTGAACCCACACGTCCGTGCCAACCACCCGCTAGCGAACACTACGAACGGTGATCTTCCACCGGCGTCTTTCTCCACTTTTAATGATGACTGTCATGGGTCTTATCTGATGTACGATGGGGAAGAAAAACGACGTTCGGGGCCAATCCATGGAAACACAAGACGTCGATTCAAGCGTATAGGATGATGGGAGATGATACGACACATGAACTTTCAGCACAGGCCGAAGATGGTGGTACGAAGCCATGCGCCCAACGTTCACAGTTCCGTGGGAGGGTGGCAGTCTGTCAGTCTGTCAGCCGAGGGCCCGGTCCCGAGCCTCCCGCCATGCGGTACAATCTGGGTGTTGTCCCGTGTTGAGGGCACAACTGAACAATGTACATTGTGCATGAGGTACTGACGTACAACAGGGAGAGCCCAGTCGCCCAGTCCAGCTCTGCCCCAAGCTACAAGGGGTATGAGATAGGATTGGCCCAAAGCGTCAAGGGGAGCTTTCTCCCTGCTCTACCCAGAAGACGCTGACAGAGCTAAAGACGAACCATCCAGTCGCGGCTACGGGACTGCGGCCGGAACAACGGCTCAACGCGGAAGCGATTCTCATGAGTCGATGCGCGGCCGTCGCACAACTGCTGCAGTCAACACATAAAAATGTCGCTCTGAGGAACAGACGTGGGCGGATCCGGCGGCGATCCAAAAGATCAGTTCTCTTCACTCCACTGGTTCATCAAGAACTCAGCCCAACTCGCAGAGGAGCGACCTCGGTTGCGAAAGTGGATAGATGGTTCTCGAAAGTCATCAAGTCATCGGGCGATCGGGTTGCCACACAAGCTGGTCACAGTCGGCCGTCGGGCTCACCCTCGAATCGCTTTACTCGCTTTTGTTCCCAGTTGTCCAAGTCCTTCGCCATCAGTCGCTGCAGCAAAGATTAGCAAATCATTTTCGTGTAGGTGCGCCTCAAATGCACGAGTCACTCCTGCGTGACACTAAAAGAGAGAGATAGAGAGAGAGAGAGAGAGAGAGAAAAAGAAAGAGAGAGAAACTCACGTAGTACTCCTCGCGCTCGTCACCAATAACGCGACGACGAGGATTGCGCTTAATTCCTTCCTCTCCGTCGGGCCCCTTCAAACCGAGTTCAAAAGCCTCCTCTTTGCTCACTTGTTGGACCTTGCGGTCATATCGCTCATAGCGAAGGGCAGCCGCAGGGGTGAGAACGAAGGATCCGGCAACGATGACAGCAATAAAAGGTAGTCCGAAGAGAAGGAATGGGTATCGGGTCAGCCGAGCTCGATAGAGAGCACCCAGACGCTCCCCCAAGGATGAGGATGCGGTGGTCGCTCGTCGGAAAGTCTTGGATTGGAACGTAGGCATTTCGGTGATTTGTGCAATATCTCGCGTATGATACAGTCCTGTCGCGTGTGTAATGTAAATGTGTACAGCTGGGTTGCGCCGTCGAAATTGGCGAGGATTGTTGCGAATCGTGGGTCTGAAAGTGTTTGGCCAGGTGAGGGCTACAATGCAACAAGTTGATCGGAGGATTGTTTTCCCGGGATACCGGAAGTGAAGTGTTTTGGACCGCGCATTGCATGGAGCTTGATCAGAGGTAGACCGCATTTTCCTCTAAGCTGGACTTTGTCGGTCCTCAAGTCGCGACAATCTTGATTGCAGCTTCTCGGCGGATTTTTCTTGGGCTGAGAATCCGTTCGTCCGATTCTTTCAGAGCTTTTTCACAAGCTCGAAAGTGGTGAGCACCCTCGGGTTTTCTCCTCTCTACTACACGCCAAAGGCGGAGCAACCTCAACCCACCTGGTCGCTTATCACGAAAAAAATAATCCTTCGTCAATTGGAGAGAACAGCTTCTCATTAAGCTGCTCATTCAACTATGGCCTCCAATACAGGCTCTCTCTTTGGAGGAGCATCCGGCCTTGGCTCGGCAATGAACAAACCTAGTCTCTTTGGATCTACCAACACCGCGACAAGTGCCTTTGGTACCACGCCTGCCGCACCAGCCCAGACGACGCAGACAAGCTCACTATTCGGTCAGAGCCAGGCGCAGCCTCAGTCCACGGCTCAATCTTCGTTGTTTGGCCAGCCTCCGGCACAGGCTCAACCCACCACTCAATCCTCGTTATTCGGTCAGAGCCAAGCGCCCGCGCAGCAACCTGCTCAATCCTCCCTGCTCGGTCAGCCTCAACAGCAAGCTAACGGCGCACAAGCTTCTGGTCCAGCGGCGGCGCAAGCAACCCAGCCAGCATTCTTCAAGAGTCTCCTTGAACGTGGCAAGAAGCGACCCTTATCTGCGGCCGTGCAAGGAAGCAACTTTGAAGATGTCCCGAATCTTCAATTGGGCCTGGACGATATTCGCAGAAAGGCCAGAGAGCTTGGATCTGGTGGGAGCAAGGATCCTCTACAGCCGGGTGTGACTAAGAAGGCGTAGGTTTACCAAATTACCCATTCGGGTGTACGACGCTTCAATGACTACAAGAACTAACCGACTGCCTTTCCATCTAGTCATTACCTTCTGGCTTCGTCCGGTATTTCCCCCGGACAGGCTTTGCGAGACCTGAGATCGCTTGATCCCCAAGCTTCTGTGGCTCCAGTCCGAGAGGCAGATACATTCGACCCCGATAACCAACGATTTTTGCGAAACATCCAACAGCGAGGTCGGCAGGTGATGATCAATGAGAGTCTCTCCCGCGCTCAGCGTGACTTTGACGCGTTCCTCGAGGACAAGCTCGATATGGACTGGGAGGAGCAGCGTCAAAAGATCTTCCAGCACTTTGGACTTGAGAAGGACGCAGGTAGTGGCGAGGAGCTCAAGTCAACAGTGCGCGGTGCTTTTGGTCGCTCGGCGAGACAGTCCAAGGCTCCTGGCGGTCCTGCTGCCTCGCGCAGGAGTATTTATGGCCGCTCGGGCTTGGACAAGTCTGTCATTGGGACTCCTGGAGCTGGCCTGGCCAGTCGCCAGTTGTTCGAGCCTCCTACCGAGCGCGCCGAAGGAGCTTCACCTTCCTCGCCTGATTCTCGCTTCTTGCGGGAAAAGATGGGCTGTTACGCCGAAAAGGTTCAAGACTTGAACTTTGCTCGACTACAGGGCAAGACATACCCCGTTTTGGGTCAGTTCATGGAAGTTGAGATGTCGTCAGGCGGAGATGTAAGACCTTCGGAACAATCTATCATTCGTTCGCATGCGCAAGGCTCTGACTCATTGTTACAGGTTCCTCAACAGTTGATTTCAGCATATCGGGCACTTATCAACATCGTCCAAGAGAGCCCAGGTATCACGGACAAGAGCGACCCCCGCGCAGTCAGGGAACGACAATTTGCATCCGAGTACCTGGACGAGTCCCCCAAATCTCGTAGCTCCATTAAGCTGAAAAACAAGATCCTTCAGGGCACACGGACTTATCTGGAGAAAGCCTTCTACAGCGAAGTGGAAAATGCCATTGCCAAGAACCCCCGTGAAGCCCAGCTGGGTGGCATTCCTAGCACCATCAACAAAATCCGAGCTTACATTCGTCTTCGCGCTGCTAGAAAAGATCTGGCTCCAGATGGTACCGAGCTGCAGACGGTCGATGATGATTACTGCTGGATCCTGATCTTCTACCTGCTGCGCTGTGGTTTCGTTGAAGAGGCGGCGAGCTACGCGGCCTCAAATCAAAGCTTCCGATCACTTGATCAAAAGTTTGTGACATACGTGACATCTTACGCGCGTGATAGGCGTCTTTCGCGAGAGAATCAGCAGAAGATCAATGGCGAGTTCCAACAACGATCGCGAAATGCGCCCGAGAACACCGTTGATCCTTACCGTATGGCCTGCTACAAGATTATCGGTCGCTGTGACTTGTCCCGTCGTCGTCTGGAAGGGATCAATCAGAGCGTCGAGGATTGGATGTGGCTCCAATTCAGCCTCGCGCGGGAAGACGACCGCGCCGAGGAGGTCGCGGGTGACATCTTTGGACTGGAGGATATTCAAACAGACATCGCGGAAATTGGCCAGAGAGTCTTCAACAAGAACAACGCTCAAGACTCACCGGGCGGGTACGGTACTTTCTTCTTGCTACAGATCTTGGGCGGCATGTTCGAACAAGCTGTGGCCTATCTGGGCACTTTTGCTCCCGTGACTGCGGTTCATTTTGCTGTCGCATTAGCTTACTACGGCCTGTTGCGCGTCTCGGACTTTTACACTTCTGGCGAGGAAATTTGTGAGTGCTACTTCCCTTTCGCAGAATCGCACTCCGAGCCCAACTTTTCAATCGTCTTGAAACTAACATCTTTCTTTTTTTTTTTTTTTCAACTTCCGCAGTGTCATTCTCGGTGAAGCAATATCCTCAGATCAACTTTGGTTATCTGATCACTCAGTACACCCGGGAATTCCGAACGGGCTATGTCGAGGCCGCCGTTGACTACTTCACTCTGATCTGCCTGAATGCAGATCTCGGCGGGAATCTTGGCAAATCTCAGGCATCAGTCTGCCACGAAGCCCTTCGTGAGTTTATCCTCGAGACCAGGGACTTTGCCAAGCTGTTGGGCGACATTCGCGACGATGGCACCCGCATCAAGGGTATTATTGAGCAGCGCCTTGCATTGATCAACCTCTCCGATCAGGAGGACTTCCTGAAAAATATTACGGTGCAGGCCGCTGGTGTGGCAGATGACAAGGGCTTGATCACCGATGCAGTTCTGTTGTACCACCTCGCGGAAAACTACGATCGCGTCATTGACATCATCAACCGTGCCTTGTCCGACGCCATCGCTATGGACTTGGGAGCAAGCATGCCTAAGCTGCAGCCTCTCCGCCCACGAGTGCAAGAGGGACAGTCTGGACCCGCCGATCCCGGTAGCAGCCTGAGCTTGACCGCCGTTGAAGATCCCGTTGAGTTGGGTAGGACCATGATCGGCCTCTACGATGGGAAGCCGATGTACTACGAAAAGATCCGGCCTATCAACCGTGATTCGTGCGGCCTCCTGCTCCGTATGCTAACGGCCAAGTACGAGGTTGAAGCTGGACGATGGGCCCCCGCTCTTGATGTAAGATTCTCCCTCTCTCTTCATTCCTCGCGTTCGGGAGTCCGCTTTCTGTCGAAATATGCTTACGCCTTTGTTCACCACAGTGCATCAACGCCTTGAACATCCTGCCTCTGCAGGCGCAAGGTCAAATCCAGAACATCCGCAGCGCAGCTCAAAACTTCTCATCTCTTCCCGAGATGATCTCTCGAAATGTCGGACATGTCATCATGTGGAGCATCACATGTATCGGCAACGAGCGACATCGCCAGACGAGCGGTCCCTACGAGACTGACATGCACCAAGGCTTCGCAGACCAACTATTGCAAATGGCCAAGGATCTCATGATCTTCTCCGGTATGGTCAAGTATAAGCTTCCTCCCAGGGTGTATGAAGCTCTTGCCCGGGCTGGCGCGGAGATCGGTGCATACTAGGGGTGCTGCTATTGGTAATCTCTTTCTCGGCGGATGCTGCAGATGTCCAGTGCGGATTCCCATGAGTCGTCTAGATAGCTTTTTTGAAAAACTTAATGAAGATGATATGGTCATATCAGTGAGGACTGGTGGTTCCCGCATGGCATCATGTTCTGCCAAGCTGTGTCGATCGCATTTCTACTCGGACCCTCTTAGTCCATGCTGATCCTCCTCAAATTAGCGGTGTTTACGGTCAGTATGAGTGTTTCTAAGATTTGCGCCAAAGTGACTGTGTCACATTACACGATCTAGAATACTGTAGGACGCAACTTTGAAAGTGTGGGCGCAAGCAGACCCGAACCACCGTGCGAGACATTTCAGTTCTATTCACTTCATGTCATAGTGCGCAGCGCGCGCGTTGCCTCTTTTACGGACGCCGAGCTCTCGAGATTAGGTGTATGTTCGACAAGAAATACATGTAAATTGGGGAGCTTTCGTCAGGAGATTTCGATGTTCTGTAGTCTTGGCTTACGCTGTCTTTGTCTTCGTGTATGTGAAAGAAGAGAGACGTGAAACACCCACTTTTTAAGGGTCCAAAGAAAGTTAAAAAGTGTTTAAGAAATTGTCTATATCATGATCCACTGCATACCCATGGTAGGAATGCAAGGTTCGAGGTCGGCGCGGTCTTCCCGAGACTGCGGAACCTTTCCTGGACGAAATAGCACCTCAGAGGCTCAGACAATCTCCGCTCAGCTTCCCGCTAAGATTGTACGTCCTGCGAACTTGTCTCGCTGCAACTGAATGCCCCAGTTTAATGGGCCATCGTTCATCAGATTTGAACATGGTTCAGACGCCTTGAACGTGGAAGGCCGGGTCCTAGTCACTGGCGCTGGAAAATGTCGTCGCCAATACCGCCTCCGAACAACGACTGATTGATCTTTGAAAACCACCCGGTTCGGGGCTGGATCTCCCCCTGTACAGTGGGCTGCCAGACACACGTTGATAGCACACGCGGAACACACAATGGAGTCAACATCCGGTGTTCCTCGTGAGATCCGCGCAGATGATCGTCTGCATCAAGCTGAGCAAGAGACTGAGCGACACTTCGGTGACACGTCCACGCAAGATGAGGTGCACGAAAACTCCCCGGCTGATGATGTCCGTTCTTCGCGGCGAAGTATGTCCACCGCGTTGGCAGTAGAACAACAAGATCCACCTGAAGCCAGTGAGGTCGGAGCATCATCAAGTCGCGCTGTTAATGGGGAACAGAATAGCGCGTCCGTGGATTTCTCCGGTCAATCTTCCCAGAGCTTGTTCGACAATCCGCCAAATCTGGCTCGGGTTCGCAAAATCCTCTTTGAATGTCAGGATTCAATTGAGATCACGTTGCGGGAATTCGAAACATACTGGCCATTTGTTGACAATGTCTGGGTGAAACAGAAAACCAACGCCAGCAGAGGGGGCTACTATCTCACAGAGTATTACATGTGTCGGCTTCGGCGCCCGACGCATCGCTCGTCTGAGACTCGTCCACTACCGGAAGGAAAAAGGCCACGCAACAGGCGCGCTCGAGAGGGCGGACTATGCAATGTCCAGATCAAAGTCGTTCGCGTGTCGGGGGCATATCCAATGGTCAAGATTATGCGGACCCCGGGGAGTGAAAGTGCACATTCTCATGACCTGGATTGTATTGACCGATTGAAACGCAACTCCGGACTGATGGAGTTTGCGCGCAGAGAGTCCACAAAGGGATTTTTGCCTTCTTCGATATTCACCAAATTCAAGGAAGAGCCGGCGAAACTGATTGACGCCGGGGGTCGCTTTTTGACCGTGACGGATGTGCGGAATGTCTCGGCCAAATGGCGCACCCAGAACCCGGATATCGAATTGATTCCTCATGAAGGGTACGAGCTGGTCAAGGGCCAGGGAATAGTCAAATCGGCAAGTGATGCTGCCAGTACGACAGTGGGGGGATCATCGACAGGAGCAGCAGCAGCGACAACAACGACAACAACGACAACAACGACAGCAGCACACTTGCCGCCCGATACGCTTTCGTTCCCATCCTTTCCACTGGAATTTCTGCAGTCATATTTGCCCAAAACTTCAAAACGCCGTGAATTCCCTCACGTCACCTTATCGTATGCTTCATCAATGGATTCCAAGCTCTCCCTCTTGCCGGGTATGCAGACAGTGTTGTCGGGTCCCGAAGCAAAGCTCATGACCCATTATCTTCGGTCCCGTCACGATGCCATTCTTGTCGGGGTTGGAACTGTACTCGCGGACAATCCTGGCTTGAACTGCCGTCTCGAAGGCGCCGGAGGATTCGGGGGCCTGGGCCGGATGTGGCAGCCTCGCCCCATCGTTATCGATCCTATGGCTCGATGGCCTATCCACCCTGGCTGTCGCATGCTTCGAGCAGCCGTTGAGGGAAAAGGAAAAGCACCCTGGGTTGTCGTCACACCCGGCGCTCAAATCGATCCTCAGCGGCTGATGATGTTGAAGAGTTACGGTGGGGACTTTCTTCGCATCGTGGAATATAATCAAAACTGGCGACTACGCTGGGAAGCCGTCCTTCGCGCTCTGGCATCTGAGGGTATCAAGAGTGTGATGATTGAGGGTGGCGGCACTATATTGAGTCAGCTTCTCAATTCCGAATATTCCGAGTTGATTGATTCAATGGTCGTCACGGTTGCACCAACTTATCTGGGCCGTGGTGGAGTCAGTGTCAGCCCTGATTCCAAGTTGGATCCGGATGGCAAGCCCAATGCTGCTTTGAACCCACGAGAAGTCACTTGGACGCCGATGGGCCAGAATGTGATCATGTGCGGAAAGATTCGCCAGCCTGAAGCCCAACAACAAGCAGGTGGCTCAGCTTTAACATGAGCCCGGAAAACTATGAAAGGTGTGGTTTGCGAGACAAAGCGAATGTTCTTGACTCAAACACTGAGACGCTCGAGAGACGTCTAAGCGAATGATTCAGAACTGGGTCTACCGGTGAAGGAGATGAAGCCGAAATCTATAAAGAGGGACCGAACATGGATATAGATGATTGTCGCCCAATTATCGAGAGGAGTGTAAAATTAGAGGGAATCCTTCAAGATGAGCACTGTTGTCAGCTACGGTCTGAGGGCCTTATAGTGGGAACCATTCACTATGTAAGATGTACATTGTTGAAGAGTCCATCGAAAAACACCTCTGAGGTGTAGAATTAGCTGTCTTGTCTCTGCTGAAGGCACTTCGTGTCGTTTGGGGTGTAACTCTCATGTTACTTTCTCGCGGGATAAGGTGGCGCAAATAAACAAAGATACCGTTTAGTGACCCAAAAAGTAAGAGTAAACAAAGCATACGAGCTCACTTCCTATTCGAGTAATGCGACCCAAACATCGATGCCTACTCGTGAACATCATCAAACAAGCAAACAATCGCGACATCCTGCCTTGACGCGTGCATCTGCCACTATACACATTACTATTGTTCTGGCGATTGTTTGGGGGGTGCCTGAGCTGTTGCGGGTGCCTTGGAAAACCCTCCCCCGGGGGGGAATGCCGCCTCTAAAATTCCTACTATTTAAATGCGCCCACGTTCCCACGGCCTCACTTTTCGCTTCTTTTTTTCCCCCTCTCTCCACCGGTCTTTGTTCGTTCGATTGACAGCTCATTAGTCACTTCTCACTTGACACTCTTTCGAACCTCACTTGACTTACTTCTACCTCTTTCTCTTCACCTTCTTTCTCGCCTTCCTCCTCATTTCGCTCTTCGCTCTCCTTCGCGCCTCTTTCTCTTCCGCCTTCCTCCTTTCCTCTTTCGCTTCCCTTGTCTCTTGCGGTCCAAACAATGGCCCCTAAGAAGAACGCGGAAGCCGGCCCTTCCAAGGCCACCAACAAAGCGGCCACGGCCAAGGCGACTGGTCGTGGTCGCCCCAAGAAAACCGACGCTGCGCCTGCCGCGCCTGCCGCCAAGGTCACCAAGACTGCGGCGACGAAGGTCACCACCAAGGTGACCAAGTCCACCAAGGCGAGCGCTCCTGCCGCCAAACCCACGAAGACCCCCGCCGCGACCACCACCAAGGGAAAGGGCAAGGCCGCCGCGACCACCACCGCCACCACCAAGACCAAGAAGGCCACAACCACGGCCAGCGCATCAAAGAAGCGCAAGGCCGAAGATGACAACGATGAGGATGTGTCGCCCGCCGAGGAAGACAAGACCCGGCAGATCAAGAAGCCTCGCGTCGTTCGCGAGCCCAAGCCCAAGGTGGTCAAGCCCAAGCGCGTTCTACCCAAGGTCGTCATCAACGACGTCCCCAAGGCGCGCCTGAACGTCTTTGTCTGTGGTGAGGGAAGCTCCGGTGAGCTTGGTCTGGGTGCCGCGAAGAACGCGATTGACGTGAAGCGGCCCCGCCTCAATAAGCTTTTGGACGCCGAGGAAGTGGGCGTCGTCCAGATCGCCGTGGGTGGCATGCACTGCGTGGCACTCACACACGACAACAAGATCTTGACCTGGGGCGTCAATGATCAAGGCGCGTTGGGTCGCGACACGGCCTGGGACGGCGGTTACAAGGAGATGAAGGAGGATGCAGAGAGCGGCTCCGACTCAGATGATTCCGACGACGACAGTGGTCTCAACCCCAATGAGTCCACGCCTACCGCGATCCCCTCCAGCTCCTTCCCCGAGGAGAGCGTCTTTGTTGCCGTTGCCGCCGCCGACAGCGCGAGCTTTGCTTTGACCGATGACGGTCAGGTCTTCGGTTGGGGAACATTCCGAGTAAGTTTTTCCTCCTATGGCTGCTACAGCATTCCATTAGCAACTTACATTCAGTCAAGTTCATCACTAATCATTAATTCTTTCGTCTTTATTATTAGAGCAACGACGGAGTGTTGGGTTTCGATCCAGAGCACCGGATTCAGACCACTCCCATCCTGATCCCCGGCTTGAAGAAGATCAAGCAACTCGCCTGCGGTGCCAACCACGTCCTGGCCCTGACCGATCGCGGTGCCGTCTTGTCCTGGGGTTCCGGCCAGCAAAGCCAGCTGGGTCGTCGCATTGTTGAGCGCAACAAGCTCCACGGTCTTCAGCCCCGCGAGTTCGGCCTGCGCAAGGACATCGTCCACATTGGCTCCGGCTCCTACCACTCCTTCGCCGTTCACGCCAACGGCACGGTCTACGCTTGGGGCCTTAACAGTTTCGGTGCGACCGCCATCCGCGACAATGCTGGCGAAGATGAGGCTGTCGTCAATCATCCTACGCGCGTCGAGTCTCTTTCCAACCAAAAGATCACCCAGCTTTGTGGCGGCGCCCACCACTCCATTGCTCGCACTGAGGATGGTAAATGCCTTGTTTGGGGACGCACTGATGGCCACCAAAGCGGTATCAAAGTCGACTCCCTTCCCGACGACTCGACTATCAAGGATGACCGTGATCGCCCTCGCATCCTGATTGAGCCCACCCAAGTCCCTGGCATCGAAGCTGCTGTTGTTGCCGCTGCCTCTGATCATTCCTTGGCAATCGACGTAAATGGTCGCGCCTGGTCCTGGGGTTTCTCGGCCACCTACCAGACTGGACAAGGCACCTCCGACGACATCGAAGTCGCCACCATGATCGACAACACTGCCACTCGTGATCGCAAACTGAATTGGGCTGGTGCCGGTGGTCAGTTCTCAGTCTTCACCGATCTCGCCTGAATGTGAACAATGTGTTGCCTGTCCTTGGGTCTTGACTGCGCCATGTATTCAATAGTTCTTTTTGATTCTTTAGTTTTTCTGCCTTTTCCGCAGCCCATTGTTTTCTCTTGGTTCCATTCGGCTGCCTTCCTGCCTCTCCGACGCATTAATAGGGACTGAGTTTGTCTGGAGATTTGTCTTGGCATGATACGACTATTTGCTTTTCACTTGCAGCATTGATGATACCAAGATACGAGTTTACTGCAGCAATCTGCAGCGGGCTGTGGATCATTGGAAGTTTGAGTTTAAGGAAGGTAAACTGTTTAACGTTCAACATTGGAGGCCATCAACATGAAAGTTGCATTTGGCCCCCATTCTGAGTTAAGTTCCTGAATACAGTCTTTGGTTTACCTTCCTCATGTGTTGAGATTGTGTTTGTCTCTGGTTTGTGAGACCAAGAGTGAGCGGAGTGAACTATTCCAGCTTGATTATGAGCAGCTCAAACGCAGATTTGAATTCGTTGTCAAAAAATATTTTGCATGCCTCGGTCTCATCGGCATTTCGCCTCAAGCCTCAATGTGGCATGGGTGAATCGTCTTCCTACTGATCAATGCGCATGGGATTGCCAACTACTGTGCTCTTCAAGTGGTCATACAAGCCCATGGGCGATAGTAACATGAAAGCCAAATTGATAACTCGCTCAATCCTCGCTTGTTTCAGTCGCTTTGCCGTCAATTCATTATTATCAGATATAGTGATTAGGTCCATGCAACGGACGTCAAAGTCCCATCTCATTCATCGCTTCGTACTCGGCATCAAAGTCATCCATGTGCGCAACGGCGGCCCTTGATGCAGGCTTAGGCATATCTGCCATAACCTCATCTTGCTCTCTGAGAAGATCCTCAAGATCATCATCATCTGGTTCAACACCTTGCGCGTCAGGCCGGGGAGCCGAAGCGGGTGGACCAGATGTCATTTCTTCGTCCTGCTCTCGGAGGAGATCTTCGAGTTCATCGTCGTCTGGTTGAGGATGACTGACTGGGGGCCTGTTCTCTGCTTCCGGATCTTGCATGAAGAGGTCTCCATCGTTTGTTGACTCCGTTTGTTTGGAACCAGCAGTTTGCTTCTCTTTGTTGTCTCGCTTATTTGGCTCGGTCGATGATCGACTAGGGTTCTCGGTATTGGTTCTGTCGTAGAAGGGTTTCGGCTTTTCTTCCTCGATCCACTCTTTTCTCATGGTTTGGATGCGCTTCGTGTGGCCCAGCTTTTCAATAATAGCCAGGCCGTCTGCAAATTTCGCGCGTGGAAAGAGGTCGTCAAGCCATAATTGATAGAAGTTCAACAATCGTTCAGCATCTTGGAACTATGGGTATGGTATTAGGGGCAGTTAGCGAGCCGTTCTCTCATAGGCAAGGTTCTCTCATCATGGTGCACAAGTAGCTAACCTCATACCCTTTGCCCTTGAATCTAAGCTTCTGTTTGGCAGTGCGACGGAGTTTAGGGATTCCTGGTTGTGAAAGGAGACTGTACAAGGTATTAGTCTTCAGCTTCATGGAGTTACTGGGTTCAAGCTGGGTGGCCCATCGTACCGAGCCTCGTCGAGCTTTGGATTTGGTCTCCGCTGTTTTGTAACTTTGACTTCCTCGTCGAGACCAAGACCCAAAGACGTGGGATCGTTAGTCGTAGGTTTTGAGCCACTTGCTGTGGTGGTCGTATCTGGGCGGTCTTTGAAGATATCGTCGAGGCCGACGTCGTAGTCGAACAGATCATCGATGCTTGCTTCACCTTGAGCCATCTCATTTGTGGCGTCCATAGTGATACGATATATTCCGGTTTCGCCTCAATGTGAGAATTAGTTGTCTTGGGTCTTCAACTGTCTTTAATTAAAGGTCACCGAATCAATCTCCCAAAAAGACGCGTCTGGACGCGCGAAGTCACTCTGCGATTGCAATTGGCTGCGGTGGATGCTGTGCTGCCCGCTCTGCGCTAGCCCCAAAGCGGACTAGTGGACAACCTCCGTCCAACTTCCGAACTTCGAACTTCGACTCTGCACAACAATACCCACTAAACGGCATCATGGCTTCCGACCACAGCGCTGTCGTTGTGCCTCCTAAGCAGGTGGCCACGGATTACCCTGTGCGTGTGAAGATCTCTCATACAATTTGAATGTTGCATCCCAAGCTGACCCGTGTTCTCTGCCCCGCAGTTGATTGATTCCGACCCGTACGATATCCGATGCTTCCCCCGGATGTGACCAATTGTACCAAAGCTCACTACTGCTGAATGTCTAGGCATATGCGCCGAGTCTTCCGATATGCCCGACGTGAAGATTATGCTGTCGCTGGAGCTACCGGTGCTATCTCCCCCATTGCTTTCTGGGTCATGGAGCGAGTGAGCCCGTCGCATGTTGGCCGTGGTGGCTTCCCTCCTGTCATGCGCTTGGCTACTGCCATTGGCTTCATCGGCGGTCTCCACGTTCTTTACCAGCGCTCATGCAGTATGTGGAACCGATCAATGTCCTTTTGTTGGAGTCATTGGACCCCATGAGTAACTAACCCTTGACCAATAGACCGTTTCTACGGCTTCACCGAGAACAGCCGTGAAGTCGACATGGATATGCGCGAGATGGTTGACAAGGTCAAGAAGGGCGAGCCCCTGTACGGCACATCTGGCATGTCCTCTTATCTCCAGGGTGTGGCTGCTCGTAACTCGCGTTACTCCGGGCTGTTCGTTCATGTCCTGCCCTGGTTCAACATTGTCAACCACGACCAGGTAAGCTTCTCTCAGTGCTGTCATTTTCATGGCGAGGGCTATAGGCCACAAACGATTCCCTTTTTGTTTGAACTAACTTTTGCATCAGCACGGCGTCGACACTGCGAAGTACTACCAGCAAGCAGAGCGGGAATTGGAGGCCGAGCGTTTGAGCAGGGCTTGATTGGGCACTGAACATTCACGAGTTGCTCAATTTTTGTATACATATCCCGCTGCGAGCTGTTCACATTTTTTGATTCTTTTACCAAGGCGCAATTCCCAATTAAAATACTTCATTTGTTCTTCGTCAATCATTCCCAGCTGGGTGAACGCATGCAAGGCACAATTCATTAAATCCCGACAACCAAGGCTCCTCAGCGTGCGCAAGCGCAAATCGCGGCATTCGCCTATGTTTGGAAGTTTCACTGGGAGCTGGGCAGTACTTCGACCCCATTGGTAGCCGTGATTTCGCGTACTTGATCAAAGGCAGTGTTCAGTTCGCGGTGCTTCTTTGCCCGAGGGACGGGTGCTGGCAAGTTCAATACATGTCAGTTGTTTGCGCTCGCTTTTATCAAGATGCAACTTCAACTTGTGTCGAGTACACTTACCTTTGGTGTTCTCTTGAATGTAGAACCGACGGAGAAGCATGATGGCTTCCTTCTGGAATAATCCACCATACACGGGGTAGGCGGAATCTATCGAACGACTGCTCGTTGATCAGAAAGGTTCGGCCTCATCATTCAAATTTGAGGCTAGTCATGTACCACTTACTCGGCATGAATTGTCAGGACACCCCCCGTGCCTCCGAATCGATCGTTGGCACAACCAAAGTATACGCTTCGGATACGATACTGCCTCAGCGCCGATGCACACATGATGCAGGGTTCGACAGTTACGTAAAGATCAGTCGACTGGAGCGCGGATTTGGGGAAGCTCTGTAGAAATTCCGCAATAGCCAGGAACTCGGCGTGACGGGTACCCTGCCATGAAATCTTAGCATGAGGGGGTTTCCAGGAAGTCGAGGTGCGGCGCTTCAAAGAGTTCTTCGCGTGTAGTAGAGGAGATACAATTAATCGGGCATGGCTATGATGTGAGAGTCGCACATACATTCATTGAGCGATTGGTATCATTCATGCCTCGGCCCACGATCTTGTCATTGTGGACCAGGACACATCCCACAGGAGTCTCGCCGTGCTCTAGAGCTTTCTCTCCCTACATAAATCAGTAAGCTGAGAACGAATCTTGCAACACAACGCTAGGTCATCGAAGAATACCATATCAAGGGCCGCTTTCATCCACTGGGCATGCTTCGAGTTCTCAGACACCGCTGGAGTGATTTCAATTTCGGAGAAGGCCTCGTCCATAGTGCCGGTCTGCTCTCGATGCGTGTGATAGGAGCTGAGAGTGCGAAACCACAATGACTTACAAACAGCCAAAATTTAAGTCAGGGACTAGGACCACAGTTGATCCAGTAGTACAGTACCTGACAATTGAGACTGTAGGCGTGTCAGAGCTCTGGGTGAGACACTGTCAAGGCCACTCTTCAGCAAAGGAAGGACCCGTCTTATCAAAACCTCCCGGGTATTGGGCCGCGTCGAACCCTTTCGGCAAGATTCGAGTTCTCGTGGATCAATCTGGTATGAATTTTCGAGTTAAAAAATTGCTCTTGGAGTGTGACGGCTATCAAACGCCCATCTCGATTCCAGATGACCATATCTAAATCTCTGGGGTACATTCGCCCAAAAAGGCAAAAGTGGTGGGTATAAGTGTAGCCTGAGGTGTCCGCGAATTTCTTATCGTTATCGACAGTTGACATCGAGCGCATCACGCGTCTCTGGCTCGCTTTGCACGATACAGTGTGTGCTTCGTCCTCGATCAATCAGGCCCTTGGACGTCGGCTCTTTCTCATGGAGCATGTTACAATAAGATGCCGCTCGACGCAGATTACGCCCAGGGCTCTGCCTTTCGAGATGACCGATTTGTTGAGCCAGCCTCGTCCATCTTGGCCGCTCATTTTGCGCCGCGCGTAGCAACTCAAGGGCAGGAGCCGCAGCGATTGTCTCGGGAGGCGTTCTCGCAGCTCCGGCAAGAGCTTCTGAGCGAAAGATCGACCCAGATCCGTTTAGACGACGGGGTCACTGACATCAACAAGCTTATATGTATTGTTCTTAAGGCGGGGTTGGAGGTGAGTCTCTCTGACAGTGGTCCAGAGGTGGATGTGGAGGGCCAGATCCTGGACTGTCTGGAGATCATTCATGTCAGCATCGACAAAGCACCTCAAGCGCTCTGGGATCGTGCAGATCCGACAATACTGGGCGAAGAGGTACAGGCCCCTCTGTACTCTTGGTTGAGTCTCCGCTTGATCAAGCTGGCTTGTGCGTGGCATGCCGAGGCAGTTCAGGAAAAGGTGCACTCCATCTTCGTCAGTCTGGCCTGTGTGCAGTATAAGAGTATTCGCTCCTCGCCTGCAAGCTACGGTATCTCTGCATTTCTACGAGCTTGCGCGTTGGGTATGTATATTGTTCGTGAAGTCTGTACCTTGAGCCTGGACACCGACTAACGTCCCTCAGACATCTTGTCCGCCATAGAGGGTGTTTTAGATATGGATATACGTGGCTTCCGCCCAGTCAGAGTATCCATACCCTCCAAGACTGGAACTTTGCTGGTAGACATGGATGATCTGAACCTACCGCGTAATCTTTTGAATCGAAGCTTTGTCCTTGGGACTTTCACCGAGGCAGCCACCCTGGTCATGATTTTGTTAAAATCACTGAATCCTAGCACGTCAGTGCGAGAACCCACTAAGCAGCAGTGCCTTCTCCTCAGACAGAACTTGCCTTGGGCATTGAGTGGATACCACCGGCTTCGAAGAGTGCTTTTACGAGAGTATGAGACTTCGGACCCAAAAGCCGCATCCGAGGGACAGTCATTAATCACGCAGTGTCTATGGAATACGTATCAACTCTGTGCTCCATCATCATCAAAAGCAGCTGTCATTGCTGGCGTGGATCTGTTCGGTGCATGGGCTCAGTGCCTTGCCGACTTTCTTCCTGCCAGTCGGTTTCCCAGCTTGGCCGCTCTACAATTCGACTTGAGCCAATTCCTAGATGAGTTTTCTCAAGTGATCGAGCAATCAACATCATATCTTCCCCAGTTGGGGGATTTACTTTTGCCGGTCCTGAGCGACATCGAGATACAAGGCTCGGACCATAAGCCTCTCGATCAATGTCTCTTGGTATTTGACAACCTTGTCCTTGTTTGTCCTGCCCCTTTGCTCATGCTATATATAGAACTCCGTGCACGGTCTCCGCACTCAAGTGCTCGAAAACGCATCGATCGCCCTTAAACGGCCTGTTTCATTAAAACCTGGTACAGAACCTGGTACAAAACCTGGTACAGAACCTGGTACAAAACCTGGTGCAGAACCTGGTCAAATTGACCCCCTTCAAGAAACGCCGATTACAGAGCCAGTGCTGGGTAAACAGAGTGACGAGGCACGGCCGTCCAAGCGGTTGTGTCTTTCTGCTGAAGATTCCGGTGCGGACTTGAAAAGTGCTCTTTTGAACAAGATTGCAGCAACGTTGCGTTGCGGCTCAACAGCCACTTTGGCAGAGCTCAATAAAGCAGCGCAGTAAGTCAAATAGGTCACCTACTTTTTTTGTTCCAATAGACCTTAACATAAGTATTTCAGGCAATCCTTCGAAGGAGTCTCGGACGACCAAAGAATGGATTTTTTGCAGGATTTTGGCAAGCTCTCATGCGCAGCTGCAGGCACATTGGTGAAAAATCACTCAGACTTTGTCTCGAAAGACGCTTTCCTATGCTCTCGATGCGATGTTGACGAGTCTGGAGTCAATCATGTCGTAGAAACAGAACTGGCTAGCTACGAAGATCTTTGGAATATTCTAAATTTCATCCTTCCCCGACTTTCTCGCACCCCCGGCCCTCGAATCGCTGCGATGATTGCGTTGAGACGCGTTCTCCTTCATTCTCCAAATCTGAAACCTCTGCACTTCTCCTCGTCGGCGGCGGGAGAATTCTGCCTGCATTCACTGCGTAGCTCGCTTCGTGAGCTTCGAGTCGCAACCTCGTGCGTAACCGATCGAGACGATCCTGCGAAGAAGGGTGCTGATGAAAGATTAGATCCTCAATAGTCGCGTTCGTGCAGCCGGGCTTACCCGTGGACCTTCGCCGAGCAAATTTCGTAACCGTGCTGGAAGTGTTGAGAAATCTTTCCGAGAAAAATGACGTGCCTCTTCAAGAAGCGTGCATTTTGACGCTCTGTCGTCTTGCAAGGTGAGCTCATCACTGAAGATTTTTCCCTGCCGGTAAACATGCAGTTAACCAGCTCCAACAGCACCCCGGACGATGACGAGAAGCACATCATTTTGTTGCGTTTGCTGGAATACCTCGGTCATTCGAATCCCTACATTTGTGCGGTGGCATACAACGAGGTAAGTCCGGACCTGAGTATTATGTCCGTCCGTTGCCATTAATTGCTGCATCCGAACAGTTGCCCAAGTGCCGAATGCTAACGTTTGATGGAAGCTTTCCAAACTTGCACAACGATTCTCTCTTACACCTGCTGCTTTGTTCCGACCCTACTGGCGCACCCTCTCGGTGGCGGTGGTCAAAAATCTTCAGACTCGCCCGCACATGGCTGAGCAATTGTGCGAGCTTTTGGGTATGAAGGTCGATGGCTTCTTGCGACTTACAGAGGTTCATGTGCTTCCATATCTCGTCTTGACAAGGAAAAAAGACATTATCTGCAGAATCGGTGCAAGTCGCAATGAGGGAGAGTCGCCTTTTGATGTGTGTTCTGAGAAGAACAACCTTGCAGCAATATTATCTTTCCTTCTGGCCCAGCAATCCGATGATCCCGAAGCGATGATCATGTCGCTTCTTTCGGATATCGATCCAGCATTCAAAGGTCGATCGTTGGCGGAATTGGTTCGAATCGAGCCTATTCTGATTGCATGCGATCTTTTAAAGAGCCTCGGGGATGCTGGGGAACACAATAAGGAACGAGTGAGTTATGGACCGGGAAGTCCACTGACAAATCGATCCTTGTGATATACTTGCTGATGCCCTCTTGTGCAGTTTCTGCAAGCCCTTCATCGACTCGCTACGTTTGTACCTAGAAAGTTCGTTCATGCGACTTCTTCTAAGCAGGCGGACCTTCTTAGTTACTTCATCGAGGAGCATGTTCTAGGTATCATCACGCAATTCGCAAACGCCATTAACGATTTCCAGGTTCGGCAGACACTAGCAGAAAAACGCCGGAATCTGAAGGCTATCGAGGAAATGATCCAGATTGCTCAGGGCCATGTGAACAATGCTCTGCCACAAGTGTGCGCCTGTCTGAGGTCTGCGCTTGAGATCGATGAGCTATGTGACCAGGCATTCTCCGCCTGGAAAACCCTGATCCGCTCTTTGAGCGAGGAGGATATCGAGCCCTTGATTGATCAGACTTGGGCAATCGTGATCAGATACTGGGATAATCTGACTGATGACAGCAGGAAGCAGGCTTCTCAATTGATAGACCACATTCTTACGAATCAGCCGAACCTTGTGCGGGACACTTTCAATACCATGCCTTCGCTTGTTTCTATCTCCGAGCTAGCCGATTTCGAGACGAAAATTGGTGAGCTGCGTGCTGAAATGGATGTTCGAAGCAAATTTCTCGCGCTCATCCGTCGTTGTCAGAGCGAGAACTCGACGGTCCTCGAGCAAGCACTCAAAGAATTATTGCCCTTCCTTTCTGAAAACGAAGAATTCTTGCATATCTCTGTCCTAAGTGAGCAGCCTGATCCAGTTGTCGCTCAGCTAACCCGAGCTTTGTTGGATTGCTGTGTGAAGTTCAGTATCATTTCCGATTCGATCACATTGCTCTCGTCTCAATGTTTGGGACTTATTGGCTGCTTGGATCCAAATCGTGTGGAGACAATCAAGGAAAAGAAGGACATTCTGGTCTTGTCGAACTTTGACAGGATGGAAGAAACGGTCGAGTTTATTCTCTTCTTTCTTCAGAATGTCCTAGTTGAAGCTTTTCTCTCGGCATCCAACACGCGAGCTCAGGGGTTCCTTGCCTATGCTATGCAAGGATTGTTGAAGATATGCAACCTCAACGCAGCGGTTACCCAGCGATCTCGTGACGTGCAAGGTGATGAGAAATTCAGCAAGTGGATGGAACTCCCTGAAAGCGTGCGCAACACATTGACTCCCTTCTTGACTTCAACCTACACCGTCACTGTTGTCGCCACAACCTCCAAAGTGACGTACCCGTTGTTATCCACTGGAATGACTCACAGTGAATGGCTTCGAAGTTTGGTGCAGGACTTACTTCAGGCCGGCAGCGGTGACAATGCGAAGCTTATATTTGCTGTTTGCAGTCGTGTTGTCAAGGGGCAAGATATCTCAATTTCTTCGTTTTTGTTCCCCTTCGCTGCATTGAATCGCATCGTTGGGGGCACCGATCAGGAGCAGCAGGACCTTCAGCTTGAGCTGGTCTACGTTCTCTCCCATCCTCTGCCCGATGTGAACAACAGCTTCCGGGAGACTATCATCAGCTGCAGTCAGGTAAGACTCTGCGCACAAAATCTCACAATTACGGCTTGGCTAACGTTCGTCGCAGAGTGTTTTTGAAGTGCTGGACTACCTCACAAGGTGGCTACAAGGCAAGAAGAAACAACTCAACGCCCTCAACATTCAATCTCATTCATCAAATCGTTCGCATAAAGATCCTGGGCGTGACTCGCTTCTTGACAAATACGCTTCGCAGATCAAATCTGTTGAGTGGTTGCTTGCTTCAATTCCACCGGAGATTATTTCGACAAGGGCCGTTGAATGTAGGTCATTCTCACGAGCTCTCTTTCACTGGGAACAGTATATCCGTCGAGTGAACTCTCCTTCAGCATCTCAGACCACGTCCGCGGCCACATCCGAACAGCTTTATGAGAGGCTACAGGACATTTACAGTCAGATAGACGAACCTGATGGAATAGAGGGCATCTCGAGCCACCTCTCTGCGCTCAGTATTGATCAGCAAGTACTTGAGCATCGAAAGGCAGGACGATGGGCGACCGCACAGAGCTGGTATGAATTGGAGCTTGAGAAGGAACCCAACAACATAGACGCCCAATGGAATCTGATCACTTGTCTGAAGGAGTCTGGCCAACAAGGTAAGATCTACACGCTCTGTTTCGTCCACGTCAGTCTACTAATGCTCTTCAAGATGCGATTGTCACACGGTTTGAGGTTCTCAAGCAATCTGAGCCGGCTTCGTCCCGGCTCTTGCCTTTCGCAGTCGAGGCCTCGTGGATCACCAGCAGATGGGATAAACTGGAGAGCTACCTCGAGCTCACACAGAGAGATGGCAGTGGTGACTTCAATGTTGGCATTGGGTCGGCGCTGAATGCTCTGCGCCGAAAGGGATCGTCCGCTTTCATCGAGATTATCAACGAGCTCAGACTGAGCGTGGCAAAGTCATTAACGAATAATTCGGTAACCTCACTGCAATCCTGTCACGACGATATGCTTCGGCTCCATGCTCTTGCCGATGTGGAAGCTATAGTTCGCGCAGGGCCTGACGGTGCTCATGCGTCCAAAGATTCTTTGCTAGGCACTCTGAATCGGCGTCTGAATGTACTGGGAGGTTACCTTGCCGACAAACAATATCTTTTGGGCCTTCGACGAGCAGCGATGGAACTTGCGTGAGTGGGGTGTGTCTATATCCCTCAAGGGATTTGGTTACTAACGTCACTTGGCAGCGGCGGTTTCGGGAGCTCAGAAATTTCGGCTGCCTGGCTCACGAGTGCTCAACTTTCAAGAAAAGGCAATTTTACGGGTCAGGCGTACCATTCAATGCTGCATGCCGCGCGCTTAAAGGATCGATCTGCCACCATTGAACATGCCAGGCTTCTGTGGAAAGATGGACATCATCGAAAGGCGATTCAGACCTTGGAAGGTGCTATAGCGTCAAACGAATCAAGCGCTGCCAACCAATCTGTAGACTCACAGACGGCGTCATTCTTGTCGGGGCGTGGCAAGGGTCAAAATGAAACTGCTGCAGTGGTATGTTGTGGCTCAACCAGTCTTGCCTAATCGCATTCGCCCCCAGCTAACCAAAATACACGTCAGGCTCACCTCATGCTCGCGAAATGGACTGATCGGGCTGGACAAACACACACACAGGCTATTGTTCAGCGTTATCGTGCGGCTATCAAGCTCTATCCAAAGTAAGCCCGCTGGACGTGGATGTGATCTAATGTGATATACTGACCACGATGCCATAGATGGGAGAAGGCGCATTACTACCTGGGGAAACATTACAACAAGATTCTCGAGCTAGAGAAGATGAAACCCATGGGCAAGGAAGCGCAAATCTAGTAAGCCTACGCCAGTCTCAGGGACCTACTGATCAATCATTTTCTCACATTTTTGTCTAGTCTGAGCGGAGAGGCAACGAAACTTGTCATAGAGAACTATCTTCGATCTCTGACGTATGGCTGCAAATATGTCTTCCAAACTTTGCCGAAAATTCTAACTCTCTGGCTGGAGCACGCTGCTGTAGCAGGCCAGCCTATTGATCCAAAGAGAGGCAGTAACGAGTGAGTATCACATCTTCCTATACTAGCATAGCGTTGTCTGTTGGTCTAACTCACCGTCAAAAGGGAATTCCAGCAACATACCCATGCGCAGAGACTTAAGAGTCTCGACGAGATACACAACCAGTTGAGAAAATATATTTCCTCACGCCTTCAAGCTTTCTTGGTAAGTAGCCCACATTACTTTCCAAGATCACATACTGACTATTGCAGCTCTTCACCATCTTGCCTCAGGTCGTTGCGCGTATTAGTCACCGTCACCCTACGGTATATGACCTTTTGACGCGAATGGTCACCAAAGCCGTCCAAAGCTACCCCCAGCAAGGTCTATGGACGGTTCTCGCTGTTGTGAAGTCATCAAATCGAGATCGAGCGCTAAAGGGACAAGCATGTCTCACCAAAATCCAAGAATACAACAGCAAAGTCAAAAAAGATAACACGCCTGAGATTCGTCGAATGATTCAACAAGGCCAGAGATTCTCCGACGAACTTCTTCAGCTCTGTCTCGCTCGTGTGGAGGACCGAGTCTCGAAAGTCAATCTTGCTCGCAATCTTGGATTTAATCACAAAGTTGCCCCTTGTCGACTAGTAGTGCCTTTCCAGGCTATGTTAATCCCTAGTTTGCCTGTCAGCCATGAGTCCGAGCACTTGAAAGGGTTTCGTCCGTTCCCCCGAGACCCGACCACTATTGAAGGTAAATTGACAGATGAAGGAGGAACTTTGCAAGAGCTGGTGCTGACCGTTTCTAGCTGTTCTTGATGAAGCGCAGGTTTTGAACTCTCTTCAGAAGCCACGCAAGATCAGCATCCGGGGCTCCGACGGAAAGATTTACAATGCTCTTTGCAAGCCCAAAGATGATCTCCGGAAAGATCAACGTTTGATGGAATTCAACAATATGATCAACCGCTTCTTGAAGCGAGATGTCGAGGCAAGCAAGCGACGGTTGTGTAAGTTGCATCTGCCAGAACGCCAGTCTCAGGGTCGCGCTAATCGATCATTAGATATTAAAACGTATGCCGTAACTCCATTGAACGAGGAATGTGGTATCATTGAATGGGTCGACAATCTTCGCACATTGAGAGATATTATCGTCAAGCTTCTTCGCGAGCGAAGAATCCAAGCCAACGTGAGTCTGCGACTTTTTCCCTTCCACTGTTGCCCTTTGGACCAACTGACCTATTCCTCTGAGACTCATAGTACACCGAGATCAGGCATTATCTCGATGAGATCTGCGCGGACAAAACATTCTCGAAGATCTCTCTCTTCGATACTATGATCCTATCCAAGTACGAGCTCTACTTTCCCGATTGTCCATTTCAGCTGAGGTCGAAAACTGTGGCACTGACCATCTTCAGGCTTCCACCTGTTCTTTACGAATGGTTCGTCGAAATGTTCCCCGAGACAGAGTCTTGGTTTACAGCTCGACTACGATACACACGGTCCACTGCGGTAATGTCGATGGTCGGATACGTCCTTGGGTATGTGGATCTGGCTCGTTTTTCGTTCACCCATTTTCGGATGATAAAGTGCAAACGTCAGGAGATGTTTCATGTTGGATGCTCATTCGTTATCGGTAGGCTCGGTGATCGCCATGGCGAGAATCTTCTGTTTGAAGAAGGCACAGGCGGTATTCTCCATGTGGACTTTAATTGTCTTTTCGACAAGGTAAGTAAAGGGAGTGCTGAATTGCTGAACCGCTTGCTTTGTGCGTTCTTTCGACTAATCAGATCTCTAGGGTCTAACCTTTGAGAAACCCGAGGTGGTCCCATTCCGCTTGACCCATAACATGGTAGATGCATTCGGTGCCTATGGGTATAACGGTAAGTGCCAAATGTCTGAAATTTTACGTTCAGCCGCGCTATGTACTGACTGTTCTCGATTGAAAGGTCCCTTCCGAAGAACATGTGAAATTTCCTTGGGCCTCCTACGACAGAATGAGGATTCTCTCATGACAATTCTAGAGACTTTCCTGCATGACCCGACAACGGATTTCATTGGAAAGAGGGTGAGTTGAGACTCCACTGTTGACAGAAGGTCTCCTAAGCGAGGGCGTACCAGCTAATTCGTTCTCTCAATCATTTGCAGCGTCGTACCCATGCAAACGTCCCCGATACACCCGCAGGAGTCTTGGAGGGCGTCCGCGACAAAGTTCGTGGATTCATGTCCAAGCAGCCCATTCCGTTGTCTGTCGATGGACAAGTTGATGAGCTCATTGTGCAGGCCACTGACAAGAGGAATCTTGCATCGATGTATGTTGGGTGGTGTTCGTTCTTCTAATCTTCTATTGGATGGCTCTGGGTACGACGGTTCTCAATTGATTCAAGCATTTTGGGTTTATTTTTCCTTCTTAAATGCCTTTTGTACACTACACGATATCCAGAATGATTTTTAGGGAGTTGATGTTGGTGCTATTGGGTCTATGGTTTTCATGCTGCCGGTACACGAGCGTCAATAAAAGTAGTAGTGTTTTTTTTTTTTTTTCTTTTTGAAATTCTTATCAGAATTCTTGCTTCTTGCGCAAGTAATTTTAGAAGACATTGTCATGGATGGCCAAGAGGGTTGTAACAACGCCTTTCTATCATGAAGCTAATCCGTTTCTTGCTCCTGCCATGCAGCCCTTCCTGAATCTCCGCTCGTCCGTTTTCTTGCTATCTTGCAGTTTACCGACGACCGCGGCTTCGACTTCTCACTGGACTGCGGCTCCGGCTCCGGCTCCGGCTCCGGCTCCGACTACCATAGCTGCTATAGCTGGAGCCCCTGCGTCGACGCGATCGCGGACTATCTGCCCGACGGCTTCCCCGGCGTGGAGGTGATCGAGACCGGGAGTAAGACCGTGCGCGCACTGGCGATCTGGATCGAGATAGTGATGGAGGTCGATATGTGTCCCGTCGATCTCCTGGCCGCCCGCGTCCATGTCTGCGCGGTGGTGAGTCCGCTCGGTTTCGATTCCCGAAGCGCGCACGTCCACCCGCACCTCTGTTGGATGCTGGTGGTGGGGACAGAGAGAAGTTTCGTCGCGGGAGGACAATTGAGACGTTCAGTACGACACCATCCAGTTGAGCTTCGTGCATGTGTGAGATAGCAGCTTCGGCATCGGCAGCATCGTAATAGACAATGTAAGCTGTACCGCGATTCGTCATAACTACATCGAAAAGGCAACCGAGATTAGTACATTGAGTTACTTCTAGGGGAGTCCTGGGTTGAAATGTGAGTCTGTTTCTTACAGGCCTTGTTCATAGGAAGGTCGATGTGTTCGATGTCTCCGAAGCTTCCAAATATCTCCCGCAAGTGAGCTTCCGTGACATTCTTAGTCAACTTTTCCACGACGACCTGTTGTGATGCGCAAGTTTAGCTGCAATGGCCTTAAAGTCTGGGCGACAATCAACTTGAAGTCACTCACCTTGGAGCTCCGCGGAGGGCTTTGAACTGGGCTGAGAGAGCGACTGCGACTGCGACTGGCACTGCGATACCTCCTTCCACCTCTGACGGGACTTCGAGAGCGAGAGCGCGAGCGCGAGCGTGAGAGAGATCGTTCTCGTGATACAGAATCACTTCTGCTCCTGGACCGACGGTGGCGCTCTGGTGCTGGGCTTCGTGTGTAGCTTCTTGATCGGTTGTGTGATCGAGGTAATTTTGGCAGGCCAGGGTCTGGCGAGCGCATAGGTGAACGGCCCCGAGGGGATCGGGTGAACATGGTTGTTCTTTATGGTTTTGATTTCACTTCCGGGAAAAGGATTCAGAGTTGGTAAGAGAGAGGACTGAGTAGTGTGGTGAGGGTGAAGAAGTTGATGAAGATTAATGTGAAAAGAAGCTCAGTAGTACCTGCATGTCGCATGTCAAGTCACGAGCTAACGCGCTCCACAGACGCCGATGGCTCAAAGCTACGCTAGCCGCTTTTGGCAATGACCTTGTAGTTGAATAGATCATCCGAAGACTTCGTACAGAACAGTATTACGTGAGACAGATGAATGAGCTGATAGACACACTCTCTCTAGATGATACAGTGGGCATTCGGTCTCGAACTTCTCGCAATTGATGTATATTGTCATTCAATGGGGTATATCTGCTATCTAAAAACTTCACATCTCGGCCGTTCTATTTCCTGCATTATTTTTGCGCGTCTCGCCAATCCTCATATTCACGAATGACGGAATCGGTGATTTGACGCCGCACTTGAGTCAGTGCATATTCGAAGTGCTTCAACTTGATATCTTGCTCCTGGCCTGTCTCCTCTTCTTCATCCAGCGCAGCATCACCGGCGGTCTCGCAGATGCTGACCATCTCCGCACCCGAATAGCCCTCGGTGACCGAGGCCAGCTCGTCAAGATCAACCTCTGGACTCAAGACAGACTTAGCTGCCCAGATGCGGAGAATCTCACGTCGAGCTTCAAAGTCTGGCGGGCCAATATAGAGAATGTTGTCCAGACGACCAGGTCTCATAAGCGCCGAGTCAAGAACGTCGGGTTTATTGGTCGCAGCGACGACCAGGACGTTGCGTAGCTCTTCGATACCGTCCATCTCATTTAGAAGAGTAGTGAGAACGTTCACACCGCCTTGCGAACTACTGCTTCGACGAGCGGCAATGGCATCGATCTCGTCGAAGAAGATGATGCTGGGCCGTGCTGCGCGGGCTTTGCGGAAAATTTCGCGCAGTGATCGCTCGGATTCACCAACGTACATGCTCAAAATCTCGGCACCCTTGACAGCCAAGAAGTTAAGACCAGCTTCCGTAGCCAAAGCCTTCACAGTGAGAGTTTTGGAACATCCGGGAGGTCCGTAAAGAAGGATACCCTTTTTGCTCTTGACATTCAGTCGACGCATGCGCTCCGGGTGCTAATTTGGACAGTCAGTCTGGGTGATACGTTGCTTTATTAATGGGAGACAGAGGCTCCAGCCTTGTGCTGCTTACCTTGAGAGGCCTCTCAACCGCTTGTTGAAGACGCTTTTTGATATCGTGTTGGCCACCAATATCTGTCCATCGCACCTTGGGTGTCTCTAAGAAGACCTCTCGCATCGCTGTTGGACGAATCTCCTGCAGCGAGGCCAAAACGTCTTCTTCCTTGATGTCCAGATCGATTCGAATCTCTCCATTGCTCGAATCGCTCTTTTCGTTCGCATCAATAAGGGGGACGTCCATATCTGGTGTCGCGTCCTTAATTTTTAAACCTTCAAGTCCAAGCGTACCCAATTGCCGCTGTCGAGCCTTTCGGCAGATTGATTGTAGCAACGCATAGAGATCAGCGCCGACGTAACCGTGAGTCTTTTCAGCAATAAAATCAATCAACGTGTCGTTGAGTCCTGCAAATGGCGGTCCCCGAATAGCGCGTAAAATTTCGGCTCGATCCTGCGCCGTCGGGACCTGCAGCTCGATCTCAGTGCCCAGTCGGTGAGGAGTTCGAAGAGCGTCGTCAACGTTGTTGGGATGCCGGGTCGCAGCCACCACGAGCACGGATGCGCTCTGAATGGCGTCAAGGTTCTCACACAGTACCGACACCAGTGACGTTGAATCGAAGGAGGTTTTCTTGGGCGCAATAAACTCTAATTGATCGATCAGAATGACACTCGGCTTTGCGCGTGCAGCCTCATGGAAAATATTTCGAAGCTTCACCTCACTTTCGTGAGTGCTGCGGCCGAGGGTCGATGTCCCGATCTTGAAGACTTGCTTCCAGCCTGCGTTCTCGATCTGCTGAAGGAGTGCGGATTTACCCGTTCCCTTGGGTCCATAGAGGAGAATACCCCGATTGTGTTCGTAAAATGGTGGCATAACAGGACTATGCGAGTTGAGGTTGAAATCTGACAGACTCTCATTGATGTCCTCGATCTGTCGTGAGAGGCCACCCAGGCCCACGGATGGCACCGCGATATGTGAAGGCGAGTCATCTCTCGCACTGACCTCTGTTCCAATTGAGACTTTGGACTTCTTCGTGAATCTGAAGATTGTGCGGTTCGGGTTCGCTCCAGGTGCATGAATATTGATCACCTTGAAGTTTCTGCGCTGGCCCTTGAGCTCCAAGTCAAATACCAGCCCAAGGGCGAGGACCTCGCCTCGGAGAAGTGGGAATTCCAGGGTCCATTCCCAGTGTGGTCTCTCTTGGTCTGAGATGGGCCCAAATTTTTCAATCTTGTCGGGCTCGGAGCAGTCCATGAGGACGATGTTCTCAATATCGTCCAATGTACCTTCCACCTTGGTGATGGCATACTTCTCGCCGACCTTGATCCCATAACATTCCTGAAGAGTCCTCGACGTTTGTACCACCGTACTTTGAATGTTCTCTACCGCTGTCCAAGCGATTGCCGTTTTTGGCGATCCGTCCGCGGATGACAACGTGCACAGGTCGTCCGCGCGAAGTCTTAGCGCGGCGAGGGAAGACGAGGAAAGATAGATGCGAAAAGCATCCTTGAGGTCACTTCGTGCCTGCTTTGAAAGAGGTCGAGCAGTGAAGCTGCGAACTTCGGCCATTGTCGACTTATGACAGAGCTTATATAGCACTCAGATTGATCAATGGCTTAAATCTTGAGGTGAGCGAGCTTTCGGTTGAAGTAGACTGAAAGCTCGACGGACGTATAATGTGACGCAGCAGCTTTCAATCGCGGACTTTGACAACGGGAGTTAGCATGTCAATCAACTATTTTTGAGCCCGTCACGTACGTACTCGTCCTGCAATTTCGCCGATAGATGAAGCTGAGATTCGACTATCCCGGGTCTCTATGTAATCAGGTCTTTCGCGGTAACACAATGAACCTCGAACGTTGTGAAATCGAGAACCGCACTTCTAAGAAATTTAAAGTGGGGTTAAGCCAGAGGGATCTTATCAACTTGTTATCAGACATTCGATGCGCCCGGGAAAAGTGGGTCACAAAGCTGAGACACACGTGTGTAGCTTGGTATACAACCTGGCTGTACAAAGATGACAATTTCAATGTACGCGAGCTGATCAAGTGGACGACGATTTGTCATTCTTGACAGAAAAAATGATCGGCGATGCTAAGGAGCTTGAATCAAGTCGAAAGATTGGGCGAGTTTCACGTAAGAGTCATATTATAGTCTCTCCGAGTCAATGTAGGTTTAGGTTGAATGTCCTTGCCACCTGGCTAGAATACCCTATGTAGGCGAAACGACAGGGCGAGTGAGGAGGCCGGAACAATGGTATAGCAGTAAATATCGTAAGAGTACTTGCAAAACTAATGTCAATCAACTCGCATCGAGTTACACGTCACATGAAGAAGCATCAAGGAGAAGGGCATAACACAAAAAAAGACGAGTTGCCATGGGACTATGGACAAATATGTATGATACTCAGATTCGGCAATTGCTAGAGACTCCAGCAGATATTGGAGCTTTATGAGCCACGCACATTGCAAGCAGGGATAATAGAGCAGTCAAGAAGAACAGAAACACTGACCAAGGAAAGACTCAAGCAAGAACACCCAGCAAATATGGAAACAACCCAGCCATCCGCACGCAGGAAGAACGAAGACATTGGAGAAAGGAGATTCGGTAAGTAAGACAAAGTGGGTCATGACGAAGAGAACGGTGCGACTGGTGTGAAGGGCGAAAGGGATGAGAGCTGATTGTTGTAATGGTGTTACAAGAAGATGTTTCTAGCAACATTTTCCTCCGGAGCTACCGTTCATCCCTGATCCTTGGTCTATGGGGACGCCTGAAGACCCGGTGTGCTCAGTCTTTGAGGTGTCCATGCCCTTCTTGATATCGGTGGCCAGGCTATAGAATGCCTTTTCGATGTTGATGTTGTTTTTGGCTGACACTTCCAAAAAGGGAATGCCCAACTCGTCAGCCAATTGCTGGCCCTGCTCAGTGGTGACAGCTCGCTTCTCCTCCCAGTCGCACTTGTTTCCGATGAGGATCTTGTGCACGCCCTCGCTGGCATGTTGCTCGACATTCGAGAACCATGAGCGGATGTCTACATGCATGTCAGCTAAACGAAATCATACAAACTCCAGGAGAACAAGAAAACTGCGGGGACGAGGGCAATGGGCGACAAATCACCACGGGATGTCAGTCTGCGACACATACTCTGGAAAGATTTCTCATCAGTCACGTCGTAGACCAAAAGAATACCCATCGCGCCACGGTAGTAAGCAGTCGTGATTGTTCGGAACCGCTCCTGGCCAGCAGTATCCCAGATCTGCAACTTCACCCGCTTCCCATCCAGCTCGATCGTGCGAATCTTGAAGTCGATGCCGATGGTTGTGATGAAGGAGGGAGTAAATGAGTCTTCACTGAAGCGCAGCAAACAGCATGACTTGCCAACGCCAGAGTCACCGATCAACAGCAACTTGATCTATTGTGGATGCAACGTGCTTTAGCCGAAAGTTCAAGCAACATGGAGATGGAGATGGACAGAGAGAGAGAGCATTTTTAGACTAACCAGGAAATCATAGTTTCGCGTGCCAGCCATGGTGAGGGTCTGGGGTATTTGTTTGGGATAGTGGTTGGTGACAGATGTCCGGTGGATAGGGGAGAGTTGACAAAGATCAGCTCACGTTGACACTGGAGAGGAAAGATCGAATCGCTTGCTCGAATCACTTCCTTCGCCAAAATCTGGTAAGCAGAGCGCTTAATCTCGCGTGGTCTCGGCGAAATCGCAGGCACTCTGGCAGGTTGAGACAGTCGTGCTGTCTTGTGTTTGCTGGGGGATCGGTGAGCGCGGGTTCCACGGTCCTGAAAGCTAGTCCGGCGGCTCAAGGAGACAGCTAGCAGAGAGTCGAAAAGGTATGTGTTCAGGAGACTAATCTGAGGTCTCGACTGTTTCGAACATCAAAATGAAGGGGTGGGGAAAGGGGAGGGAGGGGCGGATCGAAGGCTAATGTGGTTAACACCGAGCGGAGTGATGACGGTACAGTACTGCCGTCCTTGTAAGCGGTTGCCCTTTTGCGCGCACGGGATCATGAAATGCTGGCAGCCTGCCTGCCTGCACCGCATCGATCATGACATTATGTAAGCAGCCTCAGCAGCCGTCACTGCCCGGTGATCCAAGCAACCGACTAAATCAGGAAGAACAAGTAGCAATGTTTATCAAAGATCGAGGGGATGTGAGAGGCAGTGTTTTTTTTTTGCTGGAATGCTACTAGTAGGCTAATCCCCGAGGCTAATCCTCACGATGTAGTTCTAAAATTCGTTGTTCTTGCTATGGTGTGAGTGGCGCTTTATCAGATCAAGTTGGAAGCAGATGGGAACTTAGTGAGCACCCTGCTGATTCATCGACAACTATACCTCAGTGTTGTAGGTATCAACTGTATTTGGCAGTGTTGTTGGTGTCCCTGTTTACTGGAAATATGTCCATCTCATTCTGTCCACCACGCGCAACTGTTTGTCAACACCACTTTCAACATTCAACAAGTCTTGAATATCTTCCCTGAACTCTTGGTATTGAACTCCTCCCAGGACCTGCTTGATTTTGAGGAGTAAAGATTCGGCTTCACAAATGAGGCGGCCCGATTCCTTGTAGGACATGATTCCTTCCGATGATCTGACAGATGTGAGAACACGAGTGACGTTCCTGTTGCGCGGGTTAGTTTGCTTGTCTCAGTCGCTGACTAGGAAATGTTCTACTTACCGAAACCCTCGGCGAACGTCATGGCGTTTTCTGCCCAATTTCAACCCACGACGATTGCCGAGAAGCCCAGCCATCCAGCGTAGGGATGCATAGGTGACCATGATGCCGGGAGTGAGACCAACAAATCTAGATAGACGTGTCAGACTAGGGGAGGTGCAAAACAAATATGCCAAGAAAGAAAAGGCCTTACCCAAAGACGAGCTCTTGACTCTTCAGTAGGGCATCAATACCACTGATGGCAATTTCGACATCGACCTTGGTTTTCTGGATCTGAATCAACAGCGCGCGTACCAAGTCTCCCTTCACGGTGCCAACAAAAGGTGTACGGAGATCCCGCTCATACGCCTTCAGAACAGGAGTCAGATCGCCTTCCTTGACCGCGTTTGTGATTGCCGCCGTGTCTTGTGCAGATGGCACTCCCTGGCTTGTGTCGGGACGATCCCGAACGAAATCCAGAACCATCCGCTCGAGGCTGGCTCGATCCGCTACCAGACTATTCTTACTCATGATGGCGATTTCGCTCTTCTCATCATGACGAATGGTCCCAATGAGTTTCCGAACGGGCTCCACAACCCAGTTACTGCCAAAGTCAATGATTGTGGCACCAAAGTTGGCAACCCATTGCAAAATCTCGCCCTGCCGACGGGCAAGGAACTTCAATGAGGCGCTGCTCGAGAGAAGCACCATCACTACGGGAATCCAGTACCGGGTCACTCGCGAGGGTCGGCCGTGTGCGGCCACAAAGGTAGACATCGTGGACGAATGAGCTGGGAGGTGGTCACGGAGGACTTTGAGAAGACGGTGGATCAAATCCACCGGGGCTTGCGTTGATGATGATTGACTGTCCAGCACGTGCACACTGAACTTCTCCTCTTTGACCATCGAGAACACTTGCTCCTCGAACTCAGACACATTTGAGTAGTCTGTGGCTTGACGAACAATTGCTTCAGTGAGAACCACGATGCGGGAGACTGTCTCTTGCCATTGCGTGTGGGATGACTGTGAGGTCGGGACAACAAAGTCTTCGGCCTGGAAAAAGTGCCAGCTTTCCATGAGAAGCCCCAGACTGCTAGTGTGGATATCCATCATAGCAGACAAACGATCTCGTTTCCGACGGGCTTCAGAGCGACAAGACCGGATGGGGGAGGCCCAGCTAAGAGGCACGGGATACTCGGACACGCTCCGCCGAGCGATCTGGTAAAATTGCGCCCATCGGGCTGCGAGGGACTCCGAAATGGTCCTTGAAGAGGCGTCCCGCAACGAGGGCAGGTCTTTAGACCAGTGCCATAACCGTACGGGTGTCGTCTGGGCAGCATAAAGACTGCTGTTCCATTTCGATCCAAGCACCTCGTTCCAGTAGTACGTTTCTTCCTGTAATTGGAGAGTTTGATCCAGCAGGGAGTGCATCACGAGGCCCGAGGCTTGGACGGCCGCCTTGGCTGCCACCAACCACAAATGATTTGACACATCTCCATCATTGACTGTTGGCTCACTTTCCGCGTAAAGCTCTCTGGAATGTGACGCTTGGTGTGTCAAGGCAGGCTCCTCCAGCAGATCTGCGAGACGCTTCGGCGACAAAAAGGGCTGTGTCTTTGAAGTCACCGAGATGAGGCCGATCACGTTTTGCAGTTGCCGAACAGGTACGGGAGAGGCATCTTCGGAATATACGAGGGTCCCCGACGACGAGGCAATCTGCTGCTGTAACAGGTCGAGCTGGCCATTCACGGCACAAGCCGTTCTAGAGGTGAAACGGGTCGCGTCAGTGGTCAATGAGGTGAGCAGAGGACTCAGATCATCTCGGATCCAGCACGACCGAAAAACTTACTCCTGGACGATCGACATGGCACCAGATGGGCTGTCGAGTAAGAAAGAGAGCAGATACCCGCTCTTCAATAGGGACTCACTTCACTCACAGCAGCTTCGACACCAGTCCCACCAACGGCGCCGTGGATGCATATTCACATGGCGTCATGGAAGACTGCAAACAATGCAAACACCAGGTTGGACCGTTTCGGCTTCGGTAGTAGTACTACTCCAAGTCTCCCAAGACAAAAGGAGAAGCTCAGACAAGCAGACTTCCAAGTTGGACGACAGTCACGACTCACGACACCACTGCCTGGTTGATCCTGGCTGTCCTGGTAATTTCACTCCGACTCCGCCTCCGCGTTCCCTGAATTACACTGTGTGACCGTAGTGTCCATCCGTATCTACAGGTACTTGCCACAACTGATCGACTTCTCCCATGGGTCAAGGTCATTTTCGTGGCTGCCTGACCAAGAATAGAAGACTCAAGACAGTGGCACAGATCTAAGACAGCAGTAGATCTTCTTGGCGTCGATTGATGTGAGACTCAATTGATATGGTGTGGATACACTAGATACTACCAATCCCGGTCACTTGACGCGTGGTTCCTTGAGCCTAGTATTACAGTCACGTATGATTCTCAGACCACGCGTGCAGCGTGTCATATGAGCCGCCGTTCGAGAACAACGCGGCTGATTCTAGCGGCTCCACAAAATACATACTGCAGGACCAGGTAAGTTCCTACTCAGTAATTTAGTACTAGTCGCCCATCTGTTCTCATGTACTGTACTCATCACCCTCAGCAATACTATTTAGTATTCACTATTTAGTGTACAAAGAACTTACTAGTAGGCAAGGAAGGTACTACAGTATATTGAAGATACTGAGGAGTGGAGCCTTGAGCCGCCACCACGTCTTATATGACCGTTGAAGTGTTGACTGAACACTACTGTACGTGTAGCGAGTGTAGGCCGCTCAGCGCTCAACTGCTCCCAACTTTGACGCTCTGGGTCACGTGCACGGATTCGAGAAATCAAATTATGTATATTGTATACTAAGTAACTACAAGTGGTAACTGGTAACTTAGTTAAGTTGTAGTAAATTACTAGTAACTAGTTAGTCAGTGGTACATAAGTCTTTGGGCTTTTCGAGCCCTCTGCTAGTTCTATGGCCTGATCAGTATTCAGATGACAGGGCATGATTTTATAGTTCAGCCAGGGAGGCTCATCCTGCGTGGTCAACTCACTAGACTCAGGACTGTGGTACTGTACAATAGTATCATAGTATGATGATATGATCGTGCATCTCAGCCCAGATCTGGCATGACTTGGAGCGACCACTCAGATGGCTGGCAAATGCCAGATCGTGCCATCCCCATTTGCTACGGTGGATCTCTCGGGACTCGGATAGCCGTCGGCAGGACAGTGGCCTCACTTTATTACATAAGCCCAAAAGAGTGCAAACTGGTCAAACACCCCCCCCCCCACCATTCAGGGGAACCACCCAACCAAATTGTCGGACGAGATGTGCAGGCGAACTGAAGACGAGGCAGTTCCAGGGAAAAAATAAATAAATTGTAAAATAGGACATTGATTTGCAAAGGGCAACCCCCGAAAAGGGAGCAACAAGAGGATCTCGCCACTTCGGGACTGGCTTCCCCTGCCCACCGAACGGAGAACGTTATTTACTGGTACCGCCTCCCCTTTCTCCCTCTCCCTTCTGCAAGTCACTGGAACACTTTACTTCGTCCGAGTGTCTGCCTGCCCTTTCCCTGTTCAACCCTTCACCTATCCAGGACCTTGGCTGTGTGACTTTCGTTTCGAGGCGCGCTCCTGTGTCACTAATCACCACAGGCTTCGTTAGTCTGCCACAATCTTCCGCACGCGAACTACAAAAAATGTACGTGAAATATTCTTGCGACAAGCGACACTTGGACATTGGTGGTGGTCTTCTTCTGAGTGACAACTCGACATCGTTGTCAAGGGTTTATCATATGTGATTTGTATTGACTGGAGGTTTCCGCCAATGTAGGAATTCGACTTTTGCTCCTGCGGCCACCTATTGGGGCCAGTACCAGGAAATCTCGAACTACAATGTCAACCTGAACGTCGCTGAGCGACTCTGGGCGGCTTGGTACGCGTGGATGCAGAATGATGTCCTCGCCACTGGTATCATGTCCTTTGCCATGCACGAGATCGTCTACTTTGGCCGCTCGTTGCCTTGGTTCATCATCGACAGCCTGGGCCTTTTCAAGCAATACAAGATTCAAGGCGTAAGTGAATAATTTTGACTCTCCAACCTCGGACATCGTCTCAATGCTTGCTTTTCTCGGGCCGATTGACTGACAAGTATTCCGCTGCAGAATAAGGTTCCTTCCGTACGTGAGCAATGGGATTGCGCCAAGTGGGTTCTCCTGAGCCACGTCACCGTCGAGCTCCCTCAGATCTGGTAAGAACTCGCGGCCTCAATCGTGTCTCTTGCATTCATTGCGTATGAGCAAACAGCACTAACAGCTTCCGTTCTCGTGTTTAGGCTGTTCCATCCTATGGCTCAATTCTTCGGTCTCTCTACCTCTGTCCCGTTCCCCTCCGTCCTCACCATGGCCTATCAAATTGCAATCTTCTTTGTCATGGAAGATGCTTGGCACTATTGGTTCCACCGCGCTCTTCATTACGGACCCCTCTACAAGGCCATCCACAAGATTCATCACCAGTACTCGGCGCCATTCGGACTAGCGGCCGAGTATGCTTCACCAATCGAGGTTATGATTCTGGGTTTCGGAACCGTCAGCTGCCCTATCATCTGGTGTGCCATCACCGGTAATCTGCACATTCTCACTATGTATGTGTGGATTGTTCTCCGCTTGGCCCAGGCCATTGATGCGCACAGCGGCTACGAGTTTCCCTGGAGTTTGCACCACTTCCTGCCCTTCTGGGCTGGCGCCGACCACCACGATCTGCACCATGAGAAGTTTATCGGTAACTACTCCAGCAGCTTCCGCTGGTGGGACTATGTTCTGGACACCGAGTACACTCCCGAAGCGCTGAAGCGCCGCCGCGCCAATCCGTCCTCCGTCAAGAAGGCCCAGTGAGCATTGTCGGATGTCCTCGTCATGACCGATTGGCTTTCACTGGTCGCATTTTTTTGCTACTTGTTTCTTGTATCTCTTTGCGGTTTCCCTTCTATACCGAGGCTCCCACCTTGGACCTTCCTTTGGGCTCAGGGCCGCGTTGACTTGGATTCTGGGCAAAGGCTCTTCAAACCCCCAAAACTTTTGTATTTTTTTTCCGCTGTCAGAGGCGTTGCATGCGGTGCCATGCTGGGATCTGAGGCACCTATAGATGAGCGTGCTCTTCTGGCCGGTAGAAGTGAGAGGCTCGGGGTTGAGCAGCATAGCCTCTATCGTATGCATTTGCTCGCCCCCAAATGACGTTTTAATGTACCTATCTAATATGCTGACGAGGTCTGGTGTCATTACCAGCAGAATGAATTGGTTACCATGAGTTTTTGAGCACGATGCTGTACGTAGAACTCCGATACAGGGGAGTGGCTGCTGGGAACTGGAAGTATACGGAGGCGAGAGCTCCGTAAGCGTTGATTATATATAACTACCTGATATCTATGGATTGCCCAATCAACTGGGCGTAAGTCGATGATTGTACCTCGATTCTCAATAGAGCAAAAACCTGGAGTATGCTCCCTCGCATACCGATACTAGAGAAAAAAAGACAGTACACTTCAAAAAATATGGCGAGCTATTACCAGCTACCTGGAGAAAAGGTGAAGTGGCAGCTTGTTCACGGTTGAGGGTGGTGGGGGCGATTACTTCCGACCTCGAAAAGAGGGAGAGAAAAAATATAAGCGATGTTCCCTCGAACCGGAATCGAGCCGGTGACCTTTCGGTTATATGATGATCCATTACAGCCGAACGTGATATCCAACTACACCATCGAGGGTTTATTCGCGGAGAAGGATGTCGTTCATATCAATATAACCTAGTTCAGTGATGTATCCATCAAGTTTCAAACGCCTGTTTGCGATTTCTTGCACATCTTTAGCTCTGTAAATACTGAGAATGATGTCGACCTGGAGTTTATTGTCATGTTTCATGACGCCGTAGCATTTTTCTAGGTATCTTCGCTCCTCAAGCTCAACTCTTTGGGAATTGTGTACTTATGAACTCATTCATGGCAGCCGACTTTGGTGATGGGGGCTGAAAAAAATCCATGTATATGGTGGAAACCTTAGCCGACCGCGATCAGATAAACATCGAGTATGCTTTCCACGGCGCTACCTGGTAGGCCTGTGAAGCTCGTGTAATTCTGCTTAAGCATAAAGCCGAGACCTGGGTTTCATTTACTTAGTGTGAAAAACATTAAAATAGAGCCCGACGGTTCATGGCCGTGAACTGATTGGGTTCTCCATCGGTTCTCTTCACCCTTCTCTCTAGGTACAGGGCCACGTAGCTGGTCTTCCTCGTCTGGGGTTACAGCCTAAGATTAATGGGACCTTTGCGCCGTTAGCGGTCAAAGTTGTCTGTTCGTGCTGATCCCTAGCTCTCGGGTATTCATAGGGGTCGAGAGTTTGAACTTTGACGTTGTAAAAGTGCGAGGCGTGAAAGTACAGTCGAAAGATGCGATGATGTGGGGATGCAAGGGTAGGATAATGAGGGCCATGTCTTGAACTACCACGACGGCATTTGATATGTCCTCCTCTGCACACACATTTATTCAAATCAAATCCCGCACCCACTAACGCCCGCACTTCCTTACAAATCTCTTCAGCCAGCCCTGACTCAGGGTCCTGAAAGAGCAAACAAAGGCCGTGCACCAAACCACCTTCAGCTGAGGCCCGAGTCGAGACTCGAGGTCCAAGGTTTGCAGCCTGATGTGAAGCGCTATGACCCACGCGGACTGCGGCTGAATCAATTGAAGGTGAGATTTTTGTCGGAAAGAAAATCATGGCACTTTGCCAATGCAGGAAGTTTGAGCACTAGCCACAAATTTGGGCTTTTCGCATTCAAAAGGTCATTGCGATCTTGAAGTGAACTGGTTATCTGGTATAAGTAGGTTAGCAAATACGTGCCAGCAGAGGATATCGATAGAGAATCCAGGGCACGCCGAGCTTCCACCAGAGCGTTATGGCTTGGATCTTCCATTAACAGTACGACGATGAACAGCTTTAGTCTCATGTACTACTTTATAATTGTCCATCAGCGCAGCATATATCCGCAAAGTAGAAGGGAAGCGCGCCTCTGTTCTAGAACCGTACATACACACACACAGAGAGAGAGAGAGAGAGAGAGAGAGAGAGAGAGAGAGAGAGAGAGAGAGAGAGAGAGAGAGAGAGAGAGAGAGAGAGAGAGAGAGAGAGAGACCGTTTCTCTACATCAAGTCCACTGGGCAAGCCATGTTAAGGGAGATCTGAAAACTGGTACCTAGTACCTACTACCCACCACCTACTACCTATCCATCGCGGCTTACGGAGCCCGAAGATTCGACTATTTGCCAGTCTCGGCAAATATCATCCGTTCAGCAACCCAGTTTTTCTGGGCTGGCTGAGCTTGTTGCTTTCCTGAGCACTAGCTCGTCAGTTACCTTTGCAACGAAGTTTGCATTTCGTAACCGATTCGTTCAGATCGGTGAAGTGGATACAGGAACACTGTACTAATTCACCTGATTCACGTATCACCTTAAGGTAGGTGTCTTCTGAGAAGCTTGACTGGTCCAGATATAAATCTAATATTCTTTAATCCCACGGGCTAGAACAGAACGTAAAGGCGTCTCCTCCGCGGCAATGCCGTTCACTATACAAACGAGAAGCAGATAGCGGATACAGGCTTTTCTCTGGAATAAGTGATTTGATCAGCTGTGAAAAAATCCACATTACTCACGAGGGAGATGCTGTAGGTATTGGTCGCTTCTATAAAAACTCACAAGTTTCCGCCAGAAAATTGCTTATCTGCCACGACTTGTTCAGTTTCGTTATGGCGTCTCTATTTGGGGTTGACCCTGATCGACCAGCGTTGAAAGCTTTTCTGTCCAAGTACTACTTGCAGAAAGACGCGGAAGCTCTTAAATGGCCAGTCGAAAATCTCGAAGCTCAATCCTTGAACTACAACACTCACGCAACATGCCTTGAAGTGGCCTCAGAAGTAAAGGGCCCATTCAAGAAGGCATTCCGTCAACTCGCAGAGATACCCGCGACACCAGAAATGCAAGAACCGGTTTGGAACCGAGCTATCTCTACATGGTCCCGATATGTGAGTGGTCACGAACGGCCCAAGGAGGCGATGCGCCGAACGTGTACGAACGCTGACGTCGCGGCTTAGGTCTTGCATGGGGCCGTGGATCGAAGCTGGGGAGAATCTTGGAGTGCCCATATGATCCTTCATCTGTACAAGCAGCTTGCTACCGAAGAATACCGCACGGAGACTCACTTAAGGGTAGTCTACGCTGTGACCGCAGCGATCGATCTCTGTACCACAGGAGCCGTGGTCATGGATGAGCCACTCGACGAGTCGCATAGTGCTAGCGTCTTGCCAGCGTGGCATGTTCAGCATCCGAAGAGCTCGAATGCCGATGCAACCTTCATGATGACCACTGGGAATCGAATTCTGCACGATGTCGTTCCAGACAGTCATCCATGTAAGAAGGAGCTTCTCCAGCTTTATGCGGAGTTTCAACAATGTTGTGTGAATTATGAATGCGTGCTTGCGGCTCGGCATCAACTATCCACGGAAGAGTCAATACGACGCGCAATGCAGTTGGATATGGCCACGGTAACTTCTTTGACCGGAAGCACATTCAACGTGCAGAGAACCGCTTATTACACTACCTGGCTCATCAGAGTAGCTCAGCTTCTGACGTGCTATCAGCAAATTCTGAGTACCCGCGAGCGGCGAATTTTTTTCTTTGATCTCAGCGCTTCCATGTTGGACGTGTTGGGTATTGTTGATGATCTACGGGACGGGAAGTGCATGAACGTCGAGATTCCCAAAGACCTGCCCATAGACGAGTGTTCTCAATATGTCACGGATGACATGTTCAAGGAATTCATCGCTGGCGAACCGCATAATCCGTTTCTCTGGGCCAGTCTGGAGCTTGGGCGCGGTGAGTCCACTGCAATGGACTTATCGAGTCAACAAAAAGCGGAGATTCTGATCACAGTGGAGGAATGCTACTGTGTTAGCCCAGAGATCGCGGAAGATAGCGCGGCAAGAAGAGCTCGACTCACGCGTCTTTGCGCCATGTTCCTCAAGTACAATATCGTTCAGTATGTGAAGCAGAAGACCCTGCGGGAAGCAATTCGAAAATATTTGCTTATCCAGCAAATGGGCGTGAAGACTGGTCTCAGTCTGCCCCAGGATCTGCTCTCGTACTCTTTGGGGTCCTTGGTCTACCAGGAAACCCATTCCAGATCGGATGAGATCGCCTCGAAAATTCAGAGGATCATGGACACTTCACTTGTAGTCATGAGTGAGAAAGAGAAGATTTTTGGGCTGTTTGATGCTTTGCAGGGAATCTGATTCGAGAATGGGGACTTCAAATGAATTGTGCGTGCTCAATAAGACATGATCCAAGAGAAATAGTCTGCGTTGAAAGTACACAAGGGTCCGAGTTGTCTGATATATCATCTTGAAAAATAGGAGTGACGGGCAATCAGTCCGTGTCGAGTACTTCGAGACACGAGGGAAATTTATATGCACCAGGTTTTCATCTCTTCCGCAATAGGGGGTACTTGGTTTCGGTCCGCCTGAACACCTTCTGAGCCCTTCAAGTAATACACTGGACGGCATACCATTCTTGCAGGTAAAGCAGTTGTATCAGTGCTCAAAACAAGCTCAAAAATATGCGTTCATGTATCGTTGAACTTCACAAGTCCACACCCCCTTTTTGTACATCATCACTCGATTCAAATTTAGTCTCTTCCATCACCAGAACTACCATAGTCGACCCGTAAACCCTATTTTCTTCTCCTCATATTGAAGGACTCATAGCCATGAGCTCTACCCCGTTTGAAAGATCTGTAGAATCTGGCCTAGCTTTGGTATTAACAAACTCCGTTCGATAGGAGATGTTTAGCATAAGATCAATATGGCTAGTCTTCGATATCAGAGCAACCCTCCCACTATTTCGTCAACATACATATGTCCCCACGACATGAGAAGCGACAAAATATAAACCACATTCGCTCAGCACGCCGAATAAGACTTTATATTAAGAAGACCTAGAAACGGAGGTATCGAGTGTTGAATACTGAAAAGTTTCAGGAGGACTCATTCACTATTTATTTGACTGTATGGTACCGAGAATCTCAAGAGCTGGAGGGGAAAAGAAGAAGAGGAAGAAGCTACAGTAACGACCAGAATTTCATTTGGTAGTGGCACGCGGCACTCTCCTCTATCCTAACATCTTTGTTAATGTCGCGTCCCGGTGTTTACTATATCTACCCTAGGCCTACCCTAGGCCCGAATAGTCCTCTCTAAGGCCTATCCTTTGTCCAATCTATCCTACCGCGAGCTCTAAGCACGGGGGCTCCCAGCCGAAAATCAGAGATTTAAGCTCGTATCACCGTAGCACCGTGCTTTATGCTATCGGAGCAGGCTTAATCACCCTATAAGATGTGGATATATCTACCGCTAAATAGATTAGCTACTAAATTATCGTCGGCGCTAGTATTAGCCCGGGTGTTTAGGTCCTAATGGCCACTGTATAGACGGTACTAAGACCGGAGGATATTCTAGTGGGAACTACTATTATAATGTTCCTTCAAACTTTAGGTGGCGCTATCTTTATTGCGGTCGGCTAAGCCGTCTTTTCAAATGGGCTTTAAGCTGGAATTGGCGTGTATACACTCACAGTCAATCCGAGCACCATCCTCAATGCGGGAGCTACCGAGATGAGGTAAGTTTTGGCATCTCTGGGCGAACTTGATTAGCTGGAAGGGGGTGATCCAAGCGTATATGGCTGGATTATGAGATGCTTACCGCGTGAACCTGGCCTTGGTCATTGCTGCCTTTGTGGCCAGCTGTTTCTGGGAGTGGAAGAGCTTCAAGGAAGGGTATGCGCCTTCGGATAAGAACAGCACGGTCGTAGTGTCGGCTTGAACTCATGATCACATACGATGCACAGTTTAGGTAGTTATAGCCGACTCGTCATCAAACCTAGACCTGAAAGATGTCATGGAAAATATTTGCTCTGCTTTTCTTTATCTCCCAAACTCAATCCTTCAAAGGATGTGCTTTCGACCGAAGCCCCCAAGACGCCATGAATCGATGGAGCTGAAGCTCTCGTCATGGCGGCGACAAGGGAGACTGTTTCAGATCGGAACATACCCATCCGAGGCCCTTGTGTCGGTAGACCCTCCAACCGAGCCACCGGGTTGGCTTCAAAATGTTCGAAAGCAATTGAGCAGATTTCTGCACGGCAGTGGGGGTTCATTTCAGGGACACGCGGAGAAAAGGAATCATTGCGGAATTGGAGGAGTTAGAAGAGTGGACCGCTGGAGTCTGGTACCTTTGCGCTGCCATAAGAATGAACGGAACGTGGATGAGAACCAAAAGAAGATGGGACTATTCCGATCCGAATCCGAATGTCGACCAGGCTGAGAGCATTCCGAGGAAGCAGAGGCACTGCAAAGGATCGTCGGCCCTAACTTGCTTTCATTCGAAGACTGTGGATCGCTAGGACTCATTTTGGCTCGGCAAGGGAGCCGAGTTCGATCCAACGGACAGCAAATTTCAATAAGAATGCAATCTTAATCGATACAATGAGTCTCATCCGGCCCAAAAATATCCATATCCCGACAACTTTCATACAAATATGTACACGACCGGCCCTGGGGTGGTATTTGATGGATGGGTCAATCTCGACAATGGAACCCAAGGTTCAACTCACGAAACACAGAATTTCAGCATTCTGATCAAGCGAGAGGGCGCAACGAATCTCGGGCATTTGCCGACGGAGATCTTTTCCATTATGTTGACCATTGATGTGCTCCAAATGGGCCAACCATCCAAAGAACTCCCGGCATACTACATCCCCTCGCGAGACGCAGCCAACACTCAGTTGGTCATTCTCAAACCATCCGGATGGGCCACACTTTGCGATGTGGTCCCTTTTCGCAAAGAAACAAGTCGTCCGGCTGCAGGATATCTCACAAAATACCACATTTGAAAATGTCATTATACCACTCGCGGGTAGAAGCAATCCATTGTGGCAGGGCGATTGGGAAATTAATTCCTGCGAAGACTCAGCAACGCCGAAGGCTTTTCTCCATCGTGATGTGGCTCTCTACGATATACGTAGTACAAGACCACGCCAGAGCGAGAAAATTACATTGAATTTCAGCAACCGATTTTCCGGACGAAGACTACGCCACATGGAGGAATACTTGACGTGGCTTGAGGAAGAATATCCTCTGGTTCGGGTCCAGTCCATCGACTTTGCTTCAATTTCCTATAAATGGTAATTGGAAATCATATAAGACACGAATATTCTCGGCAGTGTTCATGGTGCAGGACTTGCCCATGGTATTTTTCTACCACCGGGGTCAATCATGGTGGAAATTTTGCCGCAAGATCTCAATCACAAAGGGTTTCGTAACGTCGCTGCTCTTCGAGGTCATTCATACTTTAGCAGTCACGCGTCGGGTAGTTTTTTCGATGAAGTCGGAGATTGGTATTCCTGAAGATGTATTTGTTGTGTTCGAGAGGTTCAAAGAGCCCATGGATGTGGCGATCAAAGCAATGCACAACAAGGGATTGCGAGGTTACAATGTCAGCTGATTTTCATCTGCTCCGTGGAAAATAAGATAGTCCCTTGTCCTCTATAAACGAATAATACAAACCATGTCTTTTCTGCGGAGAAGAAAATTGAGAAAACGGTGGTCTGCTTTTGCACGGCAGATGTCATTTGGCAGTTCCGAAATTGCGAAAGGATAGATTTGTCACACAAGCGCAACATTATTCCAAACATTTGGAATAAACGAGGTAGCCACGCTCGACTCGAGGTTACTAGAGCAATTTTTAAACCAAATGCTTCACAAAGAAAAGGAAAAAGAAAGAGATGAGGCCACGGACACAGAAACGTTCACCAAATGTAACTCACGCCGGGATACTCAGTGGATGGGAAATCAGGCACAGTCGCTAAAGGACACGCGAAACTGGAAAGCACTACTGAATCTCGAAAATCATGAACATTTAAGCTTTTCTGGACATACATTCTGAGGTAGATTTGACTCGAGAAATGCTTGAATAATCTCCAACATGTATGCGATACATAGCTGAACATTAATGAACCCTATTCCCGCGGGAACGAAAACTTCCGGTCTAATAAGATTCCACTTTAATACCAAACACCTACCTTTCGATAGAGAAGCACGCGCTTTCCATGGACAGAATGAGCTGCAAAAGATTTTCAACTATATGGTTGAAAGGTATATACATTGCTTAATGCTCATTAACATTGAGATCTTGCCTGGTTGAAATGGCAGAGACATTAATAGTGATCGTCAGATTTGTAGTACTCCCGCGCAGCAAATCTCATCTCTGCTGCGCCGACATCGAAGACCGTCACAACGTTCTTCTGGAAGGTATCACCGAGGATGAACAGGTCCTGCGTCGAACTAGATCCCCCGTCAGTGATGCCGCTGATACAAAGCTTTTTCCCATTGGAGTCCGTCCCAGCATCGAGAATCATATCGAGAGGATTGATGTAAAATGTCTTGCCATTGATGGTCACACCATGCTTGGGGGGCTTGGCATGGCAGTCCACCACGTAGGCACCTTGGGAGCTGTCATACACAGCCGGAGGGTTGAAAGCGGCATTGACATGGTTGGCGAATTCAGTAGGGTAGAAGTTTAGAGTAGTGCCAGAATCGACCTGAAGACATCCGAAAGTAAGTAAATGTAAATGGTGGCAGGCCAGGCAGGAGCCGAGCACCCCTTGGTGGTGATCAAGAAATCTCTTACAATATATTGAATAGCAGAGCCACCGGCAGCGGTAAGCTTCTTGTCATTCAACTGGAGACCATCAATGTTGATTGTGTAGAAGTCGAAGGAAGTGGGATATCCTTGAATGTTTGTAATCAAAATGGGCGTGCTGGAGAATTCGGGCACAAAGTCAATCGGGGGAAGTCCTCCAAGAGTCAGATATCCAGAAGGTCCAGAGACATCGCGAAGGATTGCCAAGCTAAAAAGTGGAAACACCTTGCCCTCCTCGTACATTGTGGTGAAAATTGGATTGTACGGGATTTGCTTCTTGGTGGAGTTTGAGTAGGCGCTCGTACTGAGGCAAAAAAACGATTAGTATTCAATGCCTGTTTATAGAGACAGAGGCTGGACGGATTAAATTCTCACAGAGCAGGGAATGCAAGGCCTGTTAGACCCGATGTGACTCCATCCCCATCCCACCCAGCGAAGTTCACCAGAGCCATTTCCTGGGTGACCTCGATACCAGCCAAAGTGATCTGATTGGTACCCATGACACCATTCAAGAATTCACCGTCACCATAGCTGATGTTGAAAAATTCGTTGGGGATTTGCTTGAAGGAAGAACCCGATGTGTACGTGGGACCAAAGGCACACGCAGACTCCGCTAGAACATCGCTGCTATTGGAAACAGACACACACTCGAACCCTTTTTCAACAACCCAAGTGTCACTGGAGCCGGTATCGACGACCACCTGGAATTTCTGTCCCGCGATGTCGATCTCCGTTGCAAACTCCTCTCCAATTTCAAGTGCCTGAAGCTGAGTACTACCGCCGAAGAGATTCCAGGCGGCACAACGTTTGTTCCCTCTAGCGGACTTGATCTTCGTCAACGTCATCACGTTAGAGCTCACTTTGTCCGGGCTGGCCGATGTGAAAGCTGCGGGCTTCCAGGTCGTAGCCTTGCTGCTCCGCACTGGAGCCGTCCTGGCAATGGGATTGGCATTGGCACCGATGTTTGATGCCAGGAGACAAACCCCTGCCAGCAAAGCAACTTTGACATGCATGATGGAAGAATCAACAGAAAGAAGAAGTGACTAGAAATGGAGCCGAGGGCACTTCAGCGGAAATTAGTGGCACAAATTGGCCACACGATTGTCACGACGGAGAAAGCGCAATTTATATCAGACCCTAAAATACTGCTGCCGTCCAGGAGCATCTTGCTTGCTGTGCTCCGAGGTAGATTCTACGCGTCTTCGGTAGTCTGTGGACTGCTGGGCCGGACCTCCGACGGGAGGTTTGCAGCATCCTCCAGAGCTCAGGCGGAACTATACCAAGAAGGGGATAACACAGTGCTGGAAATCTGTAACTTTCAATCTTCTGTAGGTGGGCTACCTGGAAGTTAAGTGCGTAGCGTACACTGACCAAGCCTCGGGAATCAATGTCACTTCCCCATCGCTTTGCGTTGCTTAGAGAGGAACATTCGGTTCTGACTTGAATATTTCGGCCGTTCTTTGCTCAGCTTTAGGGAGATGACTCTGCCAACAAATTCTATTGTCGGGGGTTAGAAACCGAATGAAAGCACGAAGATGAAGAAAACATGGAGAACTCGATGAAATGAAACATCAAGTAAGATGCGAGAATGAAATCCCTGGATCCGAGTATGTATTTGCCAAGGAAAGCTACAGCAGAATAAGCAAAGATCATTGTTCACCCCATACAACATTTGTCAACACGGGAGGGGTGGTGGTTGTTTGATCGCTAAGCGACCGAGGATCTAACTCCAAACGGATCCCTAGCCGGAGCTAGCGGAGCTAATTAGAGTCATACCCCATCCGCCGATGAACGGAATTGGATAACAACCTGATTCCTCAGCGATATCCAGCGATTTGTTTCCCAGCCGTGTGCGACCTATTGTAGGAGAACTCACAGGGGCATGCTGGATGAGACAATATGAATTCCTTTATGCTCTCAAGCTGAACTACGTGTTTCCCTTCCGCTGCGCTTTCCTGGGTTTAAATATTCATATCATGTACTCTTTGTGGTACCTATGTGCTCGCTTTGAAAACAGGAATGACTACGAGATGCTAAACAATCTTACTTTGAGGTGCCTTAAGTTCTTATGTACATTCTCTTTGAGGGTTGCAAGAAGATAATCATTTTCATTCCTACTTATGCTTATCTCTCATATCCACAACTCAGACACTTGACTTTCTCCACGAGGCCCTAAGGTTCCAAAATCTGATTATGCCGGAAGGAAGTTATTTATCTTCCGGAGGGCATTATTATTGTAGCCAGCAGACAATGGAACTTGATCTGCATCAGGCCACATGCTTTGTGGAATCTTGATCTACCCCTCGAGGTGCGATTCTGAAGCTGAGCGACTACTAGCTTCTTGATCATGTAGCGGGGCGTGTTTTCCCGGGAGTCTCGGCGGAGGTTATCGCCTGGCTGATTCAATATGGATCGTGCTCGACCCCTCGATATAAGTGCGGGAAAGGATTGAAAAACAAATCATGCGATGAAAGTTCCCAAACACACGCGTGGCTATAGGGGCAGTCTGGTTAATATTCAATGTCCCCGGATGTCTGAGGATCCATCCCTCTGGCGGGCAAAAGTGCAGTTCCATTGGATCAGCTCGGGTCGGGTATGGCCAAGGTAACCTCAACTTCGCTCAGAGCGCATGCGCCTGGAGAGCGATCTTACAATCTCGATCGAGCACTCGCTTGATCTAGAATGCAACTAGCCGGAAGAGACTGTTGGAGGCATTTGAATCAGGAAGTAGCTGCGATCAGACCTTCCTGGTCTCCATCGATTGCGGGACAGCCGTTCGAAGGCCGGTGGTGCAGGCCCACGTCCGCATTTCCCGTTGGACTGCGAGATACACAGGTGACTACTAAGCTTTTTCCAAGCCTTGTTATGTCTCGGGGAGCTTGGCTATCGGCACGGCTGATTTGCCAAAATCAGAGAGGCTAGCCTGGTGACTAAGTTAGCCCCCGACAACTATTGTCAAATCGGTTCTCTTCACACGTCTCGGCGTATTTACACCTGCAATTGTGAGTCCGGAAAAGCTTGATGCGAAGAATTCTGAATCAGGCATAGCCTCGTCATACCTTCAAGTGGATGATAAGCTCCAGCCAGGATGGCCCAATCAGAAAGAAATAATTGGAGAGGAATTCACTGATGGAATGATAACAACAATCGCACCTGTCAGATTCCCGAGGATACTGCTTAAGCCTAAAGGGACACCGGAGCAATAAAAAAGAAACATTACCGACCGCGAGATGCTTGAGAGAATGGCCCGCAAAGGAGATCGCTTAGGAACCTGGTGATTTTGGCCAGAGGCCGAGAGTCGTGACTTCCTGTATCATCGACTAGTATTAAACGACGGTTGACTTTGCTCGATATCTAATGGAGTTTCCTCCCTCGGTGCTGCGTGGTCTGCGTGGCTAGGACTAGCTGTTGCCTAGTGTTGAGAGGTTTGGAGGTTTTCCCCTGCGTGGGTAGGTTTTCCCTTCTTCCTCTCCCTAACCCGTTCCAATCTCGTACTACTGGGCAGTTTTAGCAGAAACTTAACAAAAATTTTACAACTCCACTATTTTGCCGGCAGATTGATTTTGGACCCACTCTCGCAATATAGGCCAAAATCAGGCAATAATTCAGATAGTAAGCAGATAGTAACCGATCGTATCAGCTGATGTGGGTCATATGACTCCTAAACCTCGGGGAGCCTTTATCCCAGACGCTCTTAACGCGCTTAGATAGAGGATGTCACGGCGCGACCTACTAAGGCGCGGCCGCGGGAGAATTAAGTACGGAACGCCGACGAATCTATCTGGGTTATAGCCCTAAGGATACGGGCCCGGTACGTAGGAGATATATATATAATAATCGTAGAAGGGAGGAAGAACTCCGATCTTTAAGATTTAGTCTTTAAATTTAAGCCCTCCTAGACTTTAATCCTTTACCTAGTTAATAGTCCTAGTTACCCTACGATCCTAACCCTAATAGAGGATTAGTCCTAAACTTAATTCTATTATTATATTCTACTAAAATACACGCGTTATAGGAGTCAGTTAATAGAGTTATTATCTATATAATCTTATTTATATACACCCGCCGATAGAGACTCTATAACCGATACGTTTATCTACGGAATACTCTAGCTATAGCTCGGTACTCAGCCTTTAAGTAGACGTTAGCTATATAGAGTAACCCTTAATATATCTATTAGACTCGGTAAGCCTAATCTATTAAGAATTTATTAAATTCTTAACTAAATCTTACCGAGTCTTTAACTAAATAAGCTATCTAGCTTTACTAAGGCCCAGATCCGTTAGCTTATATTATAGTTTAGTATTATAAATATCTAGTACTATAGCTACCGAAAGCTAATACCCGAGCTTACGGTATTGCTAGTATACTCGAGACTTATATATCTGTCTCGACTAAAGTACGATATTAAGTATTAGTACAGAAGATTATATAGATAGCTCTCTATAGTATATATAGATATAATACTCTTTATATCTATAAAATTCGATTATATCTTAATATTTCGACCGAACCTTATTATAACGTATGGGCAATAAGTTAATAGTTAACTGGCTAGTCGGTTGACTAGTTCGTGAACAGACTTAGAGTGTAGAGTTGGTTAGATAAGTTAACTAGTTAGTCACCGTGAACTGGTAAGTTTACTGACTAGTTGGTTAGCCGACTGGCGAGTTGGTATTAACTGGTGGGTTGGTTGGCTAGTTAATGGATATAGACTTAGGGAGTTAAGGAGGAGATTATATAATCGATGTTTGTGTTTATAAGATTAGATATTTACCTACGTGTTATTAATAGAAGTCTTACGTGTATATATACGCTAGAGCCTAAGGATTATTTACCTTTCGGTTTATTTCTATAGAGGAATCTTCTATCCGGGACTTTCTATAAGGATTCTGCTATCTTACTATAGCCCTACTTATAATAGGTATTTAAGATAGTACTTTATCTTCCTTATTTCTTCCTTTCCTTTTTCCTCTTCGTCTTAGTTTTCTTTATTATATAGGATATAGTTACTTTACCTTCCTTCTTCTATATATAGGTTATCGTAGCTATACTATCTAGGAGTTATATAAAAACTAAGATCTTTAATATTCTTTTTATCTTTATATAATAGACCGGTACTTACTATAAGTTATTAAGTCTTTATATATTACCTTCCCTTATTTTTCTCTTTTCCTTTTAAACGATTAATATAGTAGTACCTATTAATATAATACGCCTAGATATTAATAAAGAACCCAGTTAGGAAGAGTTATATAGTATATATCGATAGAGCTCCTTAGCTAGATCTAACGATCTTCCTTATAAAGACTACGATATACGTTTTATTTAGGTTATACCTTAGCTAGATAATCTACTCGAGTATTTACGCGATAGAAAACTTAGCTATAAGAACTTTATCGACTTAGTACGCGACGAACCTAGATTTATATTCGACTTAATATAGGATATATAGTAAGTAATAGTCGACTACTTATATTATCTCGATAACGAAGTAGAGGAATAACGCGGATAGCTTATTATAGCTACTACTAAGATAGTTAAACTAATAAACTAGAAGATAACGAATAATAAGCTTCTCTATAAGTCTAAGGAATATACCGATCTTAACGCTACTACTATTAAGCTTTTATAGATAATCTTTTAGTAGATCTATATCTCCGCTAATCGAATTAAAATAAGCTATCCTATACTTTCTACTAACTAATATAAGTAGCGTAAAGCTACTATAGATACTACTATAATAGGCCGTTCCGATTCTATATATACTATATATAAATTTAAGATCCCTAATCTATCCCTATTTACTAATAGAAAGAAAATAACTTAGGAAAACTAGAAGATCACGATAGAGCGTAAGCTATATAGTATAGGACTAGATCTTACCGATCTCTTAGCTTTAGACTACGCTTACTCTCGATACAGAGATATAGCCGAACAGAATATTAATTAATATATAATAGATATAGCCTCCGAGTAATACTAGAACTATAATAATCTCTTTAAGTATCTT